ATTCAGCTGGTGATTTGTGTAGAGAAATAACTAGTGTGTGTAGAATGTTCAGTAAATCATTTGGTTAGTGGGGATTAAATAGGATAAGCCCTAGGAGGTAGCTGAGGCCAGCTGGCCAGCAGCACCTTAACTGCCATATTAGGACATCAGGTCTCATCCCACAAACTTGTAGCAGTTTCTAACTTCAGTGCAGAATCTCCACAGTCTGTGAAGGGTGTCTGTTGCTCATAAGAGTTAAAAATGCTAACATTTATACCTCAGTTGCAGTTTGTCCCAGGCCCCTGTTGTGGTCGTGTGGGTGGCAGCCAGTCGATGTGTCTCTCTTGTGTCAATGTTTCTCAAAACGCTGACATTTACAGGTGAATTACATAAAGACAAAGAAGTTTAAGTGGACAGAGGATCCGCTATTACAACAACATTCTTACTTATTTGCACTTAAAAATGCCTGGCACAAAGTGCTCCTATTAGCTACCTTTGGGTAACACCATGCTGAATCAAGCACCATCTACTACTCATAAATATGCATGAGATTGTATAAGTATTAAACAAAAGCATTAAAACAAGTTATTGGATATTCTATAATGTCCTTGGGGCAGCAGTTCTAACATAAGGTTACACCATGGATGGACTTTAATGGGACTTTGAACCCCTAAAATTGTATGCAAAAGTTAGTGTTGAGAACTTACTAAGGAGTCTGTTACCTTCTACATCTCAGAGAGATCTTAAACAGGCTAGGAGCCTAACTTGGGCTTATTTTAGCAGAAACCAGCAAGAATTTAACCATGTGGCTGCCTTACATTCCTAAAGGAAGCTTTAAATCAAAGGTTTGGGGGAGTTGGTTAGCTTGGGACAATTCTGAGAAGCTTCTAATATTTTAATATCTCCCTCCTTTCTCATCAAGAACTGCCCAAGGAACTGGTCCCACCATGGTCAAAACTCATTCAGGATTCAAAAAATAGCCAGAGGGAAAGTACTGAAATAAAGACTACTCAACTTCCCTCTCTTCTCACAAGTAAGGCACCAGCAACAGGCCACCAGCCTTCTCTGGTTTCAGCATCTGTTCTCCAAAGGATCTCCTGACCAGGAGATGGTTTCTTTCAAAATTAAACATTCTGAAGGTGACAAGATCCTGACCCAAGTGCTCCAAGGATTGTTGCTTGACTTCTTAGTGGTTTCATGCAAGCTTTTTATATGACCACACACAAGGAGCCTGTGCGGAGAAGCCAAGGGACCACAGGGAAAGAGAAATGTGTTTTAAAGCACTGAGAACTCTTCTGGCTCTGGGTCTTTAACCCTCCCAACCTCGCAGGAAGAGGGCCTGCCAGTGCGTTTTCATTGGACTAGACACATTTAGTATGTTAAAAGTTAATTTGGCAGTTCCATACCATCCACAGTGACCCAAAAAAAAGTTTCATCTCTTTTTCTGATTCTAACACATTCCTACATTTTCTTTGTCGCATTACACTGACAGAGTATCTCTTTAGTAGGTAAAATAAACCAAGTGATCACCATAATACTCACTTTCTCCGAGAGCAAAAAGACCTTACCACAACTCCAAAAAGTGGTGGTCGAGAACCAAAGAAACTATGTCCCAAAATATAATTCGGGCATCATGGACATTCAACCAGGCCCGTTAGGAAGAAGCAAACAGTGAGCTCCGAGGAGCACGGGAGGCAGGCGCCGGGCAGAAGGGCCTTCGCCCTTCCAGAATCACAGGGCCGTGACACCGGCCTGCCTGGTTTGCGGGGCTTTCGCCTGTTTCGTCTAGTCTTAGCCTCAAGCCGTCTGAAAATCACTCGCAGGACAAACATCTAAGAAAGATACGGGTATTTCTCGCCCAGGCGCAACACAACGCCCCGGAGAGCATCCGGCTGGCCCTGGACACGGGTCGGCGCTGCGGATCAGCGGAGCCCAGGGCTTCGGTCAGAGAAGCTAGTTTCCCGCTACCCCGCGGGCCGTCCCTCGAGCGCGGGGCTCTCAAACCTCCACCGGAGGCCGTCCCCCCGATCTCGGCGCCAGCATCTGGGAGGCTCCACGAGCGGCCGGTCAGCACGCTCGAGCGATGTTCAAGTGATGCTCCGTCGATATCACAGCCCTGCGCGCGCCTGCTCCAACCCCGCGCCCGCTGCTGCCCGCCCCGCGGCCGTCAGGCCGGTCTATCGTCCCAGGTCCTGTCACTCACCGGCCCGGCCCGGGCAGCGGGCGCCCACGGCTCCCCACGGGAGCTGGGCCCCCTGGGCCTCCAGGTTTCGGCCCGCCCCTGGCAGGCAGCGCAGGCTGCTGAGCCCCGCAGCAGCGGCCCCGCACCGGCCGCTCGGTCCAGCTCCCAGCGCTGCCCACTGGGTACGGATCAACAACAAGATGGCGGCCAGCCGAGGGGGCGGGGGCCGGGCGTCATAGTAACCAAGGAGGCAAAGAACCCGCCCCCGGTCGAGACGGTCCCCAATTAACAACCTCTTTGCCCGACGCCCGGGGAGTACTTCCCACTGACAGGTCGCCCTGCCTGTCAATCAGAACCAGCCTCTCGGGGCCAGAGCAGAACGCTTTGGCACGTGACTGTGACGGCACGGGTTGGCGCATGCGTGCCTTTCCCGGAGCTGCTGGCGGCAGAGCTTTTGCGGGTGACTCCGAGGCCGTAGCGCCCTTGGCGTCTCTACGTGCGCGAACCTCCGGTGCGGACCGGGCAGCGTCTTCTTACACACATTTAGGGAATTGCCCGCACATTTAGGGAATGTCTGTGGTATGGTTTCGTTGCCACCCACCCGGGAAGGGAGGGGTTGCCGTCCCCCTCTCCGTTCACTGGTGAGGAAACTGAGGTGCAGAGGGGAAAGCGGGACCAAGGTCACGCCACCTCTGGAAGTGGAGGCACCTGGTCTCCTACCTCCTCCTACTGGCTCCAGGGTTTAACGCCCTCTTCCCAGCGGCTTTCCCAGCTTTGGGCCTCACCGGCCTCGAGGCGCAGCCATCTGTGCTGCCCGAGCAGTCCCTGGCCTGTTGCCCACGTGTGTCCTGTCGAGGGTTCCGTTCCCAGCACAACCCCTGGCACACAACGGGCACTTTCCTTTCCTACCCTACAGTATCTTGAGTCCCTATGACAACATATTTTCCCTGCACTGTCGTGATGTGCCTCCGAGGCCAACTATGAGTCCTGGAAAGATGGCTATCCCTGGTCTCCCACACGGAGCACCTAACCCTGGCCTTGGCTTCAGGGTTAGGAGCCCACGTCAAGCGTCAGGACTAGCTAGTCTCTGAGCCTCCGTTGCACCATCTGTAAAATGAGGATAACGGTCTGGCTCTTTAGAGATGAAGATTTAATGCACCCTTAGAGCAGAGAAAGTGCTCGAGAAAAGTCTGCCTGCAACCGCTTCCAACAGCAGCCTGCTCTCATGTTTCTGTCCCCAGGCCAGCTCTAACACCCTCACTCTTTTTTTTTTTTAATCCTCACCAGAGGATATTTTTCCATTTTTGTTCAGATAGAGTGAGAGGGAGAGAGAGAAACATCCATGTGAGAGAGACACATCAACTAGTTGCCTCCTGCACAACCCCAACCAGGGCCAGGGACTAGAGGCAGCCGAGATACGTGCCTTTGACGGGAATCAAACCCAGACTCATTGGTCTGCGGGGCAACGCTCTAACTGCTGAGCCAAACCGTGAAGTGTGTTTTTCCCACAGAAGGCACTCAGCTTCTTCCCCCACCTGGGACATCATAACTGGCTCAAGAAGGGAGGTCTTCCAGTCGCGAGAGGAGTCAGGTCCACAGACTTGGCAGAAGGGAGGAGATTGAGAGAACCTGGGGATACCACAGTAAAGAAAGCCTCCACCAGATAGCAGGTCCTTCTGGAGCTGGCAGTATCCCGGGACCTGATGCCAGGCTGGGCATGGGAAATTGGCTAGCACTGCACCTGGCGGAACCTGCCCTTCTGAAGATTACTGTAGGCCACCTGGCTATGTTCAGCAGCTCGGCTCAGCACAGGGAGGACTGAGGGCCAAGGAACAAGAAGAAACATCAGGAAAAAATGGTAACAGCCCCTCAGAAGAGGGCTACCATCAATCCCTCCATGGCTATCCATGCTACAGCATTCTAAAGTCTGCACCAACCCACTCCTCAGTGCAAAAGCTCCAGATCCTTCCCAAGAAAACCTCCACACACAGTGGACAAACTGTCCCAAGTCTCCTCCTCTCAGTGAAAAAAGGAAGCTTCCCGGGCCCTCTCCATCTGCCAGAGCCTCTGAGGGGACAGGCCCCCACAGTCACCAACAAGACCAACAGACTCTTACTTCTGTAGAGCATTAATCACTGTCATCAGAGCATTGTACAGTGCCTTCTTAAAACTAACCTTACTACTCCCTAGAGTGTTCCCACAAGGTAGGGAGTTCTCCAAGTAAGAACAAGGAAGCACAGATCTCGGAGCTTCTCCCCCGTGTGGGTTACAAGGCTGGAACTTCTCTGTTCGTAATTTTGTTTATTATTGAATCAACTTGAATCAACTTGAAAACACAGCCCATAATCATGTGAAGAAGAAATTCCCACAAAGTGAAACAGCTTCTTGGCCTCAGAGCCAGCGCCAGGCTCCCGTGCTCATGTTGAACAGGTAATCTCTGCCTGTACCTGAGCTCAGATGGTCAGGAGATAGAGGGGGCATGCTGGCCTCAGCAGAACTACCTCCCTCCCCTAAGGGTAGGACCCTTGGTGTGACACCCCCTTCTGCTTGATCCAGCCTGTCCCCTCCTTTCTCATAAAGTCCTTTGAGGTCTGGCTCAAATGCACAGGAAGCCTCCTTGATTCCCCAAAACTGGACACCAGCTCCCCTAAGCCCAGTGCCTGATTACTCTGCCATAATTCATTGGAGACAGTGAAGTATCTGGAGGCCTCTCCCCTCACCACCTTTCCCCCATGACCACCATGAGCAGGGACCAAACCAGCTCTGAGTCATTTCCAGATCCCACAGGTGTTGGGCAAACATTGGCTGAAAGGTGAGTGGGGGTGAAAACAGATCCCATTCAGGGAAAGAGTAGGCGGTGGATGCCTGGTGGTAGGAGGAGATATTGAGATGGGAAAAGGAGAGAAGGTGGGTCCAAGAGGAGAATAGTTGGAAAGAGGGGGACTCATGGGAGTCCTGTGCTCTGCCATCAAAATGCTGAGGGGGGAAATAAGAGAGCACAATGAGTTGAGCCCTGTCCATGGGGTCGGGAGCCCACCTGCCTCCTGCATCCTGATGGTGCTGGGGTGGGCGCTCCCACAGGGGTAGCCATCCATGAGAAGGGGGGCAAGTTTGGCAGGAGTATTCTAAAGCAGCCTCTATGCCCCACTACACAGGATGGGGGATTGACATACCAGGCTCCTGATGCTGCTGGGTGCCTGGGGTGTCTCCATCCTTGGTGCCTCCATGAACGCCTCAGTAGACCCTTCAGTCCCCTGGATACTGGGGCAAAGCAAAAGCAGGAGTTCAGGATGAGACTCTGGGCCAGCCTGAGTTTAAGTAATGGACTTCCAGGCATAGAGGTATGCCAAGGACACTGACCTGTTTAGCAGCAGAGCCTGGGCTGGTTTACTTGGTGCCTGTAGCCCCTGGGCCGATCTAAAATGCCAGCAGGAAGGACCACATGCGAGGGCAGCAGACATGCTGCCTCCAGGAACCAGCAGCATCCATCTACCCCTCTGTGTTTGGGGTGGCCAGTGCCTGTATACAATGTCCACTTTGTTACCCCCACCATCTCCTGGGTTCAGTTCTGTGCCCACAAGGAATTCAGGGTCAGGTTTCAAGTGGAGGGCAGGAGTAAGGAGTAGGGTAAATACCCATTGCGTGACACAGTTGGAGTATCAAGCCCTGGGCCTTATCCACACCATCCCATTCCAAGCCTGGGCTCTGCTAACGATGGAGACAGCTTCCTTCTAGTGTCTTCTGCCTGTAACCTGGCAACTTCTGGAGGGAGGGCAGCACTCCTTAATATCAATTTGTCTACTCATCAGCATGGACATTGTTATCAAATCTTGGCTGAAACCATCTCTCACATTGAGTTCCATTAGTGGGCTGGGGGCGGCAGGAGCACCGGGATAAGCACCCTACCCCCAGAGAAGCCTGCGGAAGAGCCAGCCCAGAGCCAAGAGGAGAAGGGCACTGGTCACTGTCAGCACCACCACAAACCAGGGCTCTGGTTTCCAGAAAGCTTCCATGTCTGTCACAAGCAGGGGTGTCATCATTGCAGGCACCTGAAATAGGAGCCACAGCCTCACCACTGCCCTGCCGAAATGCCCTGATCATCCAGCCTTCAAAACCCTCAAGGGCTTGGCCACCCACACCCCAGATTTGCTCTCTTGTATTGCTCTTTGCACTCAACAGTTCCCCCTGGAATGCATTCCCCCATGCTCCACCTGGAAAACTGGGTCTCCTCACTCTCCAACATCCTCTCCCCACTCAAGGGCCCGAGGACCCCCTCACTGTGGCTCTATGGGTGCTGGTGGCCGCTGTGCTGGCCGTCCAGGGAACTAGATGCACAATGATAGTAGCTGTGGTGCTGAGGTGGGGGATGGAGGGACCTGCATTGGCCACACAGATCAACAGTTCATAGGTATGGGGCTGCTCTGGCCAGGTGGGCCCCAACATGAGGTCGTGCACTAAGACAGCTCCTTGCAGGCTGAATCGGCTCTGACTGTTCCCTGAAAGCAGAGTGGCAGAAGAAGGGGACCATTGCTGGACTTGCCTGCTCCTCTTCCACATCCTGGCAGCCTCCATGGTCCTTACCTCCCACGATGCTATAGGAGAAGGCTAGGCGCTGTGGTTCCTGAGGGATCTGACATGACACCTTGGTCACCTCCATCCTACGGCCTGGGGAAGTGTAGATGGTGAGTTCCTGGAATGGGGGCTCACACTCGGGGGCATGGTCATTCACATCCTGCAGGAAGGTAGCCAGGTTACCCACTCCCAAATTCCCAAGCCAGACTTCAGCCTCCTCCCACCACAGCTAGAGCCTAGATATCAGACAACAGGCTACAAAGCTTTCCACATGAGGCTCTGCCTCCCTCCAGCCAACCAATGAAAGAAACTGAGGCACTGAGTGAAAACTCAGAATGCCAGAGGGAGATCTGAGCTCTTTTCAATTCTTTCCAAGGGCTCAGGGCTCAGTTACCTCAACCTCAATGGTAATGGTGCAGGAGCCTGAGCGGTGGCGACTAGGGTCCTTGTCTTGACTATGGTCATTCACTAGAACAGTGAACTTGTACAACCTCAGCTGTTCATAGTCCAAAGGCCCCAGGAGGTGAACCTCTCCTAGAAGGGGTCATCATATCCTCAGCCTGCAGAGTCAACTCTGGCTTCACCTCTCCATCCCAGCCCTGGGGAGGAAGTACCGCTGAGAAGGTGCACAGAAAAGGTGGCAGATCCGCCAGAGATGTAGTACTCAGTGTTGTCATGTGGGTAATCCATGGCCATGCCCACCACAGAGCCCAGCAGGGTGCAGGGTCTTGCATTCTCACAAACCCGGAATGTGCGAGGAACACAGGCTAGGGAGAACTTGTTGACAGGTATCACCAACACCAGTACTGGCACCTGGGCTGGAGGCCATTAGGCAGTCAAGGAGCTGTCCTGGGGTGCCCAGCCCTGCCCTAAGGGTCTGAGGAGGGAGAGATGTCCCTGCCCTTGGGGGGTCTAAGGAGGGAGAGGGTCTGGTGGGAGGGAGGGTCTAGGAGAGGAGAGACACGCTCCACCCTAAGGGTCCACATTGGGGACGAACAGCCCTACCGGTTTTTGAGAGAAGAGAGATGACCCTGTCCTGAGGATGGGGGGAGGGGAACAGAACAGCGCTGTCCTGCTGTCCAGGCCTGGGTATGGTCACTCACTGGTCAGGGGCTGACCTCATCGAGCACCAGGATGGAGGCTGTGTGCTGAAAGCAGGCCCCAGGGCTGTCACAGTCCAGTGCAGCATTCACCTGGCCAGAGGGGCCAGAGAGTAGGGCCCGCGCACCGCCTAGGAGAGCCTTGAGCCACACTGAGCTGCCTGGGGTCCCGGCATCCACATATCACCAACCTACCCTGACCCCTTGTTTGCCAGACTTCAAAGCAGATAGGCTCCACCACCATCTCCTTCACCCCAATGGTGTGGGTCTGACAGACCCTTGTCTCCCCCTCCCCACCCCCAACCACCCTGCATGTGGGTCTGGGAACCCGCGCGGGGCACCTCCAGAACCCTGTCGCTAAGGCAGAAGCTGGACAGGCCAGGAGGGCAGTGGAACCGCAGCTGGTGGTCGAGGGTGGAGCCGGGAGAATCCGGGTCAGCGCAAGTGAAGGTGCTCAGCACGGAGCCCACAGGCGCGGCCTCAGGGATTTGGGTCCTGGGAGCAGAGGGCGGCAGGGCGGGAGAGCGGTGGCCGGCGCCCCAGGGGTCCAGGTAAGGCTCGGGGATGCTCCCACCAGTAGCGCTGGGAGACGGCGCGGGGGCCAGCGGCCGGCCGGAGTCACGTTCACGGTGAGATGGAGCTCGTCGCCGGCCCACGGCTGGAGCCGCTCGAAGGCCTTCCCCTGCAGCGGAGTGATCGCTGCGCCCCGGCCCCCACCAAGTCCAGGGGCGCAGTGGGCCGCACCACGCCATCCGCTGGATCGGGTGGGAGGGTGGGGGATGCAGAGCTCGCCCCGCCCCATCTCAGTCCGGTTCCCAGCTTCTCACCGATCCCCTGGTGGGGAAGGCGCTGAGCCGGGCTACCCCTCCTCCAAGGCTCGCCTTTAACGCGGGCCGGGCCCCCCAAAGCGACCTGGCCCCAGTTTCTCTGCCTCGGCTCCAACCTCAGTTCTCAGGAAGGCAAGGAGGTACTTCGAATAACATCTGGACCACCCGCGGAGGCATCCTGTACCCCCCTCCACACCCCTGACCACGTCGCGGGGAGAAGAGCAGGCAGGGCACAGGCAAGAGGATTTCATAACGTACCCTGGACCCGAACCACCTTACTCCCGGGGACTAGGTCTTCGGGGATGGTGATATTCCGGTTCTGCTCCCTAAACCAAAGGGGGGCACTAACTCCTACCAGTCTCGCCCCCCCACCACACACAAGACCCTCATCTCCAGCGCAGCGCCTAAGCCCCTCCTCTGGGACAGACACTACAGCAGCCCCCACCTTGGCCTACCCTACTTCCTGGGGCTAGGCCCTGCCTCCCCCACTGTCCCAGGGTAGAGGAGTCTTCCTGGAAGGCGACCTGGCTGGAGGGAGCAGGCAAAACTTTCACCATCAGCGTCCCACTGCAGCTTCGGCTTGGTCCACAGTTCGCCAGGACCTGAAGCTGGAAGATCTGCACCAGCACAGGAAGGGACCCACCGTGTGCCTCACCTGCATGTCTGTGCCCGCCTTCTCCTCAGATAGGCAGATGCCCTTGAGGAACTCCACAAGGAGCCCCAACATTCGCTCCTCCCCAAAATGTGTCATTCTGATGACAAATATTCTTTTGAGTCCCATTCTTGGGCCATTAATCCTTCTATCAGAACATGAACAGCCCCCAAAAGAGTAATACTTGAGTCATTCATGATTTGACTTAGCACCTTAGAGTTGCTAAGAGCCAGTCACTAAGATTTAGAAGTTTTAAAGAAGGAACTTCTCTAACCTCTTTCAGACTGCACTGGCCACTTTACCCAAAACTTTCTCTTATGTGACTGCTCTGAACATTCTCCTTTCTGTTTGAGGCACCATGAGCTCCCAGAGCTGGGGGGCCCTCTTCTTTCTGGAATCCAGAGCCCAGCACTGAACCAGGCCAGGATGGGGGACTGATGGCATGGGGCAGCAGGGGCAGATGGCATGGGCAGCAGGGGCAGATGTGGGCTGTGTCTGGAAGAGGCAGCATAGTGGAGGAGGCCCAGGAGACCAAGAACAAGCACATTTCCAGGAGGTGGTGGCTCTCTCCATTGTATGCTCAATCCATGGATATCCCCAACTCACCTTTTCTGCCTGGCCTTTGAGGCCCTGGGGTGGTGCCCACAGCCAACCCTGCCTATTGATGGAGAAAGGTCCAGGGAAATACGGAGGGTCCTGGGTACTGGTGATGTTCATCTAACAGGACAGAGATGCTGGAGTGCCCATCCCCAGGCCCCAGTGCCCCAAGCATCCCTGTTAAAATCCCCAACAGACCAGCAGGTACCTCCCCACACCCAACTCTCCCATACCCCAACACTGACACCCTAGCCTGGGTCCCATTGGCCCTGATCTTTAATCCTTTCTGTTTTTAAACCATTTAATTTGTTGTTGTTGTTGTTGTTTTTTAACTACACTTATTGCATTACAAAAGTGATACAGAATTGTCATGGAGAATTCAGAACACACAGGAGAACTTGAAAGAATTCAGCTCCTGAGAGGTTCTTGTAGGAACAGTGGCTCTCTCCAAGAACATGTATCATGCAGAGGCTCAGCCGAACACTAAAGGGTCCCTCTGTAGGCAATACTTGATCAGGCAGGGGCTGGGCCTGGTCTCTCCATGTTTCCTCTATTCTGCCCGCCACTGCCCATGTGCTGGACTCACTTGGGCTCCCTGGAGTTCCAGGCCTAGTAGCAGCAAAGTATACAGCCGGGCCCCTAGTGTGACTGTGGCACCTTGATGACCCCCCCAGCTGGCCAAAGGGAAAGTCAGGGAGGCTGTGTTCAGGCCATGCCTGCCCACCCCCTGCCTGCTGCCCCTGGCCTCACCTGGGCTGACAAATCAGCCAGTACACTGGATATGGTCAGGATCCTGTTGCACATCCACAGAGAGTGGTCCCTCCACTGTTTGATCGCCACATGTTAACCGCAGCTGGAGCTCATAGTGGTTCACTGCCAGGGCATCCAGCCGGGCTGAGCTGCTCAAGGTCAACTGTGGCAGGTGGGCAGTGCAGTATGAGGCCTAGGCTCTCCTTCCCCCTGCATCACCTCTGGCTTTATGAATTTAGGGTCTGCCCTTGATTCCCCCCGGCCCCCAGCTGTGCCCATTACCCTACCTGAACCACATCGATCCTCTTCCACCTGGTCAGGCTGGGTGGGTTGAAGAAGGTGGTAGGTGGCTGCACATAAAGCAACTTCAGGGTGGGTACGTAAGAAGAGCAGTTCAAGGAAAAAGACTGAAGGACAGTGCCAGGCCCCTGGCCCTCGGAGACATTTATGAGCCAGGGCAGGCAGTGGAGGTCTGTGAAGAAGAAACGATCAGGCTGGAGGGCCCCATGCACAAGGAACCACACACACGGACATAATTCTGCCCTTTTGCCACAGGTCCTGGCCACATCTTCAGGACAAGCAGCCAAAGCCCTCCTTTTCCCCTACATCCAACCATAGGTCAGCTCATTTCACAGACTGGGAGTGAGGACCTGGTGGAGGAAGAAGCCAAGAGAGGAATGAGGGTCAGGGTTCAGATCTTTGCCCTTTCCTGGCTCTCCCCAAGCCTCTGCCCTCCGTGGTAGCTTATCTGAGAAGGCTCAGGACTCCATTCCACTGTGGAGTAAGTGGGTGAGAACTGGGGCTCCCCCCCCCACCAGCTCCTCACCAGAGACCAGCAGGGCAAGAAGTGCCAGGGGCCTGAACAGCATTAGTGTCCTAAAGATGCAGACAGCAGAGGAGACTCTGGAAAACCAGACGTGTTTGTCAGGCGCACCTGTTGCCAGGTGAGTTGCTCAAACACACTGGGTAGGCGGGACTCCTCCTGGGCCTCCCAACTTGCAGCCCCACCCATCCCCAGTGACTGAGCGCTAGACTCCAAACAGGCATCCAGAGGCCTGTAAAACCCCATTTTTTCATTGCTCCCAATGATTTCCTCCATTCATTACTACAAGCCAAAAGAGATGTGAAGGGAAAAGAATCAAGCTTCAGATGGGGAAACTGAGACTCAGGGAAGTCTTGGTCATGCAGTCCTTGGAGACAGAGCAAAACAATACCCAGGGAAATTGGGCCCAGGACTTGCTACCCCACAGAGTCTGCCCACCCCATTAGAACATTATCTGCATACAAAATCTGAACCCAACCACCAACAAAATCTCTCAAAAGTTGTTTACCTCCATCAAACAAAGGAATCCTTGGTGACAGAAATCAAATAGTGGTTATCTTAGGGGATATTGACTGGAGGGAACACAAAGTGGCCTCCTGGAGTCGCTGGAGATATTCTATATCTTGATCTGTGTGACAGTTGCACAGTGTCCACAGATTTTAATATTTATTGAGCTGTACCTTTGAGAGTTGTCCATTTGAGTCCGGCTGGTGTGGCTCAGTGGCTGAGCATCAACCCATGTACCAAGAGGTCGCCAGTTCAGTTCCTGGTCAGGGCACATACCCAGGATGTGGGCCCGATCCCCAGTGGGGGGATACAGGAGGCAGCCAGTCAGTGTTCTCTCTCATTGATGTTTCTCTCTCTCTAAAATCAATAAAGAAAAAAAAATTTTTTAAGTTGTACATTTGATGTAGTTATGTCAGTTCTTAAAAACATGTCTACATTTGCTCTCTCCAGTCCTTACTTCTCAATCTCTCTTCTACTCACTACAGTCAAGCCTGTTCTTCTTTCCATGAAACTGCCCTGGTTGGGGTCCTCAGAGATTTGCATACTGCTGAGTCCAGCAGTTCTTTCTCCACTCTCACCTCCTCCGCAGCATTTGATGCTTGCTCCCGTGCCTCCTAAGTGCCCACACTTTGTTTTCTCCTACCTTCCTAGCTGCTCCTGCTTAGCTCCTTTGCTGGTTCTCTTTCATCTTCCCTACCTCCACCCGGTGGGGTGTTTCAGGGCACAGTCCTGACTTCTGAACCCACCTTTGCCATCACACCCAGGCACATGGCCTCAAGTACCATCCAGTCACTCTGCCTCCCAGATCCAAGGCTTCAGTGCTGATCTCTCTCCCAAACTCCAGTCACACACCCAGTGGCTGACCTTGCATCTCCCCTTGTCTAACAGACATCTCAAGGGTAACATGTCCACAAATGATCATTCGATTTTTCTCCCCAAACCCTCTCTTCTCCAGTCTTTCCTGGATCAATTTGTGGCAATTCCATCCAACCAGATCTTCAGGTCAGACATCTAGGAGTCATGCTTGATGCTCTCTGTCCCTACTCATATTCATGCATCACCACGGCTTGATTTTTAGCTCCTAAACATACCCCATAGTGACCCCCTTTTGCCCATTAGCTGCACAGGGCCCAGACTCTCCCCTCCCATGTTGGACATGCTGGATGAGGGCAGGAGCCTCCATTCTGATTACAGAGTGGTTCTCCCAAAACAGCTGGGATTACCTAAACAGGAGCCAGCCCAGGTCATTCCCTGCTCAAAAGCCCTCAGTACTCCTCATCACACCAAGAACAAAACCTCCTATTTTTTTAAAAAAATTTTTCTTTATTGATTTTTAGAGAGAGAAGAAGGGAGAGGGAGAGAGAGAGGAGCATGGATGAGAGAGAATATCGATTAGCCTCCTCCTGCCCCCCAGTGGAGATCCGGCCCACAACCTGGGCATGTGCCTTGACCAGAAATCCAACCCGAGATCTCTTGATGCATGGGTCGTCGCTCAACCACTGAGCCACACTGCCAGGCAAAAGCCTCCTATTTCTAAGGCTGCCAGGAGCCTGGTTTTGCTGACTTCTTCACTCCCCCAACTACCACCATCATAGACAATCTGGGCCTTCTTTATGTTAAGGCCTGTCCACCTCCTGTCTTCTCAGGGCCTTACCTGGCTTTCTCTGCCTAGAATGTGCCTCTTAATCTCCCCATGATGGCTCATCCCATACAGAATGCCACTATCTCTGAGACTCCTCTCTCCCAAGTTAGCCCCTCGCTCTCATTGCCGGTATTTTTCTGTCTACTGACTGGTCGGTCGGTCCCCAGTTGGACAGTATCCTTGAACCCAGCCTGAAATCATGGAGCGCCTCAGGGCGCGGGCTCTGATCCCTGCCGGAGAACGCTGCCCTAACCCACAGCCCTCGGTCTCCGCTTGCTGGCGCGGGCGGAGGGGATGCAGACTTCGCTGCAGGGACCGCCGCTGACCGCGCTCCCCACTAGAGGGCGGCCCGGCCTGGCTTGGCTCAGAGCGGGCTGGAGAGGGCGGGCGCTGGGCCTCGCTTGAGGTCCCTCCCCTGTGCTGCAGTGACGTCCCTGGCTCCTGGAGTCCTCAGAGGGGCCGGACCCTCCCATCACTTCCAGGGATTGTCCAGGCCCGCTCCAGGAGCGGGTTCAGTGGGTCGGGCCCCGAAACCCGGCGACTGGGGGCGCTCTGCCCGCACATGGACGCAGCCGGGGAACCCGAGCGCTCAAGGGGTTCCTGAGGGAGGGAACGCAGTTCTGTCCTGGTAAAAATGGGGAAACTGAGGCTACTGTGGGGAAGCACTTGTTCTGGGTCACGCAGCAAACCAGAGTTAGCTCAACCGCCCGCGGCGTCGGGGTACCCCGGGCTTCTAGCGGCGGTCCCGCCCCTCTGCCCAGGGCTGTAGCCAAGTAGGTAGGGGGCGTGGGGCTCATCCACCCGCGGGCCCGGGGGGCGGGGTCACTTCAGCCCCGCCCCGGCCCCATTGGCTGCGGCGCCAGGGGCGGGGCGCGGCTGCCAGATGTTGGGGTGGCGGCGGCGGGAGCTACCGAGGGCGAGGAGCGAGGAGCGGCTGCGCTGGGCAGAGGGCGAGGGCGCCGCTGGCCGGCCCGCCCGGCCCTGTCCGCGCTCCCGCTGGAGTTCGCGGAGGAACTGGCAGGCCTGGCGGGGGCTCCGGCACGGGCATGCACAGCACTCGGCTTGACAGCTTCCTGGGCCAGCTCCGCTGGGAACTGGTGAGGCTTCAAAGCGGTGTGACTCTTAAGGACGTGTGTGGGGTGCACGGCTGCCATCGGCCCGATAGACACACGGGTGGGGGGCTGTCCCGAGTGCCCGTCCAAGGCGGGATGGGGGCGGAGCGGCCCAGACGGCCCAGATGGCCTGCGTCGGGTTTCGGACGGTTGGGAGCTGCGCTGGGCATCAAGTAACAGCCGCCCAGCTGGCCTTGCTGCCGGGACTGCAGAGGGAGCTGGGGGGAGGGGGATGGAGAAACTTCTTTTGGGATGGAACAGTGGGGCTTCAAGAGACTAAAGAGGTGCTGGCGCTGCTGTGGATGCCCCCTATCCCAGGTTGGCCTGAACCTCCTTCCTTTACCCCCTCTCCCACCTGGCAAGTGCGCTATCCTCTTCTGAACGACGCTGTGGGCTTTGGGGAGCTGAATCCCTCTTCCTCAGGAGGCACGGGATGCTCCACCCCATCCCCCAGCCCCGGGCAGGACCTACTTCCCGATTCAGGCCCGCAACGCTGCCTCCCGCCCTGTGGCGGGTGCGGACTTGCCCAGCTCTGCGTGCTGCAGCCTGCCAGACTGCCACCAGGTCGGCTTACGGGAGCCACACGAGCTTCGTGTGCCAGCGCCCCCATGCCCTGTGCTCGCTAGAGGCCCTGCTGCCCAGGCCTGCAGGCCTGTCCGGCCCTCCTGGGCCTTCTGTTCTGGGATTGGCCTAGCCAGGCAGGGAGGGGTGACAAGCACTGCCGCTCCAACTTCTGCCCTCTCTTCCTCCACAGCCCTGTGGCCGGGACACAGGCTCACCCCCAATGCCTGGCCCCCTTCCACCACCCCCCAAACCCGGCCCAGGAGTCCACCACCGGCTCAGGGCCGCAGATGCCTTGGAAGAGGACTCTGTCTGCTGTGTGGAGGAAGAGGAGGAAGAAGGTGTGGTGACAGGAGACAGGGGTGTAGCCTTGGAGGGCCCTAGGGAGCATACCTTGGACTGGGACTCTGGCTTCTCTGAGGTGTCAGGCAGCACATGGAGAGAGGAAGAGCTGCCTGTGCTCCAGCATCCAGCGCCCCCAGCATGGCGCCCCCACAGACAGCGCCTCTCAGCCAGTGGCATTCCCCCGTCCAGCGGAGCCCCTGTGGCCAGGGCACCACCTGCCCACCGACCCCGGCCCAAGTCCACCCCAGATGCCTGCCTGGAGCATTGGCGGGGCCTGGAAGCTGAAGACTGGACAGCAGCCCTGCTGAGCAGAGGTCGAAGTCGCCAGCCCCTGGTGCTGGGGGACAACTGCTTTGCTGACTTGGTGCACAACTGGATGGAGCTGCCTGAGGCAGCAGGTGAGGGGGACAGTGGGGGTGGGCCCCGTGCCCGTGCAAGGCCCCCCCAGTTCCTGCTTGGCCTCTCGGAGCAGCTGCGGCGCCAGCTGGCCAGGGCCCGCCGGGCAGCCATGGCAGGAAAGCGACTGTCATGCCCACCTCGAGCAGAACCCGAACTGCCTGCAGATGTCTCACGCTTTGCAGCCCTCATGAGCTGCCGCAGCCGCCAGCCCATCATCTGTAATGATGTTGTCAGCTACCTCTGACCCTGCCCTCCAGCCTGGGACAATAAAGGCCTTTCTCTGGACTGTCCTTGGTTCCATACGCCTGAGTCTGGAAGGCAGCTCCAGCCCTTTGAGGCCCAGCCCAGGCACTGAATCTAAAGAGCCTTTTCCCTCCCTCCAGGGGTTCCTGTGTGCCCTTGTCACACCGTGTGTGCGCATTACTGCCCATTATTTCATCGTCCAGCCTCTCCATTCATTCATACCTTCCTTCAACAAGCATTTATTGAGCACCTATTGGAGGCTCTGATGCAGAGCTCTGCAGGGGTGGTGGGCTGCTGCCTTGTCACAGCTGGTAATGTAGGGGTGGAAAGGTAGTGTCGTCATCCTCACCCTCACAGCTGAGCTCCAGTACCAGCACTCGCTGCCCAGGCTCAGGTACTTGCCGTTGTGTCACCTGTCTCACCAATTCTGTCACCCTGGTGGCGTGCAGGGGCAGGGGGGATCGGGTATTTCAGCAGTGGCAGGAGAGAGTGACCATGGACTAGGGGGTGCTGATGGGCCATAAGGAGCCTGAGCCAGGAGCAGGAGCAACTCAAGACAGGAAACATCTGAAACTATTTTCAGAGCGGCTGGTGGGGCGGGCAGGAGGCAGGAAATGGCTAGTCCCCTGGGAGTGGGCTATGAAGGGGGGCCCTGAGCAGGCTGTGGAGGAGCTGGTGGGCTGGCCAAGCAGGCAGCCCCTGGAGGCCTCTCCCCAGGCTCTGGGCCCTCACCCCACCTCCGGCCCATTTGCTGACTCCATTTGGCAAAAGAGCTTCAGGAAGGTGTGAGGGGCCCAAATGGGGCTGGGAAGAGGAAAGGCTTCGTGTTCCCTACCTCCAACCTCCAGGGACTGAACAAAGCCTGGCTAAAGCCAGGTGTGGGCTCACCTGAGGGGCAGGCGCCTGGCCCTCTCTTCAGGTGACCATCCTGCCGAGTAGAGCAGGGCCGTGTCTTGCAGCAGCATCTTCACCCTCAGCCCATGTTGTTCCTAGAGAGACAGGTCAGGTGCCAGCTAGGCCAGGTGGGGCCAGGCCTGGGGGTGGGAAGGAAAAAGGCACACCTGGAGATGGGCCAGGAGTGATTCCAGGGTCCTCTCGGGCTGCCCAGCAGGCACCTCCAGGCGGTCCCAGCAGGTCCAGGTCAGGTGATGGAACTGGGGAGTGGTGGGGAGGAGTGAGAAGCTTCCAACAAACACCCTCTCCCTACCCCAGTTACCAGCAGCTGATGGCCCCTTTCCTAGAGGAGGAGCTGGACTAGAGGCAGGAAGCAGAAGCCAGGGGGTGGGGGTGGAAGGTGGGATCTGGGCCCAGAGTCTCAGCACCCTCCCAGCCCATGCTGGGGCCAGCACAGGAAATGGAGCAGGGGGCCCCCACACAGGGAAACAAGCGATCCATCACACAGGCTGGTTGTGTGTAGGAGAGGGGGAGGGTGGTGCTTCCTGAGGAAGTGGGAGAGGGCCCCTGGGCCGAAGTCTCTAATAAAGCAGCTTATCCCTCAAATGTGAGTCTGGGAGCTGGGGAAGGGGGTGTACATCCTGTCCCCTCATCCTGTACTGCCAGTGCCTTGGATCACTCGGGCACAAAGGGCTAAGAGACACAGTGACCATTGGAACCCTACTGGCCTGGAGACCCCAGCAGGGACACAAGTCCAGAGAGGTCTCCTCTTCCTGTCCCTTCTTTCCTTCCCTATTTCAAGAGTCTTGGGGTTCTAGTGCCCAGAGGTGAGAGCAGAAGGGTGGCAGGCAGCCAGGGACTAGGACATGAGATCCTTCCCCCCGCCCCGGAACATATAGTGGGGTCAAGCTGAGACAGGACCAGAGGTGAATTGGGGGGGAATCCTCCCTCCTCCCCCTCTACCATGCACAAAGGCAGCCTGTCTGCTAACTAGAGGCGGGGCCCCTCACAAAGGGGCTCTGTATGCTGGGCCCTGAGGGACCCCAGGGCTCCTCAGCAAAAGCCCAGAGCTAGCCCATGACCTCTCCTTTCTCCCTGGTGAGGACATTCTCTCCAGCCCCTCTTCTGTGCCCCCAGGAAAAGCTAACTACTCCAGAGCCTGGGCACACAGCCAGGGCCATTCACAGCCCTGCACTCGAAGGAACATATGCACACAAGCCCAGGAACACCCACACGTGTACTCTCATGCACACCCATGATAGCCCACATTGAAGAAGAGCCCTGCACTCCCATCTGGTACACAGATGTGTAAGCATGCTCCCTCCATGCCCACACAACACAGGGCCAGGGGTGGCCAGGGATGCCCAGGCTCCGGCACACTCATACTGTGACATGAACACACACATCTGCACAGAGCTGCAGACCCCACACCCGGGGCAAAATGCTCAGTGCCCTTTAATTCACTTTGGCTGGGGCAGGCCAGCATCCCCACGCCATACAGGCTCAGGCTGATGTTAGACTCTGTTTGGGGCTAGGGCCCTAGTCCCCCTCCTCAGCCCCTCCCCCTCGGGGCACTCCTGGGAAGGAGGGGGCTGTGGGGGATGTCTGGCTCACTAATGAGTTAAAGCTGCAGCTCCCCCAGACCCAGGGCAGCAGAAGGTTGGGCGGTAGGGGTGGCTGATGGCTACTTCCTGTGTCTGACAGGTCCCAGCCTGGCTTTACAGCAGCAGCAAGGGGGCTGAAGGGAGGGAGTCTTAAGAATCTGGGTCTTGGTACAAGCCAGAAGCCAGAGTAGGGCCTGTGCGGGTAGGAGTGGGGAAAACCCAGGCTCGGTGGGAGTGGGGTGTCAAGGGCTCACCCTCTGGGTGGCTGGGGCACGGGGCACATAGCGGCTAAAGGAGTTTTCAGCGAGGTGCAGGTAGCTGTGGCGAAAGGCACTGAGGGGCCGTGGCCCGCTCACCACCTTAAATAGCTCCAGGCCCACCAGGCCCACCACAGCTGCCGTAGTGGTGGCAATGGCTGGGATAATCTGGCCCACGATTCGCTTGCTCTGCAAGGACAGGAGAGGGTTAGGACCAGGGTGTAGGGCCAGGACTTGACCCCCACCTCTACACTGGAGTCCCAAGGGGCAGGGTTACCTGGATGCGGCTGGCTGGTGGGATCCCATAGTTCTGAGCTCGCAGGCTTGCTGCGGCTGTCACAAAGTCCACATGGAAGTTGCTGTCATCATCCTATGAGGTTCAAGTCACAGTGGTGTTAGCACTGCCCGTGCCTCTCACTACGGCCGACTGTGTTCCACTGCACAGATCTTCCCACAGTTCTGTCCAGTGGATGCTCACATGCCCCACTTATCAGAAAAAGAAGGCGAGCTGCTCCTGGGGTCCTGCCGAGAGGACAACTCAGGCCAAGGGGCTCCAAAGCTACCTTCTTAGCTCTTGACCTTCCCCAACAATCTCCCCAGCCTAGCCCTTCACCCCTACTTGAGCTCTCACCTTCTCAAACCTCAGGGGCTCCAGTGGGGAGCCCTTACTCCAGTCTTGCAGGGCTTCGTTCAGTCTCTCCACCTGCTCAGGGCCTGTCAGGGAGGGAGGTGTCGGGACAGACCTTAGCCCCCATCTCCTGTACTCTTCCTGGAGCCTGGGGCCTCTTCCTGGTCTCTGCCAAGCCTATGGTCTCTCCCCTTTCAGGAAGCCCTCTGACTGATGTTACAATCTCCTCTCCCGCAGCCCCAGAACCCCCACCCTGTGGTATGTGTATGTCTGTGCATGTGTGCGTGTGTGTGTACATGTGTGTATGTGCGTGTGTGTGTGTGTGTGTGTGTACTATGTGACTGTCTCCTCACCTAGGGGCCATAGATATGTGCTCCCCAGGGCCCAATGGTTTGTGCTTTTTTGGCTAAAACTCTGTCGAGGGACGGGGATGGGGTGGGGGGTTGAGTAGGCAGCAGGGAGAGGGCCTACTGAGGGGGCAGAGGATGAGCCTGAGAGGTAGTGAGTTGGCTGCAGAGCCCCCAGGCCCTCTCTTTCTCCTACACAGGCTGAGGGTAGGGTCAAGCCTTTGGGTGGCAGCGTGGGAGTGGGCGGCCAGGGACCTCACCAAGCTCAGTGGAAGCCAGGTCACTGGAAAAGATGGAGTCCAGGTGTTGGGGGTCAGTCAGTGGCTGCAACTCCAACATGTTCCTGAGTGCAGGCTGGTCTCGTGAGCCAGGCAGCCCATGCATCTGGGCGTACAGGTTAGCCGCTGCCAGCACATAGAGCAGGTGCGTGTCCTGCAGTCAGACCAAGAGGTGGAGGCCGACGCACAGGTGTGACCGAGCGTGCAGGGTGCCCGGGGTGGGGTCACCGCCCATCTGTGGATGCGTTTGAGTGCCCGCCTCTGCTTCGCAAGTGGATACCCACGTGTGCCCAAACATGGCTTTATCTCTCAGCATCTGAGCAGAGGTGCCCACCTTTGCTCTCAGGGGCCACTTTGCTATCTCGGGGCTCACAAAGGGACCCCACTCACTTGACTGGCATCAAACTCCAAGGGCTGAGGACACTGTTTGGGATGCGACCAGAAAAGTGTTCCATCCTTAAGCACCTAAGGAAACGGAGGCTGCTGGGCTCAGTCTGGTCCCTCTGAGCCCTCAGCCTCCGGACCCCTAACCACCCACTTTATCAGGCGGGTAGCGCCTGAGCAGCTGCCTGATGCCGTAACGGAAGCAGAGCTGCCAGTGGCCAAGGGCCCACACTACACAGTCTTGCCAGTTCTGTGGACGATGTCTCAGGACGCCCACCACCACCTGCAGCAGGGGCAGCGACTGTGGCCTGTCACTGTCTGCCAGAGAAGTAAGTGCCCTGTGGAGAGGGGAGGAAGTTTTAGGCTAAGACTTGAAGACTCTGGTGTTAGGGACCCTGGATTCACATCCACCCCCGTTGGTGGCCTTACTGTTGGGAGCAGTTGATGGTCTTGGCAGACAGACAGAAGAGCCTCTCAAACTCATCCCGGGCCCACTGTTGGGGAGGAAGGAACCATAGGTGTCAGGTGGGGGCAGGTCTGCAGCTGAGGACTGCGCTGCGGGGCAGGGGTGTCCGGGGGCTTCCCACCTGCAAGGTGTGTGCAGCCGTGCTGGGGAAGTACCGCATGGTGCAGACAGGGTCGGGCGCATCCTCAGCAGCGGAGGCAGGGCCTCTGTAGCCCTCAGTCACATGCGGCACAAACACTGACGCACTGCCCCGCGTGCCCTGTGTGCCTGCTTCCAGCAGTGGCTTCAGATAGTGGGTGCAACGAGCAGCCGCATAGGACCCTGGCAAGGAGGCAGAGGGTCAAGGTGGGGCTGGCACGACCTTGGACAAGGGGCTGAATTCCAAAGTCCTGCACTCACGGGCCTGGAAACTGTCCACAGCGGCTACCACGCCGTCCACGCAGGAGAAGAAGTCGTCCCCATAGATGTGCTCTCCGGTGGGATCCAGAGGGTAGGTGAGTGGGGTCACCTTCAGGTCTGGGTTCAGGCGGCGAGCGGCCTCTGCAGCCACCTCTGCCTTGGGCTTCTGAGAAGAAAGCAAAAAGACGCTGGGTGAGGGGCAGGGGATATTGTAGGACAGTCCAGGACACGGGTGTTGGGAGGGGCAGAGACTCACACCAATGTCTCGAGGCCTGAAGAGGAATTGACGGCTGAGGTTGGAGCGCTCGACGTGGTCCATGTCGGCGACAGTCAGGCCCCCGTTGGCCCCGGCCCCCAGGCCCACTAGGGCAAAGCCTTTGAGCAGCTCGCAGCCGACAGCACCAGCACCCACCTGCAGGCAGGAGGAGCCTTAGCCACAGGGCCTGGCCTGGGCCTCCCACAAACACTCCCACCCTCACTGCACAGCTCACCAGGAGGTAGCGCTGGTGGCTCAGCGTCTCCTGAAAACCAGCCCCAAACACCGCGATTTGCCCATCGTAGCGGCAGCCTCTCTGGGGAACACAGGCACAGTCAGTGACGGCTGCTGGCCGGTGCTGCTTGTCCCTCCACTGGGCTTTCCAGGTCAGGACCGCAGGACCATTCCTCCTGTTTCTCCCCTCGTCCTGCGTCTGGACGAGTTGCGTACCCCACCCCAGGTTCTCACCGGTGCGCAGTCCTTAGGATTAGGAAGGAACTCCCCCTCTTCTGGGAGGCAATCGAGGGCGTCAAAATACAGCCACTGGTCCAGGGGCACGAACTTCCTGGAGACTGCCTAGAGACCAGCACCTTAGGGACCCCTGCCCCCTCCTAAGCCCTTGGATCTGGGCTGGGGGCTGCACCCAGGCTGGTGAAGCCTCCAGGGTCACTGTTGGGAGTTGGGCACTCTCTGGCGCCCACAGTGACCTCTGCATCCCTCCCAGCTCCACTCCGCCTGAGCCCGCACCCACCTTCAGCACTTCCTGGGCGGCCACTGCACCCAGCATGGCTGCCATGGGGCTCAAGACACCAGCACTACTCAGGGCAACCGTCCGCACGAGAGCTTCATCTAGCGGCTCTCCCTCTGCGCCCCTCAGTGGTTCCAGGGCCCGGGCCAGGTCCACCACCTTCTCGGCATCGGCCTGCAGGGCAGAACTCCGTAGGCACAGCAGCCCCAGCCTGAGCTCCAGCCCCCACTCCGGCCCTTCAGGCAGCCCCCCACCCTGCGCCACAGAGAAGGAAGAAGCGGCCTGAGTGGGAAGGCAGACAGGGCCGGGTGCGAGGCTGTGCAGCCCCGCCAGGGGACAAGGGCCCTGGAGGCTTCGCCCATCTGGGTGCAGCTTCCAGCCTGAGCTGAGGGCTAGGAGGTGGCAGGGCCCCAGGCTCTCCTTTATATGAGGGGGAAATTGCCTCTGAGGTTCAAACACGGCTTTGTAAGAGGGCCACTGTCGCCTCCCAGCAGCGGAGACTCCGATGAGACAGAGGCTGGGGGAGGGGCGGTGGGGGCACTCACCGGATCCCAGGGCTGTGGTGGGCGGCCACTGAGGTGCTGGAACTTGTGCAGTGCACGGAAGGCCTGGTGCAGGCAGCGGGCACGGCGACCTTCCTGGGGACTCTGGGCTACCACGTGGGGTCGGAGTAGGGCTGTATCCAGGGGGTCCTGCGGGGCACTAGGCTCGGGCACAAGTCCACAACACTGTGGACCCCTGAAGTCTCCCAAGTTCCCCCACCTCGGATGCACTGGCACTCACATGGCTCACAGTCTCGGGTTTCCTGACCTCAGTCACAGCTCCGCCACGTAAGTAACAGGAGAAACTTGTTGTGTCCCCAATCTCCAAGGTCCCGTCCTCTGGGAGATACTCAGCCTCATTAGTGTGACCTCTGACCCTGAGTAGTTCCCCAGACTCTGTCCTATCTTGCATCTGTGTCCCTGACTTTGCCCCGCCTGGAGGAGGGCAGAGGGAGAACCTATTCCCAAGGTTCAGGCTGCGTCTGTTCCCAGTGGGGGCTTGGGTGCCGAGCCTAGAACTGGAGTGGGGTTGGCTTACCTTGCACGCGGATGGGCCGGGGATCACAGCCGTTGAGCTCAGTCATGCCCTCGATGCCCGAGAAAGTCACCCAATCCCCGTCACGGAAGTAGCGGGCGTCAGCCTCTTTTCTCAGAGTGAGAATGCCAGGGGAGCCCTGGGTAAGAGATGGCTTGGCCTAGAGGTGCCCGTAGCTGCTTCCACAGGCTCTGCCTCCCCGCCCGCACCTAGCGCCCACCTGGGAGATGTGCTGGATGGCAGCTGTCAGGGGTTCTTCCTCTGCAAGGTCCTGAACAGTGAAGTCCTTGCCAAAGTCACAGAACAGCTGCCTGTGGGGGTGGCAGAGTCACTGAGACGGCTCAGTGGTCAACCACACGATTGTGGCGAAGGGAGACACTGGGGGCCAGAACCAGGAAAGCATGCTGGGAAGGGCTTGGTAGCTGGAGCCTGAGGGAACCGCTGGAGCGTGTCTCCAGGCTGGGGTGGAGGAAGCAGAGGGGTGGGACTGGAGCCCAGAATCAGAAGGGGATGCTGAGACAGGCCCCTGCTGGGTGCAGGGGCACGCGAGCAAGCCTGGAACCAGGGATAGCACTGGGACCGTGCTGTCTGTGATGTGGCAGGCTAGGCAGGCATCTCACTCACCCCACAAGGCCTCGGGTGCCAGCCACCAGAAAGCAGACGCCATGCTTGTGGCATAAGGTGCCCACCTTCAGCTGCTCCTCTAGGTTCGAGGCAGTCAGCACCACCACCTGGGTGGACCTCATGATCAGCAGGTCCAGAACCACTGCCCAGCCCACCCTGCAGCTAAGGGCTGGAGAAGGGGGCTGGGCTGGCCTGGGAGGGAACCTGGAAGTCCCGCAGCAGGTCCTCGGTGATGTCGCCTGTGTGGACGCAGACCTGGACAGCTTCGTTGAGCTTGGCCACACGTTCTCGAGATGCCTCAGCTCTGCTTCTTGCCAAGTCCTGCTCCGAGAGGAAAAACTGGAGAGAGACCCAGTCCAGCCTGAGCAAGGAGATGCCTCTTGGGCCCTAACCCCACCTGTTCTGTGAACCTATAGCCTCCAGGACACTTACCTGAGCAGCCAGGTCAGACCAGCAGGTGGGGTGGGGGTCATGCAGAGTGAGGCTGCCCACGCCCATCAGGACCAGGTTTTTGGCCACCTCAGCCCCCAGGCCCTGAAGCCCTGACAGCAGGACCTTACCCTCCTGAAGCCTCTGCATGGCTGGCAAGCCCAGCACATACCTATGGATGAGAAGTAAGAGGGCAGGCAAATTGGAGGTCAGCAGTCAGAAGGCCACCCCTCTCCCCTCCCTGCCTCTGGCCTCACAGCTGCCGAGAGTACAGCTCCTCATCCAGCGACTTGGGGGTGCCCAGGACATCCATCCTGAGGCCGGGGCTGGACAACAGGCTGCAGTGCTGACAGCAAGGGTCTCCGTGGGAGGCGGTGCCAGCAGAGCTCAGTGCCAGCTGTGGCTAGTGCAGCCACTGAGGCTAAGGGAATGGAGGACGCTGCTGGTCACAGCTTTCTGCTTGGCTCCTCTGTCATTTCAGGGAAAGCAAAAATGAAAGTGAAACTGGACTCTGATCTGGTTCCTGGTCCTGCCTCCAATCATACTGGACAGCCTAGCCCGGCAAAGATAAGCCTAGCAGCCTCAGAGCACAGGCACGGTCGGTCAGAATGCCTGGGTCTGTCCGGCCCTTGGGAGAGCAGGAAGGGGGCAGGCCGTGGGAGGGACGCATATGGGCTGGATGCAGTGGTCTCCCGTGGCTCCCTAGATGTCCCAAACCTCGGGCCTTTCTTCCCCGCAGGTGACCCTGCCTGAATGGGCTTCCTGCCCACAGAATGCAGAACAGGAATTCCCTGTTCTGAGGATTCACAGGCCTGCTTGTTGGCCACCACACAGGGACTTAGAGACCCTAGAGGTTGGAGCCAGTCCCGGCCCAGAGGCTGTGGGAGATTAAGAGGTTATGCCTCGCCCTGGCCGGTTTGGCTCAGCAGTTAGAGCGTCGGCCCACGGACCGGAGAGTCCTGGTTTCGGTGCACGCTAAGGGCACGTACCTCAGTTGCAGTTTGTCCACGGCCCTGGTTGGGGTGTGTGGGTGGCAACCACTCGATGTGTCTCTCTCACATTGATGTTTCCCTCTCTCTCTTCCCCACTCTCCCTCCTGCTCTATCTGAATATAAATGCAAAAATGTCCTGGGGTGAGGATAAAAAAAGGCCTGCCCCCTTCCTGCTCGCCCAAGGGCCAGCAGACCCAGGCATTCAGACCTGGGAGTGGGAGGCATGGGGCAGCCATAATCACATGTCTTTATTTTTCCCTTAAACTTTTATTTTGAAATAATTATAGACTCAAAGGAAGTTTCAAAAATAGTGCAGCAAGGCCCCGTGCAGCCATCACCTAAGACGCGTTGGTTTGCCATCCCAGGGCCTGAGACCGGCACGGGCCACGGCTCCTCAGAACTCCACACTGCTAAACCGTGTGCTGCCATGAATTCTTTTTAAAATTGGGATAAAATTCATAGGACATGAAAATAATCATTCAAAGTGTACAATTCAGTGAAATTTCATGTATTCACAATGTGCAACCACCCTCTCAAAACGTTTTTTATAACCCACTGAAGAACACCCCCACCACAGTAAACCATCACTACCCACCCTACCCCAACCCCCTGGCAAACACTTAACATTCTTTGTCTCTAGAGACTTGCCTATTCTGGACATTTCATATAACAGGATTCATACAGCCCTGGTCGGGTGGCCCAGTTGGTTGGAGCGCTGTCCTGTACACCAAAAGGGTACAGGCTTGATTCCCAGTCAGTGCACATACCTAGGTTTTGGGTTTGGTCCCTGGCTGGGGTGTGTACAAGAGGAAACTGACTGATGTTTCTCTCTCACATCGACATTTCTCTCTCCCTTCCTAATAAAAAACAAATCCTTGGGTGATGATTAAAAGAAAAGGAATCACACAGAATGTGAACTTTTTTTCACTTAGCACGCTTTTGAGGTTCAAATCGTAGCATATATCAGTACTTCATCCTTTTTTTTTATCCTCACCTGAGGACATTTTTTCATTTTTTGTTCAGATAGAGCGGGAGGGAGAGGGAGGAAGAGAGAGAGAGAGAGAGAGACATCGATGCGAAAGGGACACATCCAGTGGCTGCCACCCGCACGACCCAACCAAGGCCGGGACAAACTGCAACCGAGGTACATGCCCTTAGAGGGAACCAAACCCGGGTCTCTCTGAACCGCAGGCTGATGCTCTAACCACTGAGCCAAACAGGCCAGGGCCTTCATCCCTTTTTATGGCTGAATAATATTCTATTGTATGCATATGTCACAATTTGTTTATTCAGTCACCTGTTAATGGACTTTTGAGTTGTTTCCACCTTTTTCTTAAATTTTTTTTCCTTTATTGATTTTAGAGAGAAAGGAGGGGAGAGGGAGAGAGAGATAGAAACATCGATGACAAAGAACATCTATTTCCCCCCACTGGATATTTGGCCCACAACCGGGGCATGTGCCCTGACAAGGAATCAAACCAGTGACCTCCTGGTGCATGGGTTGATGCTCAACCACTGAGCCACGCCGGCAAGGCTGTTTCCACCTTTTGGATATTATGAATAGTGAGTACTGTTATGATTATGCGTGAACATGCACTTGAGTCCCTGTTTTCATTTCTTTGGGATATATACACAGGAATAATTGGTCACATGGTAATTCTATGTTGAATTTTTTAAAAATTATTTTCTTTTTCTTTATTGATTTTCGAGAGAGAGGAAGTGAGAGGGAGAGAGAGATAGAAACATCGATGAGAGAGAACATCAACTGACCGCCTCCTGCATGCCCCTCACTGGGAGTTGGGCCCACAACCTGGGCATGTGTCCTGGTAGGGAATCGAACCGGTAACTTCTTGGCGCATGAGTCAATGCTCAACCTCTGAGCCACACTGGCTGGACTCTATGTTGAATATTTTGAGGAACCAAACAAATGTCTTCCATGAGTAGTGCACAAAATTCCTATTTGTCCACGTTGTGGCCAATATTGGTTTTTCTTTTCTTTTTTTTATCCTCACCCAAGGACATTTTTCCATTTTTTTTGTTCAGATAGAGTGGAAGAGAGAAACATCGATGTGAAAGGGACACATCGAGTGGCTGCCACCAGCACAACCCAACCAGGGCCGGGTTCAAACTGCAACCGAGGTACATGCCCTTAGCAGGAACCGAACCCGGATATCTCGGGACTGCAGGCCTACCAGGCTGACGCACTAACTGCTGAGCAAAACCAGCCAGGGCTGGTTTTTCTTTTCTTTTTTAAAAAAAGTATACCCATCCTAGTGGATATAAAGTAGAAGGTGATTGTGTGTGTGTATTTTCAGTCAATAAACATTTAAAATATTAATTTACTTTTCTTATTAATTTTGGGAGAAACATTGATTTGTTGTTCCACTTATTTATGTGTTCATTAGTTGATTATTATATGTGCCCTGACTGGGGATCAAACTACAACTTTGGCATATTGGGACGATGCTCTAACCAACTGATCTACTGGCCAGGGCCCATATTCTCTTGACTACTTTAGCTTTATAGTAAATCCTGAAGTTGGGTAGTGTCAGTCCTTGGACTTGTTCTTCTTCAGTACTGAGTTGGCTATTGGTCTTTTGCTTTTCCATACAAACTTTTTTTTTGGTTAATCCTCACCCGAGTATATCTTCCCATTGATTAGGGATTTAGACAGAGTGAAAAGGAGGGATACAAGGAGAGAGAAACATCCTGCACAAACTTCCCGCACAACCCCCACCAGGGCCAGGGAATCAAATTTGCAACCCAGGTACATGCCCTTGACCGGGAATTGAACCCAAGACCCTTTGGTCCACAGGCCAAGGCCCTAACCACTGAGCAAAACCAGCCAGGGCCATATAAACTTCTGAATTAGTTTGTTAATAATTTGCTGGGATTTTTTTTTTTGATAGAGTGGAAAGAAGGGAGAGGGAGGGAGAGCGAGCGAAACATCCACATGAGAGAGACACATCGACTGGTTGCCTACCACATGACCCCGACCAGGGCCGGGGACAAACTGTAACCAGTGTATGTGCCCTTGACCGGAATCGAATCCATGACTCAACCCTCAGTCCGCTGGCTGATGCTCTAACTGCCGAGCCAAATCGGCCAGGGCTTGCTGGGATTTTTATTGGACTTTTGTCAATTCTATAGAACAAGTTGGGAAGAACTGACATTTTTTTTTTCTTTATTGATTTTAGAGAGAGAGGGGAAGGGAGAGGGAGAGAGAGGAACATTGATGAGAGAGAACATCAATTGGCCACCTCCTGCATGCCCCCCACTGGGGATCGGGCCCACAACCTGGACATGAGCCCTGACAGGGAATTAAACTGGCAACTTCTTGGTACATGGGTCGACACTCAACCACTGAGCTGTACCGGATGTTTTTAATTCTAATTGTTCACTCCTATTATATAAGAAAGAAATTGAGCCCTGGCCAGTTCTGCTCAGTGGTTAGGGCATCGGCCCATGGACCAATGAGTCGCAGGTTTGATTCCGGTCAAGGGCACGTACCTTGGTTGCGGTTCGTCCCTGGCCCTGTTTGGGGTCAGAGTTGTGAAGGACATGAAAATAATCAGTTGATATGTCCCTCAGTTGATATGTCCCTCTCATGCAGATGTTTCTCTCTCTCTCCCTCCCACTCTATCTGAAGATAAATAGAAAAATATCCCTTGGGTAAGGATTAAAAAAAAAAAACAAAAGCAAGCAACTGACTTTTGTGACTCTAGTGACTGTGAATCTTTCATTTCAGTTATTGTACTTTTCAGTTCCAAAATTTGTATTTCTAAGAAATTCTTTTTCTTATGAATGAGTCATACTCTCCTGTTTATTTATACGTTTTATAGTTGTTTCTTGAGAACTGAATAGTATGCTATGGTAACTCTGGAAAGTGAATTCTCCCACACCTCAGGGATTGCTAAATTTTGCTTCTTGACTGCTGAAGCTGTCCATTTGTGAATCTTTCAAACTGTTTTTTCAAAATATGCATTCCTTGCGTATGGTCGGTGGTTTCTGTCCCACTCGCTCTGCTGTCACTAATGACCTAACAAGACCTCTGGTTAAAGAAAAGGGACGCCGGACTGCACGGATCTTCAGGGCTTCCGACGGGTGCCGCCGCCAGTCGTCTACAGGGGCCGTGGTCTTCGGGCTGTGCTTAGGTTAGAGCATGTGGACACAGCTGCATGATTTCAGCCCTGGCTGGTTTGGCTCAGTGGTTACAGCATCGACCTGTGGTCCAGGGAGACCCAGGTTCGGTTTCCCCTAAGGGCATGTACCTTGGTTGCAGTTTGTCCGAGGCCCAGGGTCATGTGGCAGGCAGCCACTCGATGCGTCCCTTTCACGCTGATGTTTCTCTCTCTCTTCCTCTCTCTACCCCCAACTCTATCTGAACAAAAAATGGAAAAATGTCCTCGGGTGAGGATAAAAAAAAAAAAAAAGCTGCGTGATTTCATTCTTGCTACAGTCTCTTTGTGCCCTATGAGAGGTACATGCCTAAGGGTCTGAGTCTAGGTGAAGGTCCTGCTTGAGAAAGTCATGCCACAATTCTCCAAAGTGCAAATTTACACTCCCAGACCCAGGAACACTTTTTTTTTTTTTTTAATTTTCAACATAGAAATCTTGCGCCCATCTTCTGCCCTCCACCATCCCTCACTCCCCACTGCTTGCCCAGGCCATGCCTAGCAGGATGCCAGAAGCTGCCTGTGAGGCCTCACACACTTTGGTCCATACAGTCAACAAAAGACCCTAGTCTGGAGGATCGGAAGCAGCCCAACATCTGGTCATGGCTATAAATGGGAGCCCACAGCCAGGAACAAGCCCTGCTGTCGGGAACGGTGAGCTGGTCACAGCTCCCACAGCTAGGCCCAGTATGGTGGGCGTGGGGCAGGGTGCACACTGAAAAGCACATCCTCTGGGCCTCACCCTCAGCCCCATCTTCTTGTCTCCCATTGCCCTTGAGGCTGCTGCTGGAGGAGGAGCCATGTCCCCCAGCCTCCTGCTCAGCCAGTCCTCAGCCTGCAAGTTGGAGGCATTTTTCTGGCCAGTGATCAGAGTCACTGTTCTCACTACCACAGGAAGGTGTCCAGCTTGGCCTGGGAGGGAGGGAGCACTTTCCTGGCCCCCACTTTCTGCTTAGTCTTGGGCTTGGGCTTCACAGGCAGTGGGCGGATCACAGTTGTGTCAGTCTGGAGGAGGTGTCAAGGAAAAGGCCTAAAGAGGGGTTGGAACGCAGGGCAGGAAAAGCTTAGACTTGGGGTGGGCTGACCCACTATACTCAGTAAGGTCTGGCTCTGCACACCTGAGGTTGCAGCCTCCTGCAGGCTGGGTTTGGGGGTACAGGTAAGGAATGCTGTGGGCTCTCTAGCTCAGCTCAGTCCAGTGCCACAGAACAAGGATACAGGCTGGATGAATTTCGTCCGGCCTCCAAGACCATCGAAGCCGGTCCTTACCTAAAGTAAAAGGAAGAGATGAGGAGATCAGGCTAATGGCGGTGGGGCTGGCCACCCTGCCCCTCCCCAGAGGGCTGGCACTTGCTACTTGTGGGAAGCCATACTCACCGCATCTGTGCTGCGACAGGGCTCTGCCCTGGCTCTCTTGGGTTGTTTCTGGCCCAGGACAGCATTCCGGATGAAGACAGGGAAGGCACCAGCCAGCTCCTCATCTGGTTCTCCCACACAGCGCTGGCCTCCCAGAGAGAGCTGGGATTCCTGCAGGGGAGACCCCAGAGCCAGACTTGATGAGCTGGATGGCAGCAAAGGAGTGGATGAGGGTGTGGTGGCACAGGGTCTGGCAAGACACTGCCCTCACCCTGGCTGGTTTGGCTCAGCGATTAGAGCATTGGCCCATGGACCAGAGTCCCGTGTTCAATTCCAGCCAAGGGCACATACTTCAGTTGTGGTTTGTCCCTGGCACTGGTTAGGGTCATGCGGAAGGCAACCAATAGATGTGTCTCATCAATGTTTCTCTCTCTCTTCCTCCCTCCCTCCCTCCTGCTCTATCTGAAGATAAATGGAGGAATATCCTTGGGTGAGGATTAAAAAAAAAAGACCCAGCCCTCAGAAGTCCAGCTGCACACTCAGTCCTGGCCAGGGTTAGACTGAGCTCTTCGGGGAGCCTTACCTGCTTGGAGCCTTCGGACATCTTCTTGGGAACATTCTGCATGGGAGGGCTAAGAGACATGAAACAAAAAGCAGGTGAGCAAGACACAGGGACAGGGTGGTCAAGCTGACATACCCCTTGCGGAGCCATTGTGTGGCACGGCTGCTGTCGTGGCTGTGTGCTGGGCAAGGCTCCTCTATGATCCCCACTCCAAGTACAGATCTGTGAATAGCTGGACAGCCATAGCTGCCAGAGTGGCGGAGACAGGGAAGGTTGGACCATGTCCCAACTTGTGGCTTCCACTCAGGGATAAGCTAATTCCCATGCTCTCCAAGCCTTCGGGCACCTCACCATGTCCCAGGGCTCTATGTGGGCAGGAGAGCCCACAGGAGGAAAACCAGTCATGCCCTGCCACGGGCAGACACACCTAATGAACTCAGGCCTCACCCTGTCTGCCAAAGAGGGGCCACCACCTCCAGGAGACCTTCAGTAAGTTAAATAGCCCATAAAGTACTCTAGCTAATCTAGATAAATTGTGCAGGCAAGGTCTGGGGCAGAACACATCATGGCCCCAGGCCTGGCCTCTCGTTCCCAGCTCCAGAGCTTGACACAGTGTTTCCATCCAATTCCTGGGGATCCTAACAGCTGGTATTTTCCCAGGTGGGTGGGAGGATAGTGACCTAAGGTTGACCCTGTGGCTTCTCAAAGCCACACGGACAAGGGCAAGATCAGGGCCTGCTGACCCTCTGCTCCTGTCCCCATAGCCTGTGGTGAGGCCACATGAAGACCGTGGGAAGACTCTTCACTTGCTGTTAAGTCTGAGTCTGGATAGGCTGGTCCAACTTGGGGGTGTCCTGGGCTCCCTCACATCCCCTGCAGGCTCTGAAGATGGTAGAAATGTCTCTAAAAGGCCCCAGATACCCAGTTTCAACATTTAAAAAAGGCAACATGAGAAGCCAGGGTGTGGAATAGGCACTGCTAAGCCCCTGACTGCAGCCCTCTGGCCCCAGGTCTGTTTCTCATCCCTGTGCAGCACACATGCCCTTTGGCCCTCTCCCTGAGCCCCCTCCACCTTGCGCCCAGCATTTCCATTTCTTTCTCTCGTGTCCCAGGTCTTTGATTAAGAGGAAACCTGGTGTCCGGCCGGTGTGGCTCAGTGGTTGAGCGGAAACCAAGGCACCAAGAGGTCACCAGTTCAATTCCCGGTCAGGGCACATGCCCAGGTTGTGGGCCAAATCCCCAGTGGGGGGCATGCAGGAGGTGGTCAATCGATGTTCTCTCTCATCAATGTTTCTATCTCCCCCTCTCTCTTCCTCTCTCTCTAAAATTCAATAAAAACATTTTTTAAAAAAACCATAATTCCTGCCTTATAAAAAAGACAGGAAACCTGCTCAGCTCTTGACCTCCCTTACCTGGGGAGTGTATACTTACATGTACGTACAGAAACAGTTCTTGTCTCCAGGCTACGCTACATTTGGCCTGCGTGGCCAAGGAGACAACCCCGCTCCCAGTCCCACCATCTCCATCCCCCTGGAGCTCCACGGGGCTTCTCACACCTGCCCCTGTGGGCTACCCTAGGGTGGGGGCCCGGACTCCATGGTTTGAGACGGTCCTGCTTGGAATATGAGTCTGAGAGGCACACAAAGGAAGAGGAGGTGCAGAGTCCCTGGCTCAGGACTCTGGTGGGCAGGTGCTCAAAGTATTGGGAGCATAGCTCACCACACACCATCAGCCAGTACTTGCCCCCACTGGAACCTCTGTATTTTCGCCAACTCACATCCCAACACCCTTGCTTAAAGGGTGATGGTGAAGATTAATTAGATAGGCAAAGCAAAGGCTTTGCACACAGTGAGTACTCAGGAGAGGAGAGAAGAGATGGCTGGAACTAAAGCCACAGTCAAGCCCAGGTGACCTTACGGCCCCATCAGCCACTCCGAGCTATCAGGGCAGGGCCTGCAGGTATCTCTTAGCTACCCTCCCTCCGGAATGCGGACAGGGCCAGGGACTACCACTTACTGTGCCTTCTCTGGGCAGAGCTTCTTGGCATGGCCATGCTGAATACCTGAGGGCCGGGCTGGGGGGGTGTCCACATCGAAGGTGGCATTGAGGTCGATGTCATCACTGAAGGCTGGCCGGCGAAGCTTCAGGCTCAGCATCTCTAGAGGGGCGGGGCTAGAGGCATAGATAAACTCGTTACGAAGGATCACAGGGGTAGCCCAGGACAACAGCCCTTCGAGCATCAGAGATGGCTCAGCTCCAGGGGCCCGGAGCCCCATCTGGCTCAGGGCCACCCTACAAGGAAGCGCCAATCTCTACAGGCAAAACCACTTGGCTTAGTCCTTCACGTAGTCATGGGACCAGTGCATGAAAGGAAGTAAGCAAACCCCCACACAAAACCCAGATGTACAAAGACTACTGCCCTTTGACCAAGTGGCCCCATTGCTCAGAATGCAATGCAAGGAGCCAGAAATGTGACCATGGACAGATGTAAACGGATGTCCCCTTCAGTGCTCCTTATGGCAAATAGCACAATACTGGAAACTCAAAATGACTCCCCTCAAGCGCTGGCACTTTCGTAGCTTGAATATGATAGACATTAAAGTAGGGTTTCCAGACAGTAAATTTAATATGGGAAAATGCTCATCATGTATTAAGTTTCTTTTTTTAATTCTCACCTGAGGACATTTTTCCATTTTTTGTCCAGATAAAGTGAGAGGGAGGGAGGGAGAGAGGGAGAGAGAGAGAGAGAGAGAGAGAAACATCGACATGAAAGGGACACATCGAGTGGCTGCCACCCGCACGACCAACCAGGCCCAGGGACAAACTGCAATCAAGGTACGTGCCCCTAGCAGAAACCAAACCTGGGTCTCTCTGGACCACAGGCCGACGCTCTAACCGCTGAGCAAAACTGACCGGGGCTCATATATTAAGTTTTAAAAGCAATATGAAACTGTATGTATAATGGGCAACAGGAAAAAATAAATTAGACTTCATGAAAATTAAAAATTTTGTGCATTGAAAGATACTATCACAAAGTAAAAAGGCTATCCACAGAATATCTCTGATATGGAATTAAAATTTAAAGGAGACTAAAACTCAACAATAAGTAAACAAACAACCCGATTCAAAAATGAAAAGGAGAGCCCTGGCCTGTTTGGCTCAGCGGTTAGAGTGTCAGCCCGTGGACCAAAGAGTTGCGGGTTTGATTCCAGTCAAGGGCATGTACCTCAGTTGGGTTCGTCCTCGGCCCTGGTCAGGTCATGGGGGAAGCAACCAGTCGATGTGTCCCTCTCACGTCGATGTTTTTCTCTCTCTTGCTCCCACTCTATCTGAAGATAAATAAAAAAATATTCTTGGGTGAGGATGAAAAAAAAAAAAAAATGAAAAGGAGAAACACCTGTAAAAAAATTAATTAAAACAAAAAATACGGGCAAAGGCCCTGGCTGGTTTGACTCAGCGGTTAGAGTGTTAGCCTGTAGACCAAAGGGTCACAGGTTCGATTCCCGGTCAAGGACACATACCTGCGTTCCAGGTTCGATCCCAAACCCCAGTTGGGGTCATTCAGGAGGCAACCAATCGATGTGTCTCTTTCAAACAGATGTTTCTCTCTCTTTTACTCCCTCCCTCTCTTCCACTCTGTCTAGAAATTAATGGAAAAATGTACCAGGGTGAGGATTAACAAAAAGGATAAAGGACTTGAACAGATAAAAAGATACTCAAGCCCTGGCCGGTTTGGCTCAGCGGTTACAGCGTCGGCCTGCGGTCCTGAGAGACCCGGGTTCGGTTCCCGCAAAGGGCACGTACCTCGGTTGCAGTGTGTCCCCGGCCCTGGTCGGTTGTGCGGGTGGCAGCCACTCGATGTGTCCCTTTCACATCGATGTTTCTCTCTCTCTCTGTTCCTCTCCCCCCCCCCCCCCACTCTACCTGAACAAAAAATGGAAAAATGTCCTCGGGTGAGGATGAAAAAAAAAAAGAAAAAAAAAAGAAAAAAAAAAAAAGATACTCAATATCACTAACCAGTAGGGAGATGCAAATCAAAACTACCATGAGATACCACCTCACACCCATTAGGATGCTACTATCCATTAAAAATAAAAGAAACAGAAAATAACAAGTGTTGGTAAGGATGTGGAAAAATTGGAACGCATGTGCACCATTGGTGGGAATGTAAAATGGTACAACCACCATGGGAAAAAGAAAGAAACTGAGCCCGGCCTGTGTGGCTCAGTGGTTGAGTGTCGACCCACGCACCAAGAGGCCACCAGTTTGATTCCTGGTCAGGGCACATGCCCAGGTTGTGGGCCCAATCCCCAGTGGGGAGCATGCAGGAGGTGGCCAATCGATGTTCTCTCTCATCGATGTTTCTATCTCTCTCTCTCCCTCTCCGTTCCTCTCTAAAAATCAGTAAAAAAAAAAAAAAAAAAAAGAAAAGAAAAAAAATTGAAAATAGAATTCCACAGGACTCAGCCACTCCACTTTTGAGTATATATCCCAAAGAATTGGAAGCAGGCTCTCGAAGGGATGTTAGTATACCCGTGTTCACAGCAGCATTATTCACAATAGCCAAAAAAACAAAAAAAATGAAAGCAATAGGAAAGCAAAATGTGGTATATACATACAAGAGAATATTATTCAGCTTTAAAAAAAAAAGGAGCCCCGCCCTGGCCAGTTTCGCTCAGTGGTTAGAGCGTTGGCCTGCGGTCCGGAGAGACCCGGGTTCGGTTCCCGCTAAGGGCATGTACTTCGGTTGCAGTTTGTCCCCGGCCCTGGTTGGTCGTGCGGGTGGCAGCCACTCGATGTGTCCCTTCACGTCGATGTTTCTCTCTCTCTCTCTCCCTTCCTCTCTCTCCCTCCCACTCTATCTGTACAAAAAATGGAAAAATATCCTCGGGTGAGGATAAAAAAATAAATAAATAAAAATAAAAAAATAAAAAAGGAGCCCGACCAGTGTGGCTCGGTGGATTGAGCCTTGTCCATGAACAGGGAGGTCCCAGTTCAATTCCTGGTTAGGGCACAGGCAGGGGTTTCGGGCTTGATCCCCAGTAGGGGGCTTGCAGGAGGCAGCCGATCAATGTATCACTCTCACATCGATGTTTATTATCTCTCCCTAAAAAAAAAAAATCAATAAAAACAGATTTTTTTCTTAAAAGGAAATTCTGCAATACAGTCATACCTCATTTATCACAGTAATCTGTTTGACTCTAGCTGTTACACCTGGTGTTGAAAGATTCTTGGGGTGCTCGAATACATAGGCCTACAGTCCATATGTACAGTAATTTTAATTGTAATACAGGCGTGTATAATTTACTCAGACAACCAAGCACACGCTATATCATTTTCACGGTCTCGATCAACTTTTTAATGAATAGATTTGAAAAAACCGTGATAGAGAAGCCCGTAAGTCGAAGCACGAAGTGGCGACAGACGACTGTATGCTACAACATGGGTGGACCTTGAGGACATTATATATTGTGAATTAAGCCAGTCACAGGAAGACAAATACTGTATGATTCCACCAATCTGAGGTATTCAGAGTACTCAACATCATAGAGAGGGAGAATGTGGGTGCCTGCGTCTGGGGAAGAGGAGGAACTGGGGAGCTGGTGTGCGGTGGGCAGTTTCAGGTTTTCAAATGAAAGCGCTCCAGAGATGGACCGTGGTGATGGCAGCATGTTAGGAACCTAACACCAGTGAACTGCACACACTTCAGTGTTGATACATCCTATGATATATGTATTCCCCACACTGATTTGGGAACACAACTACATGTACAGTGTCCACACGTGACTTGGTGCACACACGTCTCCCTTACCCCCGTGCCAGACACAGGAAAAGGGGTGCAAGGAAGAGTACCTGTCAGCAGTGACCACTTGGTGGTAAGCCCCAATTTTCTAAATTCTCAGCAGTGACTGTGTTTTTACTTTTAGAATGGGGAGGTATTCTGTTAGAAAACTGCAGCCAATAGGATTTTTCTAACCCGTCCAGGCCTGGTGGGGCGCCCCAGCCTGTGGTCAGAGAACTCTGGGGAGTGGCAGGAGCACTCCCAAAACACCCCCTTTCCTTCCCCCAGGAACCATCCAGGGCTACCCAACGCCCTCCTCCCACTGCTCAGGGACAGAGGCTGCGACCTGAGGGCACTGGGCTCGGCTGGGGGGAGGGGGGGTGTTGATCGGAGGAAAGGGAAGTGCCTGCACTGATTTCGGAGGGTGAGCATGGAAGCTTGGACCACTTCCTCCCCTGGCCAGGCCTGCAAGTGGAAACAAGGCTGCGTACACCCGCCTCAAACCAACTCCATGCCAGTTGCTTTGCTTCCCTCTGTAAACCACAGCACAAAGCAGCAGCCAGAGCCACTCATGCCAACTTTTAGTAGTGCCTGTTACCTTGCCACTATTTGCCAACCCCAGCAAGTGCAGCCTCAGGTTAGAAGAGGGGCATTTAAGAGGCGGGCGGGGCCTGGCTGGTGACAGCCATCTTGCTCTCCAGGTGTCATGGCAGGCCTGCTGCCATCCCCAGACCTTGCCCAGTGGTGCCCATGACACGTGCCCAGCTTTGGCTCAAGCCAAGGCAGTCTTCGTCACTTGCACCTCCTGGCCACCCACCACACTAAACTCATGATCCAGAGGTTCCCACAGTGCCCCCCACTTCCCCACACCCACTCTGGCTCATATGGACACGGTTCTTGTTCCCTCGGACAGTTCCCAGGGGACCCTTCTTTTATAAAGCCGAAACCCTGTTTCCCTTCCTGCCAAGGGTCTTTCCTTCCTTCCACCCTCTGTCTGTGCGAGAGGAAGAGTGTGGAGCCCAGCAGCCTCCCTCACCGGCTGAGGCACTGGTGCGAGGCCCTCCCGTGTGACCCCATCGCCTCTGAAACCCTCACCAGTGGCCCATGTACAGGGCTTCGTGCCCAAGGCCTCAGAGGTGGCCCAAGACACTCAAAGGCCCTGGGAGATCCATCACCTGTGTGGCACGGGACCAGGCAGTGCCTCCTCCATGGGCTCACAGCACCTGGCAGGCCTTCCCTATGCAAAGGCCTCCTCAGCTCCCTCCAGCCTGGCAGTCAAGGGCCCTTCCAAATACTCCTCTGCAGCCGGGGGTGATAATTACCTGAGTCCACCCCAGAGTGACAGGAGTGAAGGATAATCCTACTGCAACAAGTGGAATGAGCAACCACCATCAGTACCCACAGACTTCCCCCAAATTCTGGGAGCGCACAGCCAGGGGACAATGGACCCCCACAAAGGCCAGAACCCACAAGGTGCCCTGGCCGGTTTGGCTCAGCGGTTAGAGCGTCGGCCTGTGGTTCAGACAGAGAGAACCCACAAGGAGAGGTCTATGAATGAATGAGGACAGGGAAATCTAGGTCTTCAAGAGCACTGAACAGGGCTGGAAACTGGGGAATTGAGGGAAGGTGGCACTTGGCTCCACCCCTTCCTAAATTTGCACCAGCAGAACACCTGGCAGCTGGGCTGCTACCCTGGGCCAAGAAATGGGAGGACCTTTCCCAGACACCAAGAAAACCACCTACGGAGACTTGGAGCAGCCAGTATCAGATGGGTCGGTAAAGCCCTTGCATCCCAGGCTCAGGGAGACTCGGCATGACGCCAGCTCAGTGCACTCTCCCCAAACCCTGTTCAATACATTGGGTTCCCAGGCAGCCTTTTTGTCATTCCTCCTCAGAGGATCACAGGCAGGCAAGAACCCAGGCATGGGCAGGAAGTCCAAGAGAAAGGCCGTGATTTATAAACGCAGACCCCTTGCCCGGCTGGTGTGGCTCCGGGGTTCAGTGTCGATCCATGCACAAAGAAGCCTCTGGTGCGATTCCCAGGTTGCAGGCTCAATCCCCAGTGGGGGGCGTGCAGGAGGCAGCTGATCGATGTTTCTATCTCTCTCTCCCCGCTTCCTCTCTCTAAAAATCAATAAAAACACACTGAAAAATAATAAAAATAAACGCAGACCCCAAGAGAAGCAAAAATGCTAGACCATAAAACAAGAAATAGCATATTTTACAAAAAATGCACTCAGAGCGAGAAAGAATTTTTTTTTAAATCCTCACCCGAGGACTTTTTTTTGCATTTATCTTCAAGTAGAGCAGGAGGGAAAGAGGGAGTGGGGGGGAGAGAGAAGGGGGAGAGAGGAGGGGGGGAGAAAGAGAGAGAGAGAGAGAAACATCGACGTGAGAGAGACACATCGAGTGGTTGCCACCCACATGACCCAACCGTGGCCGGGGACAAACTGCAACCAAGGTACGTGCCCCTAGGGAGAACCGAACCCGGGACTCTCCAGTCCGCGGGCCGACGCTCTAACCATTGAGCCAAACTGGCCAGGGCCAGGAAAAAATTCTTTTTTTTTTTTTTGTTTGTTTTTTGTTTTTTTATCCTCACCCGAGGACATTTTTGCATTTTTTGTTCAGACAGAGCGGGAGGGAGAGAGAGGAAGAGAGAGAGGGAGAAACATCGATGTGAAGGGACACATCGAGTGGCTGCCACCCGCACGACCAACCAGGGCCGGGGGACAAACTGCAACCGAGGTACATGCCCTTAGTGGGAACCGAACCCGGGTCTCTCTGTACCGCAGGCCGACGCTCCAACCGCTGAGCCAAACCGGCCAGGGCCAGGAAAAAATTCTTGCAAATTTCAAATGTAATCGCTGACTCAGCCTTAAAGTGTAAGTTCTGACACATGCTATAGCACAGCTGAACCCAGGCCCTGGATGGAAAGCAGAGGAGCACCTTGGAGTTTGAACCTAGCAGCCTCAAGCAGTCTCTTAGGAAAGAGTTTGTTGTTGTTAATCTTTACTCGAGGATATTTTTCCATTGATATTTAGATAGAATGGAAGGGAAGAAGAGAAAGAGGGAGGGAAGAAGGGAAGGAGGGAGGGAGGGAGAGATAGAAATGGGGGGGGGGAGAAAGAGAGCGAAACATCGATGTGAGAAAGACATCAATTGGTTGCCTCCTGCACAAACCCAACTGGAGCCAGGGATCAAACCTGCAACCCAGATATGTGCCTTTGACCAGGAATCAAACCCAAGACCTTTTGGTCCAAGGTCCAGAACTCTAACCTCTGAACCAAACCCATCAGGGCAAGAAAGAAATTTTTTTTTTTTAATCCTTACCTGAGGATACTTTTACATGTATTTTTCAGACAGAGAAGGAGGGAGGGAGGGAGAGAGAGAGAGAGAGGGAGGGGGGGAGAGAGAGGGAGGGGGGAGGGAGAGAGAGAGAGAGGGAGGGGGGAGGGAGGGAGAGAGAGAGGGGGGGGAGGGAGGGGGGGAGAGAGAGAGAGAGAGAGAGAGAGAGAAGCATCGATGTGAGAGAAACAAGCACTAGTTGCACCTGCATGACCCCAACCGGGGCCAGGGACAATCCACAACTGAGGCACGCACCCTTGGCTGGAATCGAACCCAGGATTCTTTGGTTTGTGGGCCAACGCTCTAATCACTGAGCAAAACCGGCCAAGGCAGGAAAGGGATTTCTATTCCTGTCTTGGGGGGGGCTTGAGTTCTAAAGGTCTGTCCACATGAAATGGTCTCTGAGACCACCAGCTCCCTGAGGGTGAGCATGACACCCACCAAGGCCCTGACAGAGCCCATGAGTTACCTAGGGCTTTCAAGACGGCTGGCCAATGGACTCTGAGGGGGGAGGGAGGAGGGGGGAGGAAGGACCAGAAACAGAGTCTAGTATGTCAAAATCAACACACACTGGACCTCACAGACAGCCACATGCCCATCGCCCTCCCACAGCCCTTCCTCAGTCCAGCCCCAACTCAGGCAGGCAGGCGGGCAGGCGGGCAGGCGGGCAGGCGGGCGGGCGGGCGGGCAGGTGGGCAGGCGGGCAGCTCCGGCTCCGTGGAGAAACGCTGGCGGATGCCGAGGCAAGGAGGAGGGCGTACGAGTGAGCAATGAAAGTCATAAGGAGAGGAAATGGCCTTGATGCGTTCACTCCCCCGCACGATGCTGACCAGACACTATGGTGTGGGGAAAGGAGTGTGCATGCAGGAAGCTGGTGGAAGGGACACAGAGTAAGATGTGGCCCCCAATCTACTCAAAGCTGAGGGTGCACATACATACTGGGTAGACCAGGCTCCCTCAAGAGCACCTCTGTGGCCCATGGCACCTAACACAATCTCTAAATCAGAAGTGCTACCTGTGCAGAGGAGGGCGAGTTTACTGCTGCTGCTGAGACCAGGGGGGCTCTGCAGGGCTGCTGAGCTCAGTGTGGAGAAGAGCTGAGGCACAGAAAGGCACAGAAGCAAGAGGACAAGGAGTTTTCCTCGACAGTACGATTTGGCTGAAACCTAAAGATCTACCGCAGCCCATAGGCTGGCTCCATGAGTGCTGTAGGCACAGAGCCAAGGGTCTCTGAGGTGTGTGGTGGGACAGAAGTGGCATGATGCCCAGGGGCTGCTACTGCTAGGCTGATAGAATGAGTGAGAGGATGGGCCACAAGCTGCCTGGAGAGGTGGTGGCAAGGGAAAGGGCCGGAGGCACCAGAAGTTGGATGGGCAGGCTCCAGCAACTGACTGGATGTGGGGAAGAGTGGGCATAAGCATTTTCCAAAGGACACTGAGAGGGCTCAAGTGAAAGGCTGGGCCACCGGCTTGTGTGCTTTTTGTCTGGGCCCGCAGCTGGGCAGCCGGGCAGAGACAGCCCTGAAGATGCCCTCCCCCGGTCAGCTTGTGAACCTCTCAGGAGCAGGCATGGACAGCCACTCCCGGCAGGGACAGGCCTCCCTCTGCCTCTTGGCGCCCTCTGCTGGCAGCATCAACGTACACATTCCCAGGACCAGAGGGAATGGTTTCCTGCTTGTTTCAGAATCTGGGCAGACAGATGCATTTGGTGAACAATCCCATAAACAGGCTCCCTGGAGACAGTCAACGCTCCCGCCCCTTCTCTGTCTTTCCCTAGGGCCTCTCTGGCCTACCCTGGCTTCTCCTTGTCAGAGCCCAGAACTTGCCTCAAAGATGCTTTGCAGCTAAATCTTGGCTGTCTCCCAGGGCAGGAGGGCCACAGCCTTCACACCCATGTGACCCACCCACCCCACCAAAGCCAGGAGGAGTGAAGACCCTTACCAGGGAGCTCTTCCAGCTTGTGGCTCCTTCACCACCACCCCCATGGGTCAACAAACCTCTCAAAAACCAGACGGTTCACGGTCTCACTGTCCACTGGTGGCAGGTTCAGGGTTTCCTGCAGCATTGCTAGCTTTTTTTTCAGGCTCTTGGGGAAGGAAAGAGAAAAGTGTGAAAGAATGGCTGAGGCATCAAGTCCAGACAGACTGCCAAGGACGGGAGCAACATGCAGAAGGGCATGCCCACTGGGAACAGAGCAAGGCCTGAAACCCCATTGGCAGGCCTGAGGCCAAGACCACCTGGCCCCGAAGCCCTCTGGCAAGGCTCCTACTTTGGCTGTCGGTGCAAAACAGACTTCGAGGGAAGACCCATGTCACTGTCTGCCCAGGCTGCAGGCCAGGGCCAAGGTGTACACCCTAATTTACCCTGACCCAGGAGGATGCAGAGAGCTCAGATCAACCACCGATTGGTGAACAGGGTTCCAGGCAGAGCTAGCCCAGCTCTGCTCTTGGAGGGCACACAAACTACCCCTCATTCCCGTCCGGTCAGGGATGGCTCTCACCGCGATTTCCTTATCAGCACTCTGTAAATCCTTCTGGGCCGACCGCAGCTCCAACTTGGCCTGGTCCAGTTCAGAGTAGACTGCCTGCAACTACAAGAAAGTGTAGGGAGTAAAGAATGAGCCATATGTTTCCATCTGCTGCTACCTGGTACATGCTACCATGGTGCATGGTAGCCCAGGGTCCAGAGGAGTATGAGGACACCTGGGGGAGACCCTAGCTCTATGGGGCTGGGCGGTAGTCCAGCAAAGTCCTTCTGAAGCTGCCCAGGAGCAACGTCTGCTTCCTACACCCTGCAACCCATGGGTGCGCCAGGCCCAGAAATAAAAGCGGCTGTGCTGACTGAATCAGGTTCAAAGAGCCCTCCTACTCTGGTCCTGGTACAGAAACAGAACTCTGAAGCTGCCACATTTGGGACCCGTGCTCGCCAGCCGGCTGAGAGGTGCCCGGGAGCCAGGAAGAGCAGAGGGAAGCATAAGCCTGCATGTGTTAGGAGAGTACCTGTGTGACCTGCCACCCTAAATGGACAAGCCACAGAGCCAGAGCCAATGCCAGTGAGGACCAGTAACCAGTCTCTGTGAGTCATCCAACAGCCCCATGGAATCACTGCACCACCAGGCCCCAGGGCCTTGCTCAGGAGACCGGAATGAGCATGAAAAAAGGACAGCCGCATCTCCCTCCGCCCTCTGCGCCCCACGAAGTTACCTTGCTCCGGGAAGAAAACAAGTCCTTCTTCAGCTTGTCAGCTATCTCCCCTGAGGCCTTCCGTGCCTCTTTTAGATTCTCATACTCTCTATACAGGGGCCAAAGAAAGAGATGTCAGAACAGGACACCTGCTGGTCAGACTGAGCACCAGCCGAGCACAACGCCCATTCCTTGCCTGCTCTCATTCCTACTCTGACACCTGCGCCCAACAGGGTGGCGCTGTGGAGGGTCCTACACCCAAAGGAGAGCCGGTTAGTCTGTCTCCTGCCTGTCCTGCAGGAACTGGTGACTTGAGATGGTGTGCAGGAAGCCCCAGTCCCACAGGAGATGTCTGGGATCCGCTGTGACTGTCAGCCCAGCGGCCCTTTCCTCAACCTCCTACCCACAGCACTGGAGAATCTGAGCAGTTTCTGATGTAGGCCAGGCAGGGTCATTGACAGTGCTGATGGGAAACAGGCTGCAGATGCCAAGAAGGGGGTTACAGCCAACCTCCTCGGAAATACGCTTATAATCACTCAGTTCTTTCAACAACCCTATGAGGCTAGTTATTACTATCTCCATTCAGTAAGCCGAGGGTCGGAGAAGCTAAGAAACGGGCTCCTGACCACATAGTGAGAGGTGGGGTTGGGGTTCAAACTGAGGCAGCATGGCTCTAGGGCTTGCCCCTTAACTGAGAGAGGGGCAGCAGATGGAGGCATGGCTGGGGTGCTATGGCTCAGCTCCTGGGCTTGGACAGAGGGTCCAGAGTACATACTTCTTGAGGGACACGCAGTACACAGCCAGCTGCTCCACAGCTGACTGGCCCACACCCATGTCTCGGATCATCTCCTCCACCTCGGGCCGCTGGCTCTTGAGTAGGAGCTCAATCCTGAAAAACACCCAGCCCACGGCATTTAGAATCTGGAGGCTGATGGGTAGGTACCCAGTGCAGCTCTGCCTCCCTTTGCTGCTGTTGCTATGGTGACAGCCTGGGCTGCTAGGATGCTTTAGCAGGCGGGTCTGCCCAAAGAAATGCCCCGCAGCAGAGCTGAGCACAGCTCCAGGGATGCCGCTGGGGAAGAAGAGGTGCTGACAGAGGTCCGCAAGGTCAGGGATCCCCGGAGAGGGGTTCTTGGAACAAAAGACCTGCCAGGTCATCTGGCCACAGGCAACAGGGAAGAATGTGGTAAGGGGCCCCATGGAAAGTAGAGGAACTCATAGAGGCCAAACAAAGAGACCAGTGCCCACACCCAGCTGGTCTGAGCTCTCCCACAGCCTATGGAGATTAGAGCCACAGAGGTGACCCAAGTCCTGCTGCAGTCCTGTGAGATGTGCCACCTGGGGGACCTGTGAGCAAGGGTATAGGGCAGGCCCCAGCTCCAAGCTTACCGCTCCATGGTCTGCATCTTGTTCCTGAGTCGGCGGGCTTCCTCCCGTGCTTGTTTGGTCTCATTCTGCTGCTGCTCCAAGAATTTCATCTGCTTCTGAAGAGCAAACACACCCAAATATATCTGTTGCTTGGAGGATCCCAGGGACCATAGCTAAAGTCACTGGGAAAACTCTACCCCAGAACTTTCTGCTTTTGAAAATGCTGAAAACCATGTGTCCTCCAGCGCCCCAGGAGGTAAGGCTCCTGGGCCCCTCTAGCTTGTGTTTTTCTGCTAAGAGGCTCTAGGCCAGGAGCTTCTTCACCTCCCTGCTTGCTTCCTCCTGAGATATGTCTTCCCATAGGTACAGTCCACTGCCAGCACCAACAGGCCCATTGTGGGATGCCGACTCCTGTGCTGGGCCTTATGGTACATGTGCTAAAAGCTGACGAAGCCCAAAGCACAAATCCAGGCCTCACTGTCCATTATCTAGACCCAGGGGAGGCTACCGGAATAGCAGAGCTGCGGGCCAGCCGCCCTCCACACACGACCAACCCATCCCTGGGAATGCCACCAGAGACTCCTGCTCTGCGGCCAGGGGCTGGTCTGCTCCTTCCCTTCCACTGGTCAGGCCTCGTGATCCAGACCAGCCACCGAGCAGGAACAGAGACAACGAACACCCTGGGGCCCTGTCTGTTCAAAAGGATGCCTCCTTTTCCCTTTCAAATGGCATCCAACAAGGACTGCTCCTTGCTACAAGGCCGGAATATCAATTGTGGGTTCAGATCAATCGCCTCATACCCCTTGGAGAGCAAGAGGCTCACCAACCCAGGCTGATACAAAATTCATCTGGGTCTCGAACGGCTGGCTCTGCAGGCTTTGATCTGCCCGGTAAGCTCAGCACAGACAGCTTCAAAGGCCCCTGCTCTTCCCTGGGATGCTGTTTGATGTGGCTCCAGAGAGCAGCCCAGCAAGGACTAGAGTGTGGATGAAGTTTCTTCAGGCGGCTTCATCAGCGGAGTACAAACCGCTTAGGAAACGGGGCCCAGGCTCACCGAGGCCTTGGCTAAGCGGCCCCTCCATGATGTGCTGGGAAGGCCTCACCTCTTCAAACTGCCTAGTATAAAATGTGTAAGTGTGGCCTTTTCTTATGGGCTGGATGGGCACAGGGAGGCCTGTGGAAGAAACCAAGCCGCTGACCAAGGCAGAACCAGAAGTTAAGCCTCGCGTGGTGAGCCCAGGACTGGGGCTGTATCTCCTCCCCAGCTGGTGCCCATAGGACCTGGGGACCCACCTTGAGGGTGGAACACAGCATTTCAGCCTCTTCCAGGGCCTTCCGCAGAGATTCCACAGTGGCGTTGCGCTCTTCCAGCGTGTCCCGCAGAGTGTCGATGATGGCCTGGCTGTCCCGTTTCTCCCTCTCTGCAGGGGGGGGGGGGGGGGCATCCATCTATCAGCATGATAACCTGGGCTTTTGGGCTCTAGCATCCCACCACCGAGACAGGTAAGGAACAAGTCCCAGGCCAGAAAGTTAGGTGGCAGGCTTTTCTCTCTGGCATGCACCAAACCAGGGAAGCCGAGCTCAAGTCCTCATTCAGGGGGTGAGCCGCTCTTTCTGCTGCCTGGGACTACTTGAGTAAGCGTTCACTGCTCCCCACTCCCGTGGGTCTAGTAAATGCATCACCCCAGAAGTCACGCAGGTGCCTGCCGAACTCTGTGGCCGAAGCCTCTCCTGCATATTCTGGTGTCAGGTAGCCTGAGGCCCGGGCAAGAAGCTTCAGGCGAAGAGAAGAGACTCGCCTACTCCAGGTGGACAGCTTCGGTCACCTCCCTTTCCTCTCCTTTCTGCCAGCCACAAGCTGGCAAGCTCTCGGACATACAAAGCAGGGAAAGCCTCCGGCTCCACCAGAAGGTCGAGGCCTTCTTCCCAGGGCCTCTCCCACCAGCCCTCGAGCCAGAGGCTTTCCACAGCCCATGTCTCTTGCTAACTCACCTTTCTGGGAAAGTTGGGCTCTGACATTATCCAGTTCATTCTGTAAGGCAATGTGCACAATAAGCAGCAGCGAGACATCACAGCTGGCCCCCACTTTGCCTCCCGTGCGTCTGTGGGAAGCCTGTTGGTCTAGGGAGGCACAGACCCTGCTGTACCTCAAGGCCAAGTGAAGCCAACACTGGAGAGAGAAGCCTTGCTTTATCTGTGTGCCTTTTTAGGAAGTAGCGAAGATGGGGGAATAATCTCAGGTACAAGACCCGAAGACAGGGAAAAGGGCAGAACAGAGAAAAAGCAGTGAAGCTGAGTCTGTGTGATCAGTCCTACAGCAGAGGCTTCCGTTGCTTCCTGGGCCGTGTTGGCCCTTACCCTCTCTCGGCGCCAGCTGCACTCATTGGGGACACAAGCTAGCATGGCCAAGGACCTTGGGCCACCGTTCCTTCCCTCCATCCCGAGGTCCTGCCTGCTTCACAGTCTACCTTTCTTCCAAGCTCTAAGCTGGCTCTGTGTACCGCAAATCTTTCAGCCCCAGAATCTAATATGGTCGGTCAGCCGGGACAACTCTGATCCCCTGGAGGAAACTCCACACGTGCTAGACTCCAATCAGACTGCTGTAAGCCTCTTGAAGCCTGTGTACACACCCCAGAGCCACTGCCGCAGAACCTGAGAGGCTTGGGGCAGAACTGAGTGCAGCTCCCATTCGGGAGTCCAGCGCATTCAACACTGCTGTGGGCAAGAGTGGTGCCTACTCCATCAGCAGGAAAACCGGGCTCCACGGGCCGCAAGGCTTGGCCAAGGGTCCATGGTGGTAGCTGGGTGGAATCCAGGCAAATTCTCCTCTACATCACCCTTCCCAAGTCAACACAAGACTCTGAATCTCACATGTCACTGATACTAAGGCCCTGCCCCAGTAGGTGGATAAGCCCCATGCAGTCAAACTCTCCACTCAGGACTCGGGGGATGGGAGGGGACAGGTGCTTTTGGTGGCTGGGCCAGTCAGTGTAGGCTGAACATCTAGAGGTGGAAGTGGGGGTTGAGAAGGATGTACATGGGTCACCTGAGAAGAAAAACTACCCATAGTCCCTTGGCTCCTACCACACCCAAATAAAATGCCTTCTAAGCCCTTGTTCCAAACTACTCAAGATGTTGTCTCCCTGTTTCCTAGATATGGCTTTGAAAGCCAGAAAAAAATGTAGCTGCCATTGTTGCCCGTATCACAGGGAGAACATGGCTTAAAACTGGGAGCAGTTACCATGACGATGAACATGCTGGCTTTAAGCACAAAAGCTCCACGTTCTTGAAGCAGTGAGGTTCCAAGGACATCATGGCATCCTGGGGCAGGGCCAAATGAACCCTGATCTGACAGATGCCCAGCACATTAACCCTCAGAGTCCAGGCTCATGTGCGGACCCCAATCCCACTTCAAGAGGTTTCTTGTGCACAAAGAAAGCTAAACCTTAGACTTGGAGGAAAAGCAGCAGTGCAGGAGGGAATCCGTTCATCCTCTCCTGCAGTGCGAGTTTCTGCCTTGACTGTACAGCTTGATTGCAGAGGCTCTGCCCTCTATTCCTCGCCTGGGAAAGACGCAGCCAGATTTGTGAACAGAGGGCCCACACATCTTCCCTGGCTGGGGACTAGAAGAGTTTTTTAATCTGTCCCCAACTGTCCAAGCAGGAAAGTGGGCTGGGGAGGATGGCTGCAGATCCCTTGCAAGGTGAGGGGCCCTTGGGAGAGGCACTCTGACCATGGGTCGGAACTGCTTTGAAATCCTAAAGGGAGGACTCAACAGTGTGTTTCTCCATTGACTGTCTCATCTTCACTTGTCCTCTCCTCGCCTTGCCTGTGCTTTGAAATCTCTACAAGTCTCCCCTCCAGAACTCTACCTCCATACTTTAGGTGCTCTCCGTGGGTGGGAGCAGAAAGAACCCTCAGACGGCTTGGGGTTCAGTTGGATGAGATAAATCTTGGGTACCTTCAAGAATTCTGCATCTAAGACACCCTCCTCCTCCTGGGCAAGGTCAAAGAAGAGCTTGTTGATAATGGTTTTTCTGCCAACCTGGATGGGAGAACAAGAAAGAGCACGACTACACAGTTGGGTCATGGGCAAGGAGGACGGGGTGTACCTGCAGCCTAACATGCAGCCGGGCCTGCTCTCAGGCTCAATGTTTTCCACCGCTTCCCTTAGAGTCAGACGACTGCAACCCTGCAGGTACCCCAAGCTGGTGCCACTGGCTTGGTGGTTACTAAGGCCATGTCTCTGCTGACCCATATGGCGACTACTCAAAAGACACCACCCCTGGCCAGTTTGGCTCAGTGGTAGAGCATCGGCCTGTGGACCGATGAGTCGCGGGCTCCATTCCAGCCAAGGGCACGTACCTCAGTTGCGGTTCATCCTCAGCCCTGGTAGGGGACGTGCAGGAGGCAACCAGTTGATGTGTCCCTCTCATGTCGATGTTTCTCTCTCTCTCCCTCCCACTCTATCTGAAGATAAATAGAAAAATATCCTTGGGAGAGGATTGAAAAAAAAAAAAAAAAGACACCCCAATTCTAGGTACTGGACATTGAGAAAATGGGGAAAGGCAGGGAAGGGGGCCAAATCTACCCAGGTGAAGGCTGACCCAGGCAATGAGTGCATCTGCCAGCTACCTATTGGCATAAGCAGGCCTCCTGAGCCATTCAAAAGCACAGGTGAGCTCAACCAGCCTCAAATCTTGAGGGTCCAAAAGGGTCAAAGATATCAACGTCAGAGACCCTTCCTCGTTCCTGCTTTGGGGCAAGGGGAAGATATCTTAAGCTAAGATATTCCCACTCCGCCACCCTCACCTGGACTCGGCACTGTGGGCAGGTCCGACTTGGTGCTGTATCGAACCACTGGATTAGGCTAGAATGAGAAGCAGAAAAACAGACTGGTGAGCCATGGCTTGGCTGGCGATATACAGGCCAGGTAGCCACCCTAACCATCAAAAGGTCTGTCCTGCTCCTCCTCGACCTAATGCCTGCACCATCTACCTGGTGGTGGAAGGCAGCACCACAGGCAGGACAGCACATCCCACCATCCCACAAGGCCTGCTGGTACAAGCACTCCAACCACTTGGCCCTTTCTTTGGTCCTGTTGACCTGGTCCTCCCTACCCCTGAGCTGCTCTTTTGTGAACCTTCTAGGCTTTGATGGGGGACAACAGTCAAAACCCAGGGTCCCTTAGAGCTGGGAATTCTCATAACACCCCTACTTCTGGAACTCCAGAAGGCTATATTTTCAAAGGAAGGGTAAACTAGAAGTAAAAGCAAGAAGCAGTAAAAGCAAAACAGCCCAGCTTTGCACCATCTACCTGGTGATGGAACAAAACTTCAAGCCTTAAACTTGACTTAAAGTAGTCTCCTGCTAGTAGGCTCCCCTTGTCCCCAGGGACAAGGGAGAAGCAGTCCTTTCTGGAAGATGGTACCATCATCCTAGGCCTCAGTTTTTTTTCTACAAATAATTTTTCAGATACTACTTACAACATATAATCAAAGCTAACCGTGCACAATAGAATACTACACAACAATGAAAACAAATGAATCTACAACTGAGAAGAATATTATGAATGAATCATAAACATAACATGGAGGAAGAGAAGCCAGATACCAAAGAAAGCATATTATGTATGGCTTCATTTACATAAAGTAAAACAGTAGGCAAAACTCATCTATGCTGCGGGAAACCAAGACAGTGGTAGTCCTAATGGCGGGGGAGATAGGAGTACCTGGAAGGGTACACAAGGAGGTTTCTGGAGTGCCAATTTCGGGTTTCTTGTCTTCTTCAGTTTGTGAATATTTGCAACCCATACACTTACTATATGCATACTTTTGTGTAATACATTTCAATAAAATAATTTTTTTTTAAGTAACAGTCACGCAAGGAAAAAAGTGCTACAAGTACTAACCAAAAGACAGCCACAAAGACGTCAGATATTGGAACTGCCAGACACAGACCACACACTATGCTAAATAAATCAAAATCAAGATTGAGGGATGGGCCCTGGCCGGTTTGGCTCAGCGGTTAGAGCATCAGCCTGCGGTCCCAAGAGACCCGGGTTCGGTTCCCACTAAGGGCATGTACCTCGGTTGCAGTTTGTCCCCGGCCCTGGTCGGTCGTGCGGGTGGCAGCCACTCGATGTGTCTCTTTCACATCGATGTTTCTCTCTCTCTCTCTCTTCCTCTCTCCCTCCCACTCTACCTGAACAAAAAATGTCCTCGGGTGAGGATAAAAAAAAAAAAAAAAAAAAAAAAAAAAAAGATTGAGGGATGGAAGGGGGGGCGGGGGCGGGAAAATATAAAACAAAGAACTGATATGCATATATACATAACCAATGGACACAGACAACAGTACAGTGAGGGTGGGGGTAGGTAATGGGGGGGGGAAACATCTGTAATACTTTAAACAATAAAGATACAACTGTTTTCAAAATCAAGATAAAAAATACTGGTAGAGAACTGCCCCAGCCAGGTGGCTCAGTTGGTGGGAGCATACACCAAAAAGGTTGCGGGTTCGATTCCTTGTCAGGGTGCATACCTGAGGTTACTGGTCGATGTTTCTCTCTCTCTCTCCCTCTCCCCACTTCCTCTCTCTCTAAAATCACTAAACATCATATCCTCAGGTGAGGATTTTAAAAAAAGAAAATATCAGTAGAGAATTAGAAAGTAAAAGGTGAAATAGCATAATTTTATAAGAACCAAACAGAAATTCTAAAACTGAAAAAAGGGCCAAAATTAAGAATTGAGTGAATGAGTTTAATAGCAGTTTAAACACAATTGAAGAATTAGTAAACTGAATGGTAGGTCAGAGGAAACACTGAGAATTTTAAAAATGATAAGCAATGCAGAAGCTACTGTAAGGCCGTCTAGCATACATATAATCAGGAGTTTCAGAAAGTGTCAGGTAGAACAGTGTCCTCCTCCAAGGAGTCTACATCCTAATTTCTTTTTCTTTTTTTTTTTTGCATTTATCATCAGATAGAGCGGGAGGAAGAGAGAGAGAGAAACATTAATGTGAGGGAGACACATCGAGTGGTCACCACCCACATGACCCCAACCGGGGCCGGGGACAAACTGCAACCGAGGTACATGCCCTTAGCGGGAACGGAACCCAGGACGCTCTGGTCCGTGAGCAAACGCTCTAACTGCTGAGCCAAAACTGGCCAGGGCTACATCCTAATTTCTAAAACCTGTGAATACCCTACCTTATTAGAAAAGAGTGATTTTCAGATGTGATTAAGTTAAAGGTCTTCAGATGGGGGGATCATCCATCCAGGTTTGCCCTCATGTAACCACAAGGACACTTATAAGTGGGGCAGGAGTGTCAGAGTTATACAGAGATCTGAAGATGTAACATGCTGGCTTTATAGATGAAGAGAGAGGGGGGCCATGAGCCAAGAAAAGCACAGCCCCACCTACAATCCCTGATTTTAACCCAAAAGACCTATTTTGGACTTCTGACCTCTGGAACAATAAGATAACATATTTGTGTTGTTGTAAGTCACTAAGTGGTAATTTGTTATAGCAGAAATGAGAAACTAATATAAAAGATATAATGCAATAGAGGCAACACATAAAGAGATAATTGGTGATAATTTTCCAAAACCAACAAAAGAAATCATTCCAGCCCAGCCAGTGTGGCTCAGTGGTTGAGCATCGACCCATGCACCAAGAGGTCACTGGTTCAAATCCAAGTCAGAGCACATGCCCAGGTTGTAGGCCCGATCCCTAGTAGGGGCATGCAGGAGGCAGCCAATTGATGTTCTCTCTCATCGATGTTTCTCTCTCTCTCCCTCTTCCTCTCTCTCTGAAAGTCATAAAAATATATTTTAAAAATGGAAGGCATCTTTGAGTTCACTAAGTAAACACTGTGAGCAAAGCTCACTCTCCCAAGCTAAAAACAGTATGGACAAAAAGTTGTTAAAATTAGGTGGTGCCAGACATGTCCAAGAAATATTGCAGGAATTGTATCCCTTTACAAATCTTGTGACAGATTATGCATGGATAGATAACGGCAACTGGTGGGCAACAGAACAGTATTAAAGTGGTAGCAAAAGGAGGAAATACTATCATGTTAGAAGACTTAGAAAGAGTGCAAACAATGGTTGTGTTCACAAGAGAAATAAATTGCTTCCACATGTCCCCTCCCCAAGTGTCTACTTTAAAATTGGGTCGTGTGCCCTGGCCAGTTTGGCTCAGCAGTTAGAGCGTCATCCCGCGGACCAGAGAGGCCCCCGGGGTTCGGTTCCCACTAAGAGCACGTACCTCGGTTGCAGTTTGTCCCCGCCCTGGTTGGGGTTGTGTGGGTGGCAGCCACTGGATGTGTCTCTCTCATGGCGATGCTTCTCTCTCTCTCTCTCTTCCTCTCTCCCTCCTGCTCTATCTGAAAATAAATGCAAAATAAATAAATAAATAAATAAAATTGGGTCGTGTACTTTTTTCATATTGAATTTTTTTTGTTAAATAAACTTTGTAACAGCCCAAAAATAGTTAAAATGGTAAAGTTTATGTTATATTTTTACACAATAAAAAGGTATATAGTAAAAATAAAAAGAAAAAAATGGTTCAAATGGTAAATTTTGTTATGTATATTTTACAACAAATAAAGGAGTAAAGGTGCTCTGAATCAGCCTGTCCACGGCTGCTAGAAGAATCTTTTCCCACCAGCTGTACTCAATAGAATAGTCCTATAGGGTTAGCAGCACGGCTTGATCAGGAAGCACCTCCTTGCTTCTAAGGCTTAGATGTTAACTTGGTTTTGCTGGCGTCAGTGAATACATTGGGGTGTTTGACCAAAGACATGACTTTGGACAGAAGCATTCCAAACCATCACGCAAACGACAACAAACTGGGTAGCCAGTGGCCTACCAGGTTTCTATCTCAAAAAAACAAAAGGGTTCGTCAATTTGGTGAAAGCTCACCTCCGCCCGGGCTAATAGTTTTGAAGTCACATTTCTTCGCAAGCCGATCATGAAAGTCCCTACACTACCTTCACTAAACTAACTCTGTACCCCTGGACTCAGTTCAGCTGCCACCTCCTGTGGGAAGCCTGCCTTGACCCGCCTTTGCCCAGGTCGGGAACCTCCTGTGGGGCTTCGTCTAGTGCCATCCTCATCACCCGTCTGGGCTGCCAGCCCGGAGGCCCGACATCCTACAGTCCTGTTGTCGTACCGGAGCGAGGGCCCAGCTCCCGAAACAGTGGTCACTCACCACTGCAGGTGGAAGGTGTGGCCGCAGTGGATGGCGGCCACGTCGCGCGAGTGGTCGAAGAAGTCGGAGCAGATGGTGCATATCGCACGGATAGGCATGATCACTGGACTCCGGGGGCCCAGGTAGCCAAGGAAACCGCGACCGATCCAGTTTCCCGGCCTCAGCTCCCTTCAAATTTGGCTCTACTGCGCGACTTCCGGAACAGGACCGGAAGTGGCTCTGCAAAACGCGGAGGCAGAGCCTGCAGGTTGAGTCCGGATTGGACGAATCCTCGGGGGCGGGGCTTAGCAACCCTGCGTGCAAATAGAATTCTGGGCGGAGCGTGGGCCGGAATCTGTCAGCGGCTGCGCTCCGGCGGCTCCCGGGAACAGAGCAAGCACCGCCAGAGCGCCGCGCTGGAGCGGGAACCTGAGCAGCTACGTCGCCCGCCCGGCTGCAAGCCAGAGCTGATGCGAGGTGCGCCGGGAACGGGCTCCTGGGCCCTGTTCCTCAGGGCAGCCTTCTCTGAACTTCGGGAGAGTCAAGGGCGCGGCCGAAGGGGCATGGGACGATGATCCCGGTGGAGAGCGGGTCACCTGAACTCTGGGCAGTGGTGGACCGTACGCTGGGAACCCACAGTTCCTACAGACCAAAAGGATGCCCCACCCTCCCAGCCCTCGGCTGTTGACTCATCCTAGAAAGATGGACACAGGCACTAACCCCACAGGACGGAAGATCTCCAAGTTCGCGGGCTCTTAGGTCCCAGGAGGGTTGTAGTAGGGTTGGAATTTTGGAGGCCCAGATATTTCATAGACCAGTGACTAACAAACCCTTTTTTTCTTATTCCCACATCACATAAGTAATCTTTGGGTCTTCCCTGAGAAGGAGCAGCATGCCTGGTGAGTTCACCTGGGATGTAAGGGATGGAACAAATCTTCCTAGGAGTTATCACTCTCAGGTATTTTTAGCAGTGTTACTCCACTGCCCCCAGAAGAAACCTTATGGAAAGCCCGGTAATACAAAGCTGGTTTGTTCCACCTGAAGTAGACTGAGTGAATCCTTTGGGCCTATTTGGAAAGCACAGGTGGTGTTCCCGGGGAGAAGTATCAACACAAAGGACAGCATAGAACCTTTGTGCAGTGCCCACCCTGCACCCTCTCTCCAACAGGGAAGCCCACTTAGGCTATAGGTAAGGTCTCTCTCTATGGTGGCTGTTTTGGGGTGGGTTCTAGTTCTATGCCTAAGTTAACACAAGAACTCCTTGTTAAGTAGGACTTGTCATGACAGTAGCCCAGAGGTTGTTCCTTGGCACAAGTCCAGCACAGGACCCATCTACATGAATTGCCACAGTCCAGAGGAACCCATCAAGGAACAGACTGTGATGAAGATGATTGCACTCTCAGCCCAAGCAAGCCACATGGCACTGGGCACAGGCTGCTACCTGTGAATCTCCTTCCAGCCTCTCCCATCCCCACTGCCTTCCAGGGCCCCCTCCCCAGTAAGACAGAGGAAGCAAAGGTGAGAGAGTGGCCAGAGGCTTTGGCAGGGTGACATTTATTTGCCAGGTTCAGCAGGCACAGTTAGCCCACTGATCTTCATTCACCAGAGCAGGCCCACAGGCATGCAGGGAGAAGGGCAGGACCACCACCAGAGTGCCGAGCGAGACCCGGGACCAGTGTGGCTGCCTGCCCAGGCTGTGGTGGGGTCTGACCAAGGGTACCTGCCAGGAGCCTCCATCAGGAAACTGGGGAGTCTTATTCCACTTCCTCACCCTAGCAAAGGAACTCAGCATGGCTCAGAGGCCCCTGGGCCTCTCTCTAAGCCCCAATAGAAGGAGAGTGAGTCAGACATAATGACGGCTCCTCTCTCTCTCTCTCTCTTTCTCTCTCTCTCTCTTTTTGTTATTGAAGTGGGACACAAAATATTTGCCCATGAAGGGTACACTCCCAAGTCAGACTATGGGACACTGCAATGCAGCAGGCCCCCTGGGATGGAGAGGACTGTAAACTGATCCAGAAGGTGGCCATCTGGGAAGAGCCAGGGGATATCAGCCCTTCCTGTTTGGCTCATGGTAAGGACCGAGCTAGGCTGGTGCACTAGGTGCTGGGCCTGCACTCTGTCCTCTCAATTCTCATTGCCACATCCTGATTGCTCCTCTTTCTCCACACAAGTTCATGGACTCCGGGCACAGGGCCACCCACTGCAGGACCCAGGAGGGCAGGAAATAGCACAAGGGTCTTGGGAGGGGCTTTCCAGGGACAAAGATGGAAGCTTCTACCCTCCTCACTCTTTTCCACTTCTCAGGACCCCCACAGCTACTAAGCAGTGCCCCCAGCCATACAACCAGTCTTGTCTTAAAGCATACTGCTCTAGATTTTTGCATTCTCTGTACCAGCCTGTGTCCACTCCTAGAGTAGCGCACATACCTTCATGTGTAGAAGCCTAAGACCACTGACAGGGCCTCGCTGGAGGACCAGCTCTCAGGGCAAGGCCACCCAAGTTTAGGGCCTGGGAGAGAATGGGACCTGCAGGGCCTGCCTGGGGGAATTGTGAGGCAGAAGGGAAGGGGAGCAGGGACCTCCTGAGTATCCCTAGAGCAGCATCCCACAGGAACAAAACTGGTGAAGCTAGCAAAAGACAGAAAAGCCACGAGGAATCCATGCAGGGGCTGGGGCTGGTCCTGCCTCTGGCTTGCCTACCACTCACACACATACACACAGGAGATGAGACTGCTCTCCCGTGGCCCCCAGACATGCCCCACATTGAGAGGCAGGGGCTGGGGTAGGGGAGCGAGGGCATCATGCCAGTGACTCTATGTACAGCGAAAAGCCCCTCATCTACTCTCCCACCCTCCTGCCTGTTCCCCACCCCCCCAGCCTGCCCACTCAGCTGGTCTCCTCCCTCCGAGACTCAGCAGAGCCAGCAGCCTCTTCCCCTTTACTAGAGGGTGGAGCCCGGCCTGTTGCACCCCCTGGGGCTGTGCTGTCCAGCTGGGCCAAAGCCAGCTCAGGGGTGGCACTGCTTTGGCTAGTGGGCACAGTGCTCTCTTCTGTGGCTGGCGTGGCTCTCCCATCAGTGGCTGGAGTAGCACTCCTGTCAGTGGCTGGGGTGACGCTCCCATCAGTGGCTGGGGTGATGCTCCCATCAGTGGCTGGGGTGACACTCCCATCAGTGGCTGGGGTGGCACTGCCATCTGTGGCTGGGGTGACACTACGGTCTGCTGGGACTACACTATCACTCTTTACAGCAAGAGCAGCGTCACCTGCTGTGGCTGAGGTGGCACTGCCCCCAAGGGCTGGGGCAGCTCCACTTGCAGCTGTGGCCCCACCTGCAGCCCCAGGAGTGGCAGTGTCTGTGGCAGGGGCAGACTGGGCTGCCGCTGTGCTGGACTGCTCTGGCGCTCGGAGCCGCTTCATGAGAGTGGTCACTCGGACAGCTTTCTGAAAGGAAGATAGTGACAGAGGCTCAGAGTGAGGCTTACTGAAGCTGAGTCCATTCTTTGGCAAAGGCCAAACCCAGACCATCCCCATGGTGCCCAAGGCTGCCTCTGATCATCCCAGGGCTAGGTACCCAGCTGCTCAGGACACCCACTTAAGATAGTGGCTACAGCTACACCATGGGTGGAGAAAAGCCTGTGTGATGCAGACGAGAAACTGGGTGCCTGAAGGAGCACTTGGGATCGTTCCAGGGAAGAGGCCATCCAAGCCTTACCTTCCACTTAGCCCTGGCAAAGTTCTTTTCAATCTGGGCACAGACACCATCCTTGATGTTCTTATCAGAAGCAGCATTGCCAGAAACCCTGAAAAGGGTACAAATGTGTCTGGATCTGAGGTATGGCCTTCATGGAGACTCTGCCCAGTCTTGTAAGATCCAGGGATTACCAGGCAGACCTGAGCTCTGGCTGCTCCCTATCCCCCACCCAAGTCCCCAAGGATGGGGGCTGCTAGGTGTGAGACAGAGGCCTGGCCTCCCCTTCCCATCTTCCTTGGGCCCTGCTCACCACTCATGGGAGATGGCCTCTTCCGCAGTGATCCGCTGGTCTTGCTCCACCTCCATCAGCCTTGTGACCAGGTCTTTGGCTGGGGATAAAGCCAGGGAGAAGCTAGGCATGGCGCCCATCTCACTATCTAAATGTGATGGATGGGCTGGGGAGGAGGAGCAGAGTCCAGCAGAGGAGGCTGAAAACAGGTCCCCCACACCAACCCCTCACTCTCCCCAGATGCTGGGCACCTCCTCACCCGCCTGTGAAATGTCATCCCAGTACGGTGAGTCAAATTCATAGTCGCCAGCCAGGATCTTGCGGAAGAGATTCTTGTCGTGGTTCTCATAGTCATCTTCCTCTACCTCCTCATAGAAAGGCGGGTTCCCTGAAAGCCTGCATGAGGGCCAAGGGGCAGTGTCACCCAGGAAGGCTATGGGCACAGGCCCTCACCTCACCTGGCCTCTTTGTTCGCCCACCCACTCACAGAATGTACATGATGACTCCAATGGCCCAGCAGTCCACAGGGCGTCCGTACCGCTGCCGGCCTACCACCTCTGGGGCTGCAAATATAGTTCCAGTATCAAGCCTGCCAGGCCTGGAACCATTCACACCCACTTCCTGAGGATTCCTTCCTCCCTACCCAGAGCCGATCCTTAGAGGCTATCTCCCACCCTGCCCCTGCCCCCCCGCCCCCGCCGCTGCTTGCCCAGGTACTCGGGGGTCCCACAGGGCTCCTTGATGAGGCCATTCTCTAGCTTAGCCAGGTGGAAGTCGCTGATGACAATCTTTGAGTTCTTCAGCCTGTTGTAATAAACCAGGTTCTCCAGCTGCTCCGGCCAGGAATGGCATGTGGGTGGGCAGAGAAAGACTCCGTGAGGAGAGGATCTCAGCGGCTGGGTCAAAACCCCAAAGTACTGCCCACCCCAGGCCAGCTGCCAACTGACCCTTTGACCAGGGTCCTGGCCTCACCTTGAGGTTCCTGTGCACGATCTTGAGTGAGTGCAGGTAGGCCACGGCCTCCAGGACCTGCCGTACTACGTTGCTCGTGTCCCGTTCCGAGTAGTAGCCCTGGTCCAGGATCCAGTCAAACACCTCCCTCCCCGTGGCCCTGAGGGACACCAGCTCCTGAGCCCGGCGTGGGCAGGATCGGGGCTGGGGCAGGAGCACTTGGGCAGGCTACCTACACCAGGTAGCTGACTGGGCAAGGCACAAAGACTGGGACCCCAAGGGTCCAAGAAGGGGGCTTTCCCTGGCTGTAGAAGGTGGAAGAATCCTGGGACCCCAGGCCCACACTCACAGCTCCAGGAAGATGAAGTACTCCTTGCGGGTCACAAACACATCCACCAATTGCAAGATGTTGGGATGTTTCACCCTGGCAGCGGAGAGAAGAGCCAATAGTTAGGGCTCAGTGAGCCCCTAAGACAGGCTCTGGTTGCCACTGTGGGTCACAGCAGACTAACTGGCCAGAGGCTGGCACTGCTTGAGGCCCCTGCCCTCAAAGCCCTTCCCTGCTACCTCTCACCCACCCCACCCCAGGCCTCACACGTACATCTTGAGAATGCCGATCTCGTTCTTGGCCGCCTTCCGCACCTTGCGGCCGTCCCGCTTCTGGAACTTCTTGCAGGTGTGCAGCTTGCCTGTCGTCTTGTCCTTGGCCCGGAAGATCTCACAGAACTCCTCACTGCAGCAGCAGCGCCCCACTCAGCCCTGGGCTGCGCGGCACTCCCCTGGCCCCCACCCTCGCCCACCAGACCGGCACTCACGTTTTGATGACCTGTCCCAAGTCATATCTGTCAGTCACCTCCGACGGCTGGTTATAGTTCTTTTTGTCTCCCAGAGTCACACAACCAAACGGCATTGCCAGGCTCTGAGCTGTGGGCAGGATGGGTCGGACTCAGCTGTATTGCTCCCCACTTCTCTCCACAACACAGAGGTTGCCTCTGGGAGACCCCAACTGGCTCAGGCCAAGCCAGAGGCAGAGTCTAAGGCAGAAAGGGCTAGAGGGTGGTCAGACTCAGATCCTACCCTTGCTCTTCTGGTCATACCTCCAGCCACTCAGCTTGGCTACCCGAACTACAATAGCCCCGCTCATGAAAAATGTATTAACCTGAAATATCAGGGAATTACTTTGTAATATATACACAGAAAAGATTGAGCAAATGATTTCTTTTTTAAAAATACTTTTTCTTGCCCTGGCTGGTTTGGTTCAGTGGTTAGAGCATTGGCCTGTGGTCCAGAGAGACCCGGGTTCGGTTCCTGCTAAGGGCATGTACCTCGGTTGCAGTTTGTCCCCGGCCCTGGTTGGTCGTGCGGGTGGCAGCCACTGGATGTGTCCCTTTCACATCGATGTTTCTCTCTCTCTCTTCCTCTCTCTCCCTACCACTCTGTCTGAACAAAAAGTGGAACAATGTCCTCGGGTGAGGATATATTTTTTTTCTTTATTGATTTTAGAGAGAGAGGAAGGTAGAGGGAGAGAGAGAGAGATAGAAACATCAATGAACGAGAATATCAATTGGCCGCCTCCTGCCTGCCCCCCACTGGGGATCAGGCCAAAAACCTGGGCATGTGCCCTGACCAGAATTGAACCAGTGACCTCTTAGTATATGGGACAGTGCTCAACCAATAAGCTACACCGGCCGGGCTGATCAAATGATATCTCCAAATTATGGTTATGTTACAGGTGCAAAGGGCTATAACTACCCATTTATCAGATAGTCATCTCTGAAGATCTGAAGATACCAACTGTTGGCAAAGATGAGAACTTGAGCACTACTGGTGGAGGGCAAGTCTCCCCTTTGGAAACCAGTTTGCTAAAACTATAGAAGTCAAATATATCCTAGGAACCAGCAATTGCAGTGCTAAATATATGCCCTACAGAAACACATATATTTGTGTATCAGGGTATTCAGACAAGAATGCTCACAGCTGCAATATTCATAACTGCCAAAGACTAGAGACAGCCCAAATATCCATCCACATTGTGATACTGTGTACGTGATATAATCACACAAGGTAATATTGTACAATGGAAATGACGTAGCTATAGCTATACCCAACCACAAGATGAAGCTCACACACATAGTGTCGAATGAAAAAGACACAAATGAGTATATAGAGAGAATATATATAGAGAGAGATTATATCATCTGTGATCAATGTTATCAATTATAGAATCGATATAAAGTTCAAAAGAGGCAGAACTAACCCGTGCTATTTAAGAATAGAGACATACTGGCAAAACTACAAAGAAAAGCTAAGAAAGAAACACCATGAGTCCTTCTAAGAGAAAGAAAGGGGATGTGATTAAGTCGGACACCTGAGGGCATTCTGTTGGGCCTATTTCTGAACCTAAGTGGTGGTTTCATAATTTGTAAAAATGTACATACAAGTTTTGGCACAGTCCTAAATTTTTGTTATATTTCACAATAAAAAAATGTTAATAAAAATTATGGCCATTCATCCCTGGCCAAATTGCTCAGTTGGTTAGAGTGTTGTCCCAATATGTCAAGGTTGTGGGTTCAATCCTCAGTCAGGGCATATACAAGAATCAACCAATGAGTCCTGATTGGTGTGGCCCAGTGGGATGGCGTGTTGGCCCACACACCAAAGAATCTCAGGTTTGATTCCCAGTCAAGGGCACATACCTGGGTTGCAGGTTCAATTCTTGGCCCTGGTCAGGGTGCAAGTGGGAGGGAACTAATCCATGTGTCTCTCTCACGTAAGTGTTTCTCTCTCTCTCCCCCCATTGCTCCCTCCCTTCCACTCTCTCTAAAATAAAAAAATGGAAAAAAATATCCTTAGGTGAGGATTAACAACAACAAAAAAGAATCGACCAATGACCCTGGCCGGTTTTGCTCAGTGGTTAGAGCATCGGCCTGCTGTCCGGAGACACCCGGGTTCAGTTCCCGCTAAGAGTGTGTACCTCGGTTGCACTTTGTCCACGGCCATGGTTGGGTCGTGCGGGTGGCAGCCACTCGCTGTGTCCCTTTCATGTCAATGCTTCTCTCTCTCTCTCTTCCTCTCTCTCTCTTCCACTCTATCTGAACAAAAAATGGAAAAATGTCCTCGGATGAGGATTAAAAAAAAAGAATCAACCAATGAATGCATAAAGAAGTGGAACAACAAATCGATGTCTTTCTCTTCTCCCTTTCTCGCTCTCTAAAAAATTAATAAAAACGTATAAAAATAAATAAATAAAATAAAAAGAATAAAGTAGAGCCCTGGCCGGGTAGCTCAGTTGGTTAGAGTTTTGTCCCGATATGCCAAGGTTGCAGGTTCAATCCCCAATCAGTGCACAAATAAGAATCAACCAATGGCCCTGGCCGGTTTGGCTCAGCGGTTAGAGCGTCGGCCTGCGGTCCTGAGAGACCCGGGTTCGGTTCCCGCTAAGGACGCGTACCTCGGTTGCAGTTTGTCCCCGGCCCTGGTCGGTTGTGCGGGTGGCAGCCACTGGATGTGTCCCTTTCACATCGATGTTTCTCTCTCTCTCTCTGTTCCTCTCTCTCCCTCCCACTCTACCTGAACCAAAAAAAATGGAAAAATGTCCTCGGGTGAGGATAAAAAAAAAAAAAAAAAAAAAGAATCAACCAATGGCCCTGGCTGGTTTGGCTCAGTGGTTAGAGCGTCGGTCTGCGGTCTGGAGACACCCGGGTTCAGTTCCCGGTAAGGGCATGTACCTCAGTTGCAGTTTGTCCCCGGCCCTGGTTGGGTTGTGTGGGTGGCGACCACTCAATGTGTCCCTTTCACGTCGATGTTTCTCTCTCTCGTTTTCCCTCCCACTCTATCTGAACAAAATACCGAAAAATGTCCTTGGGTGAAGATAAAAAAAATCAACCAATGAATGCAGAAATAAGTGGAACAACAAATTGATGTTTCTCTCTCCCTTCCTCTCTTTCCAAATTCAATCAATCAATAAAAATTTATTTATTTATTATTTTTTATCCTCACCCGAAACATTTTTCCATTTTTTGTTCAGATAGAGTGGGAGGGAGAGAGAGAGAGAGAAACATCGACGTGAAAGGGACACATCGAGTGGTTGCCACCCGCAGGACCCAACTAGGGCTGGGGACACACTGCAACCGAGGTACGTGCCCTGAGCGGGAACCGAACTCTGGTCTCTCCGGACCACAGGCTGATCTCTAACCGCTGAGCCAAACTGGCCAGGGCCAATCAATAAAAATTTTAAAAAATAAATCAGATTGAAATATGCTGCTGTGTACAGTATTTGAGATATGTCATGAAGTGAAAAAGCAAGGGACAGAATGGTGGGTAAAGGGTGCTGCTATTTGGGTAAATTTTTTAAGTTTTTAAAAAAATATCACTTTTGTTATTCTTTTTTTAAATACATTTTTATTGAGTCTTTTAAATATGTTTTTATTGATTTATTAAAGAAAGATAGAAAAATCAATGTGAAAGAGAAACATTGATTGGTTACCTCCTGCACACCCCCTACTGGGGATCGGGCCCACAATCCGGGCATGTGCCCTGACCCTGAATTGAACTTGGACCTCTCAGTCCATGGGATGACGCTCAATCCACTGAGCCACACCGGCCAGGCTTTATTGAGTATTTTAGAGAGAGAGGAAGAGAGAAAGAGAGAGAGAGAGAGAGAGAGAAACATCACATAGATGTGAGAGAGAAACAAAACATTGATCAGTTGCCTCCCTCCCATACACACCCCAACAGGGGATCAAACCCACAACCTGGGTATGTACTCTGACCAGGAATTGAACCAGTGACATGTCAGTGCGCAGGATGCCACTCAACCAACTAAGCCACACCAGCCAGGGCTAAATTATTAAAAGTTTATATGCCGGTTTATAATCCTGTTCTGGAAGGACAACTATGAAAGTAAGAGTTCTCTGTAGGGCAAAGAATTGGTGTCGTAGGAGCAGGTTTACATCTTTTGCTTATTAACGTTCCGTTAGGATTTTTACTATAATTACTTTTATTGATTTAATAAATACTGCATTCAGGCACAGTGCTTGGGGAATTCCTCAAAAGAACAACCTCCATCTGAGTAGAAAAGCAAGGAAAGGCTTTGAGGAAGCAGCAGCTAGGACTGGACCTTAGAGGGGAAGGACTTGCCAGGAAGCATGCAGGGGTAATGGTCCGGAAAAGCAAGACAAGCCTGCCTGGTGCCTCACTGCCAGGGCCCACAGGAGACCCGGGCAGTCAGGTCCAGGGTAGAGGCCCCTGGCCAGGGATGGGTTTTCCAGGCACTAGGGTGGCCACATGCAGCTGACTGCAGTGGGCTCCAGGCACTCTGGCACTTGGGGCATGATGCCCCACAGGTCAGCAACCCTGCCAGCCCAATTGTCACCTGTGGTGCTGGGTGGACGAGCTCCATCACCCAAAGGAAAGGCACTCGTAGTCCTTGCTCAGAGGTAAACTTCGGGAGGGGAGTTGGTGACAGTATTGGGACCTTTGCAGACCTGATGCAGAGTCTGCCTCCATAACGCCTGGTCACCAGAATACAGCAAACTCTGCTCTGAAGCTGCATTCCACCTGCTCTGGCTCTGCTGGCTGCATATTGTCTCTCCACAGCAATTCGCACTTGCTGCTCACAGAGCCTGGGCTGGGGCCTTGGAGACCTAGATGCTCCCCTACGTAGGGTCACTCACAGCCACAGGTAGTGGAGAAGGAAGGAAGCCACCACCAGATGAAGGAGCTTTGGTCAGAGGGACTCTGCCAGCCGGGATCAAAGGCCAGGATGCACATAAGTCCCATGGCTGCTGCTTGCTTCCTCCCAGGGAGGGGCCACCCACTTCCTAGGGGTCACAGTCCTAGAAGTTCTCCCTCAAATTCGCTCTCAGCATCAGGGAACAAATTCCGTCATTCCCTCATCTGGGCTGTTTGGGCTCAGGGATTGCAAATGCATTTCATCGGTGTGCGTCAACCCAGGCAGGGCTTAAGCCATCTTGTGAGGCACTGCAGAGGTGAACAAGAGACGCTTTGAAGATCATCCCCAACTGCATGTCTTGCCACCACAGTCAGAGCCCTGCTCCTGTGTCGGCCGGGGAGGAGCATGTGGCTGGAATCCCACTCGTACAGCTGAGGCCGAAGCACAGCCACCCATCCCTGCTGGCCACCCATCTCTGTGTTCTAACAATCGGGCACAGTCCCTCTGGTGTGCAGTGATTCCCTTCCCTGACGGGAACTGAGGCTGTGTACTGGGTCCCATAGGAGGGCTGGGATGGGATGGACCTGTGTCTCAGCTCCGTGGCTTTGCCTACACCGTTCCCTGTCACAGGAATGCCCCCTCCCCCCCAGTCTCCCATCAGTATCCTATTTGTCACGCCAGAGTTAATTATAACATGAAAAAAACAGCAACTACCTAAACATCCAACAACAGGTGACTCGCCAGCTCAACAGTGTCCACTCAATGGCAGGAAGTGAGGGCACTGCCCAGCTTGGCCTCCCTGTGGAGCAGCCTCCACCTGAGCTAAGTACCGACACCAGGGCTGAATCTCTTCTTTCATTGTGATTTCTGACAAGGTTGTACAACAGATTGTCTAAAACAATCCTGATGCTCCAGACTCAAAATGGCCCTTCTCTGAAATACCTTCCACAACCTCCACCTCCCCCCACCCCACAGCTCCCTGCTCTGACGCATGGCGTAGGAGGTTTTGTATATGCCTGTCCCTGATCTTGGCCCAGCTTTTGGCCATGCACATGCACTTGTGCCCACAGGGACCCCGGGCTGCTCCTGAGGTCTGTCTCCATCACAGAAATCCGGGCCTCTGCTCACAGTCACATCCGCCCTAAAGCCTCATGGACAGGGCAGGGACGGATCTGTCTCCCTGCTACAAAGTCTGCCCGATAGCCAGTTTCTGCTTCTCCTCACCAGCCTAACTGTGCGCGCTTGCTTCCACCCCCAACCTGGCCCTAGGGCGAAGAGAGAAGAAAGGGGGCCCTGCAGATTAGCGCCTTGGTCCCCTCCACCTCCACCAGTCTACCATCTGCCACCCATTGTTGCCGCCTGGGAGGTTGCCCACCAGGGAGGCTGCCCTAGCACAGAGCCCCTAGCACCTGCCTGCAACAATGGGGGAGGAGGCTGGCCCCCAAACTGGGAGGAACAGCCAAGGGACAGCTTCAAGAACTGGAAGGCCAGGCAGAAGGAGGTTTGCATTTCTCACCTCCATGCCCCAGACAGCCCAGACTCAACACCCAGCAGTGGGGAGCTCTCCTGCCAGCAACACAGAGCCTGAGCTCTGCCTCAGGTCCACAGTGGGACACGGGAGGGTACAGGAGCCCGAGAGTGGCTGTTTCCCTAGAGACAGGGCTTCTCCCATTCTCTGCAGAGAACCTGAAGGGCCTGCACAGGGGGCAATCGGAAGGGAATGCAGAGCCTGGCACTGCCACTGCCCTCCAGCTGGCTCTAAGGGAGCCCGAGGGCCAAGCTCTGCTCAGTCTGACCCCTGGGCTCAGGCAGTTGAGCCTTAGGCAACTCGGAGGAAGCCTCTGACTATAGGTACCCTGATAATAAAGGGTCCCCTAGGGGCCCTACTGCAGCCTAAAGCAGGCCTGGCCTACGGGAAGCCTGCGTGGGACAGAGGCCAGCTCCAGAGACCCAGAAAGTCCCACATGGGAGTCCTGTCCCCTCTTTTCCACTAGGGTCAGCCTGGTTCAGGCCCCACCTTTCTGAGCCATAAACAGGAGTTTCCTGCCACCCTGCTCCTCTGTCATGTGGGGTTCCGCAGCTTACAGCAATCCTAGGAGGGCTAGGAGGGGCCCAGGAGGCCTCCAGCTGCCTCCCAACAACTGTGGGCAACACCTCCCGATTTAGTGGCATCTGTGAACACCAGCCTGCAGGCACCACCTTCCCTTCCCTGCTCTCCTCTGTCAGGGACTGCGGCTGGGTTTCCTGCTGCAGTGGACATGCCTGCGCCCAAGCCCTGCCTGGTCCACCGAGGCCTCGCCTGCAGGACCTCAGGCTCAGGGTCTGGTGTCAGGAGGCAGAGCCAAGCTTCTAGCCCACCATTCGGCTGCTTCAGGGAATGGGCAGGGAGATGTCCTAGTTGGGCCTCAGGTCCTAGCTAAACCGTGGTCCAGAGTTCCTGAGGCTGACTCTCTCCCATCTAAGGAGGGAGTATGGAGAGAGGGGCCTCTCCAGTCTCAGGGGTGGGCATACAGTCCAGTACTGACTCCAGAAAGTTCAGTCCTCAACATTGCAGGCAGAGCCAAGAGCCAAATGACCCCTCCAAGGCACCTGGGGTTCCAATCTTTAAACCCCTTAAAGAAAAATTCACTGGGGGCCCTATGGGTGGAGGAGGGGAAATGCAGGGGAAGTCTCAGAGAGCAAAGGGTTGCTATGGTGATGGAAGTCTTAAAACAAGGGGAGGGGGATGGGAGAGGTACTTGCCAAACCCATTCTCCAAGAATTCCCTGAGGCTTTGGCCCGGTTCCTTCCCACAGGTTCTGTGACTCTGGTCCCTATCAAGGATTGGGAGGTGGGAGAACTGAGGCACTTTAAAAAGGAGAGAGTAGGGCAGGGACACAGAGAGACAAAGGCACAACCTGTGGAGGAAGGGGAGCAAAGGGGCGACAGAGTGAAAAGGAAGCAGCCACAAGGATACAGGAGAAGGTGGGCAGGGCCTTCTGAAGGGGCCTATGGTAGGAACTAGCCAGGTGCCTGGATCTTTGAGACTGACCCTCCTATATGCCCCAGACATTCCCCTGTCTCATGTGGGAGGCATCGCCTTACCCCTGGGGAAGAGACCAGCTGCTGCAGTCCCCTAAGTCAAAGCAGTTCCTCAGCCCCCTTCCCTTTCATCACCCCGGCTTAGGTAAGGCAGGTCCCACGTGTGGAAGGTACAGTGTGGGGGATGGAAATGAACCTTGGAGACTTGGCTGCTTCCCTTTACAGCCCCTCCTCTCAGGTGGCCCAGCTCTGCCAGGACTCCCCAGCCACACTCCTCCCCCTTCTGCTATCCTCTCCAGGCCTTGGATCCCCAGGGCCCCTCTTACAGCTCAGCCTAATTCCCTGCCACCGCTGTCCCCCTCCCAACGGCGCATCCTGTCAGGAGAGCCAGAAACAGCACCCTAAGCAACCTAGAAATAGGATAACAACTGCACAGCCCCAGTTCCCCTTGCCTCAGTTTCCCTGGATGGAGGTCACGGACTCCATGGTCTTCTCCCAGGGCAAGGACTGATCACCTACTAGTGAGTGGTGGCCAGGACATAGGCTGGAGAGGAGGGACAGCAGCAGATTTGGGAAAGCAGCCTATGGCACCTGGGGTCCACACCAAATGCTGTGAAAGAAACAGAGAGCCTGTCCCACCCCAGGGCCCAGCCTGATACTGAGAGAAGTGGAGACACGATGTCCCAGTTGAGGAAACTGGGGCCCAGCAGGTGGCTAAAGCTGACAGAAATCAACTGGGGGGGGGGGGCAGGTCTCTGCAGGTGGCCCTTGGGGGGTTCTAAACCTGGACCTTGGAGGAGTGTGGCAACAGAGGGGCTGGACTGCTGTGGGCTGAGCTTTTGGTGAGGGACAGAGGGCCTGCTCCCTAAGAGGGAATCTGGTGGAGCAGGCTCTGCCTAGGGGGTGCGGACAAAAGCAGTTTGCAGAGCTATGGGGGGCTGGGAGAGCCTAAGGTCTCTACCAGACGCTACAGGCTGGGGAAGGCAGAAACTCACTCGCTCCTTGTCCACCTCCCCGCAGCCTAGGGCCCTACTTCCCACCTTGGTGCCACCCTGACCCCCTTCCCCAGTGCTGCTGACTCGCCCCCGCTGGCACAGCAACACACATGCGGGAGGCACACGTGTGAGCACCAAGCCCCGCATCTCCCAGCAGAAACATGTGCGTCCCCCACCCCCACCGCCCAGCGCTGGGTCGGTGCCCTGGACCCTGGCTGAACCCCACGTTAAGGCTCGGAAGCTAGATCTTGGCTAGGGAGCTGCTGGTCCCTAGGGGCCTGTAGCCCCCTCCCCCCCTTCCGGCAGCCCCGCCCAGCCCCCTCCAGGTTGTCGTCCATAAAAAAAAAAAAAAAAAAAACCTCTCCGTTGTCATGGAAATTAGTGACTGCTTTGCGCGGGAGGGAGGGGACGGGGGCAGTTGGGAGGGGCTGGAGGCTCTGGGAGTCAGGAGGGACCGCTCAGCCCTCGGCCCCTACCCCCATGGGACACCACGAATGTCTGAGGGTTCATGTTTTCACAATTGGGAGCCATAGGGGACGGGGTTACACAAGGGAGATGGGGAAAAGTAGAGGAGATTCGCCTGGACTTGAGTCTCAGAGGCTTCCCCTGGGACCCCCGAGCCGTCAGAGGTGACAGGGAACTTTAGCCCGACCCGGTACGCCGACCCCCGGACTGCAGAGCCCGTGTGCTCTGCCCCCGCCGGGGCCCCAAGCCCTCGCGGGGTCCCCGCACACTCGGCGACCGGAACCTCGAGCCAGAGACCCAATCCCCCAAGACCACAACGTGCGTTCGGTGGCGCCCCCCGCCCGGCCCGCCCCGCACCTGCAGCGCCGGTGGATCACAGGGAGGACGCGATCGCGGTTCAGTGCGGGCGCCGAGGGCTCCAGGGGCAGCGGGCAGAATCCGCTCCGGGCAAGCGGGGCAGACGCGGCGCCAGATGCAGCCGCTTCAGCTCGCGAACCTTCAGCATCTCCCGCCGCTCGCCTGCACCGAATTCGCATCCCGGGCCGGGGGCGGGCTGGGGGCGGGGCCTCTTTCCGCCGGCTCCGCCCCGACCGTGAAGGAGCCTGAGGCCGAATCCCACTCGAAGGCGAGCTGACAAGGGGTGGCACTGGCCTACCGGGCCCGGGCAGGCTCTCAAAGGCTCCCTTAGGCCCTTGAGCTGGCTGGGCAACAGAGATCAGAGGGACCTTCCTATGTCCACTGCAGGAGCTGAGGAGTAAGTAGGAGGTGTGGGAAAAGCCTGAGTCCTGAGACTGCACGGGACCCAAAAGGTGGGACTCACTTGGAAGAACCAAACGGCAGTCGCTAAGGCAAGCTGCACTACAGACCAGCATCCCCTAGCTGGGAGTAGTAAACACATGGGGAACGTGTGTGCGCCAATGACCAGTGAGGGCTCCAAGACCACCAGGCAGAATCTACCCACCCCTGCCTCCACTCCTGCAAGGCCAAAGTCTCTGCGGACCCCCAGTCTGGGCTACCATGGCTGGCCCAGTCTGCCCCTTCTGTATGGCACTGAATTTCCCAAACTATAAAAGTCACTTGTGGCATAGTGTGGAATCTGCTTTCTTCCACTCATATCACCCTCAAACACTTGTGAGCAGAATCACCTTTGGAGACCTGGGCTGGGAAATGGGGGTACAGAGGGCAGCTAGAGATCCAAGCCAAGACAATAAAGCCCGACACTGCCTGACCAGACCTAGCCCCTTACTGGAGGAGGCTCAGAACTGCCAGGCAGAAGTTCTAAAGAAAGTCCGTGACCATTTCTCTGTCCCTTGTCAGGGAGGCACATAAACCCATGCTTACCCTGTTCCGCTCACAAGCCCTGATGTCTGTATGTGAAGGGCAGACTTCGGCTTCTCAATGCCTGGAGCTGGGCTCCACTCAACCCAACACTCCTGGTGAGCCTTCTGACCCCATCCTGGGAGGGGTCATCTCTAACCCTTTGCCACATTGAGTCTCCCCTGCCTGGCTCCTCTTGGGTGCTGACTGGAGTGACTCCCCAAGTCAGGAGGTTGGGGCTGGGGCTGGAAGTCGACCCTGGGAAATGACTGCTCAAACAAGGCCCCTCACTATCTCCCTCTGAGGGGGTGTTGAGGAGCCCTTCACATCCTTCCCAGGCCAGCCTGATGCCACCTCTGGTGGTCTCATCCATGGCACCAACCCCACTACTGGGTAGGAATCTCCTGGCAAGCTGGGTATCGGCAGCTCAGAGCCTGTGTCTTATCTCAGTATGCTCGGTCTGAAGAATGAATGAATGGCCTGGCACTCAGTCCTTCCTGCTGTCTGCCCACTGTCCCTGAAACAGTGGTTCTCTGAGTTGTATGGTGCAGCTGAGCAATGGCTTGCTGACCCCACACCTGTCACACATGTTTTCTGTTTTCTTGAAGGTCATGCATATCCAGGCCCGGAGAAGCTGAGCTCAGGAGAGGCTAAAATGGGGGATTTAGAGGCAGAGGAAGAGGTGGCTCGCTAGAGCCCTGCCTAGTGCTGGCAGTGCTCCACCTCTTCTTGGTCTTGTGCACACTCCATGTGCCTGTGGGTAAGAGCACGTGGCAGGGTGTGTGCGCACACGTGTGTGTGTGTGCTCTTCTGCTGAAGGAGAAGGCAACAGCACTGTGTGTGCAGTGGTGCCCAGGGGCACGTGTCTGCATTCTGTGTGCATCCAGGCGTGCTTGCTCACACGTGCTCATGGACGCTTTAGCTAGTCCCTGAAGCCACTGGTCCCTGGAGACACTGGTCCCTTTCCTGAATAGCACAAGCTTCAGGATTGTGGAGCCTGAATCAGGCTTGACCACACCTGGGGGTGGGCAGGGGCTGCGATGACCCTATGTTATTGGCTGTTTCTTTTTTTTCTTTTCTTTTTTTTATTGATTTTAGAGAGAGAGGGAGAGGGAGAGAGAGATGGAAACATTGATGAGAGAGAACATCGATTGGCTGCCTCCTGCATGCCCCCCACTGAGGATTTGGCCCACAACCTGGGCATGTGCCCTGACTGGGAATCGAACTGGTGGCCTCTTGGTGCATGGGTCGATGCTCAACCTCTGAGCCACCACCAGCTGGGTTATGGAATATTTCTGTCTCTATACCTAGGGTAGCCCCTCACTCTCAGTTGTGTGTGTGTGTGTGTGTGTGTGTGTGTGTGTACGTGGCAGGGAGATGTAACCAGCCCTTTGTCCTTTGTGGAGAGAGTAACCTAAAGTTAGAACCCAGGGTTGGGACTGGATCATAGCTTATCACTCCAGCCCCCAGCCAGAAAAGCATAAGCAGAGGAGAGCTTTATCACTTGGCTTCGATCTCAACCTGTCCTCTGGGTAGAAAGTAGCAATACCAGCTGAATGCCATCCTTTCAACTCTCCCAGACCACGGACTGGAGTGACAGAGCTTCATTTCTACCCTCACTTTCAGAGCCAGACAAGGTCGGAGCCATGGCTTCTAGCCACCCCCTGGCCAGAGGGATGGCAGGAGGTCCTAGCACAGGGCAGAGTTTGGGACGAGAGCAGGGGCAGTTGGCATTGGCACTGGCCAGTAGCCTCTGTGAGGTCTGGAGGAGGCCTATGCCCCAGCCCCTCTGTGGGCAGGAGATGCCTGTGTTTGGAAGCTGAGAAGAAGGGAGCCCAAAGTTGACTGTTCTGGCTCCCACTTCAGCTGGACAGTCAGAGAAGCAGGGAAGTTGTGAGCCTCCGCATCCACAGAACCTACAAAACAGGCCAGAGTCCCATCCCCCAGCTCAGGTGTACCCCACCAGGAGCCAGGACTTATCTGCCCCCCGACTCCAACTTCCTGCCCCAGGACACCGATACCCTCATATTCTGATTGGTGGACAGAAGCTCCTGCCGACCCAGCATAGCACTCCAGCCAAGGTTCAGACTTCAGGAGGTAACAGCATTACCAGGCCAGCTCCCCCAAGAAGCCCAGACTCTGACAAGAATTGTCCCTGGGGGCAATTGCTGGCCTCAGCCCTCTGTGTGGAGCCCCAGATGGAGGAGGGCAAGTAGTCTTTTCCTCTGGAGCTAGGGGAGGGGGCTGCCCCCCATCATGACTCACTCCAGGCTGTGTGGGTTATTACATTATGCTTGAAATTGCCATGGTAACCAGCTGGCAATCAAGGGTAATTGCAATTGTCACCAGGGCAACGGGGCAAAACCCACAGCAGCCACTCTTTGTGTTTGCCCTTGGGGTGCAGTAAAGGTCAGGGTAGTCCAGAGCCAATGCCGAGGGGCTCTGGGGGACTCTAGAAAAGATGGAAGTGCCAGGACCTGTGGAGTTCGTGTGCAGAGGCAGGATGTGCCTTAGGTGTGCCAAGGGCCCCATCCCTGACCCCATGCCGGGACCCCTGCCCTTTCCACACCACCCTGGGCCTAAAACATGCCACAGTGCTCAAAGTAAGCAGAACCAAACTTTTATGTTCTCATAGATGGTACTTGTAGACGGCCCATGGGCCCTCTTCCTCGTACTCACGGCGGCTGAGCCACAGACTCTGGAAGGAGTCCCGGGACGCCATGATGGAGCCCCCAAGCCAGGCGGCAACTGCCCGGTGGGGAGAGCCCAGCACAGTGGCACGCGGGCCTAGCTCCTGTCTCAGGCGCTCAGGAAAGCCACTCACCAGGGTGCTGCCACCGTCCAGCACCACATTGGCCAGCAGCTGCTCTTGCTGCTTGGCCTCCAGCCGGCTGATGCTCAGGAGGGCTAGCTGTGGGAGGCCTGGCTGGTTGAGGCCTAGCAGATTGGGCTGGAAAAGGGCCTCAGGGCAGCAGAAGCGCTCAGAGCCCAGTGTGATGATCTGCTTGTCTGGAAGCATGAAGTTCATCCCCTCCTGGGCCTGGGTGCGGGCCATCTCGGCTTTCATGTCCAATGACACGTAGCAGTAGGTCTCTTTAATATGGTTGACCAGCCCTGCTTTGGGCAGTGAGTGGCCATCTCTCAGCAATAGCTGAGCCAGGTACTCAGTGAGGTCAGCACCGGCCACATCCAGCCTGTAGGTGTCACGTGGGGCCAGATCCCCAGTGAGGATGGGCGACACATAGGAGGTGCCATGGCCACTGCCCAGCACCAGCCCAGAGGTGCGCCCATAAGCATAAAGCGCCAGCAGGGCCTGATGCACAGTCTGCATGGCTGGCACGTGGAAACACTCAAAGAGTATTTCCGCCACCTTTTCTCGGTTGGTACGGGGTGAGATAGGTGAGTCTGCCACGAGTACAGCCAACTCCTCCGGCTTCACACCCAGCCTGCAATAGAACAGGTGCTGCCACAGCACCTCCAGCGCATCCCAGTCGGAGACCACCCCTCGGTTCAGCACCGAGCAGGAGCCCTCACTGTTCTTAGGCATCGTGTGTCTGGGCTGGTCATGGACGGGCTGCTGCAGCAGCTGGACGCATGAGGGTACCACACTGAGGATGTGGTCCTCGCCAGCCAGTCCACATTTGGTGAAGCCTGTGCCCGTGTCAATCACCACAGCCGCCGTGTTCTGGTGGCGGCCCATTGAGTGGTAGCAGAGCACTGGGGACTTGACTGGCAGGGCTTTTGCAGAGGAAACCAGCTCATAGTAGGCCCCATGGATCAGGCCAAGGTTCGTAACCACTGACGAGTCTGTAGTGTTCTCAGCTGTCAGCTTGAGCCGGGAACCCTGGGGCTCAGTGCCCACCACGGCCACGGGAAAGACTTTGTAGCCAGTGCCAGGTGTGGTAAATGTGATCAGGGAGAGCTGCTCCTCCTGCGCCCTGTGAGAGCTGCCACGTTGCCAGGATGAGAGCCAATGTGTATTGGAGCTTGGAGGAACACTGATGCCCACCTTTTCTTTGCTCACATAGACACAGTTCTTTTCTGGGACCACGGGCACCCGAAGTACCCCCACATGGGTGGGCAGACGCAAGGCCTCACCTTCCTGGCACAGGGTGGAGGGCTGGCCAGACTCGCTGGTGGGGCCTCTTGAGATGACGGGCTCTTTGGAGATGGTGGATTCTTGGCAAAAGGGAGGCTTCCCAGTGAGAGAAAGCTGCCTGGAAAGAGGGGTCCCAGAGAGAGGGGGATGACCAGGAAAGGGGGTCTGCTTGGTCGAGGGGGGCTGCTCAGCTAGGGATGGCTGTCCAGAAAGGTGAGTCTGCTTGGGGAGGGGGCACTGCTCAGCCGAGGGAGGCTGACCAGCTGGAGAGGGCTGTCCAGAGAGGGAATGCTGCTCTGCTAGAGGGGGCCGACCACCGAGGGGCGCCTGCCTAGTACCTTCCGCCCGAGGCTTGTCAGAGTGAGCAGTATTGACCTCTTTCCAGTTTTGCTTTTCTATGTCCTCCTGGAGCAGGAATCTGAGTGCCTCCTGGGGCTTGGCTGAAGGAGCAGGCTCTGGGATTGGCTCTGAGTTCATCCACTGCAGTTTCTGGGCCTGGCCCATAGAAGTGTCCTGCTTCCCAGAAGCATCCAGCATCCAGATGGTGCTACCAGATTCATTTTTTTCAGCATCAGGTTTGGACCAGCTGAGATCGTGGACACGGCTCAATGTCCTCTCACCAAATTGGAGGGGCATCCCCAACGGAACAGGCCCAGTGAGCATCCCCACCCTGATGGGTGTCTCAGTACCACAGGCGTCCCATGACTCCAGGTTGAGCCTGGCCTCTTTGGGAACTAGGACCACCTCTTGATAGCTGCTAGATGAGAGGCTGGACGGCACGGGGCTGGACAGCACTGATGAGATGGGCCAGAAGCTGGAGCGATTGCTGTCAGGGGAGATGATGGGCATGGCCAATGGCCAGGTGGATGGCATATTTTCAGGGGTATACATGGATGGGTGGTTGGGCACGAGGCCCACCAGTACTGCCCGTGAGCCCACAGGGTCATGGCACAGCAGTCCCACCCTGGTGCTGCCTGTGGCTATATCAAACACCAGCACACGGTCTTCCACAGCATCCCAGAGCTGGCAGGCAGGAGCACTGGAGGGGGGGATCTGCATGGCTTCTCTGGCAGACTGGACTGGGGGCTGCTTGGGGCAGGTTACTTGGCAGGCAGGGGGTGGCACACTGGAGCAGGTATTGTTGCAAATGTTGAGTGGCTGCTTTTCTGGCTGAGCGCTGCAGATCCCCTGGCTTCTTTGGAACTTGGGGGTGCCTGGCCTTCCTAAGACTGATGTTGGGCTGCCTGGCTTGAAGGTATAGACCAGTGACTTCTCTGCCGGGCTCTCAGGCTGCTTAGGTAACACCTTTCTTCTGGCAACTTCAAACTCTTGGGCATGGTCTGGGGACTCTTTTGGAGTGGGTCCTGGGACAGGAAGCTTCCACTGAGAACCAAAATTCACTTTGTCCTGGCAGGATGTGACCATTTTGGAAGACTCCAAGAGATCTGACAATTGGTTGCCATAGTTCCTGAGCAGGTCTTCTTGGGGCAAGCCCTTGGTAATGGCAGTGCTGTTGGTCAGGCGGCCAGGGCTGCTGGTGTAAGGCTCAACTGCTGCTGGCGCTGGGGTTGTCTGCGGAGCTGGAGTATTTGCCTGAGTTGGAGTTGGAGGAGCCTGAGCCAGACACGGGCACTTGCCCTGGCCCTGACCTTGGGCTGCAGCCAAGCCATTCTCTGCTGAAAGGAAACAGGGTGCCCACTGGCTTGTCCTAATGCCCAGGGGGGCTATCTGGTTGGTGCTGCAGGGGCCTTTTCCCCAGCCTACCAGGACTTTAGCCGGAGTCTTGCCCTCCCTCGAGCCCTGCACTTGAAGCCAGGGGCGACGGAATCCATGCTGGATCAGGTCATTGGTGGTGTCCCTGCGCGTGTACAGGGGCAGGGCCAGGGTCCCGTTCTCCGTGATGAGATGCACTTGGGCTTCCATGATGGGGCTTGGAAGCGGGCTAGTGGAGGAGAGACTCGGGACATCTTTGGAGGCCTGCTCATAGCCACACTGGGAGCTGACATCAGCGGGGTCCTGGAGTAGCCAGTGAATGGGCTCAGGAGCGCGGGCCTGGGAGGCTGGGCCACAGCGCCCATCATTGCTGGCCTCAGTGGACGGTGACAACCCCTTCCTAAAGTATACGGACCCTGAATTTATCCATGGTTCCTCGGGCCCTCTGAGGCCACTCCCCAGCTGCTGGCTACTGGCTGAGGGGTGGCCCTGGTGGTCCAATGGATCAGGGTCCCTCACCTCTTTGGTGACTTCCATAGTCCTGCTCCATGCCCTAGGTGCCCTGCCCCCGCTTCATTGCCATGACGACCCCACACATCACAGCCCCAGTGACCTGGGTGGGGGTGAGAGTGTGGGAAACCAGGGGCCCCACCCGCCTGAGAAATGGGGGCTTGCCCAGGGAACCTTGGGAGACAGAAAGGCCCAGTTAGCCCAGTAAAGCCTGCCAATCCCAGGCCGGCCTCCTCTCCCCTTACCAGCCAGGTGACGACTTTGGTCAGGCCAGTCCTGAGTGAAGGCAGTGCCCTGGGAGCAGGAGAGCAGGATAAGGCCAGGGGAGAACAGTAGGCAGGGGAGATGCGGAGGAAGCCCTGGGTTCCCAGTCTACCTCAGAGGTAAGACGGCTCTTTCTGTTTATTTCCCATGTGGCAACTCGAGATGAAGCCCTGACCCAGGGACGCGGGTCCAAGTATGTGACATGAGGCCTTTAGTGGGGCCAAAGCCCTTTTACCACTCAGCCCTGGGAGGCAGAAGAGGGTGAGGGCCCAGGCTCAGGCCCAGGCTCCCCTCCCCCAGGCTTCTGCTCCCGCTCCAGGGACAGAAGCTCCTTGGCACTCTTTCGGCTCCAGATGGTTCTCCTCTGCCTGTGCCTCCCAGAGCCCCCTCCCCAGAGCCACATGCCTGGAAACCTAGGCCTGGTACCCCACAGAGGTGAGGGTGGGGACCACAGGGCTGAGGGCTCAGCTCAGAATTCTCAAGTCAGAATGTTCTAGCTCTTGTCACAGTGTGTCAACTTCACAGTGGCCAGAAGGGGGTTAGAGCACAGGGCATAGGGCTAGGTCACAGTGAACACAGGGCCTGCCAGGTGGCAATTGCAAGTTGGGGCACAGTAAGAACATAGTGGTCACAGGGCTGGTACACAGTGGGGGTATGGTGGGAGCAGGACGTGTAGGGTGAGGACAAGTCAGACAAAGGACTGGACATAGGGTGGGCACTGTGGAAATGTAGGCTCTTAGGCCAGGTGGGCAGTTCCACCCTCCATTTCTCAAATGGGCAAAGAGAGGAGCAGGGAGGAGTGGGACCTGCCCAGACCACCAGCCCAGGCCCAGGCATGCCCTGCAGCCACGGAGGACAGGCCTAGGCAGCCCTTGGGGCGTTGCTCACTGCCAAACGCCTGAGCTTGGAGGTCCTGACCTTGGCTGGGTCAGCACCTCTTCCGTCCCCCCAGCTATGAGTTCTGAGCCTCCTCCCTCTGTCTTCCAGAGCAGGTCCTCCCAGGCCTCAGTCCTTCTGCCTAGGAAACAGGTTTGTGCAGAACACAGCTGTACACTTGTCCTCTGAAGCCATGTGTTTTCACAGAGGTTAAAAATAGTGCTTACAGTTGGCTGTGGGGTGTGAAGCGATGTGACCAGGGACCAAGGCTAGCACTGTGCTTCGTCTGTACCTTCCTGACTCAGCACTGGGCAGAACCTGACTTAGCCAGGCCTCAGGGCCCCTAGGCCCCCTCCCCTTCCCTAGATGTTACCTTCATTTAAGAATGGGGACAGGGCCCTGCCCAGTTTGGCTCAGCAGTTAGGGCATCAGCCTGCGAACCAAAGGGCTGTGGTTTTGATTCCTTGTCAAGGCCATATCCCTGGGTTGTAGGTTTGATCCCCAGCCCGGGTCAGGGTCATGTAGGAGGCAACCAATCAATGTGCCTCCTTCACATCAATGTTTCTCTCTCATGCTCTCTCCCTCCCTCCCATTCTATCTAGAAAATCAACGGGAAAATATCCTTGGGTGAGGATTAACAACTAAAAGAATGGGGACCAACCCTGGTTGGTGTGGCTCACTTGGTTGGGCGTTGTCCCATGCACCAAAATGTTGCTGGTTCAATTCCTAGTCAGGACATGCCTGGGGTTGCAGTCTCAAACCCTGGTAGGGGGTGTGCAGGAGGGACCCAAAGGATGTTTAGCTCTCTCACATTCGATGTTTCTCTCTCTCTCCCTCTTCCTTTCTCTCTCTCTAAAAGTCAGTTAAAAACTTAAAATTAAAAAAATAATGAGGACGGATGTCTCTGTACACTGTTGCTCACTACACACTATGGCCAGGAAAGTTGCAGAGCCCAAGAATCCATGGCCTGCACATGGCCCATGTACACACACACATACACACACACACACACACACACACTGAACACTATTGACGTCATTCATCTCTGACCCCAAGAAAACTACTTTTGAGGGGTTGATTTTTCCCCACAATAGAGATGCTGGAACTTGTACAGCCCTTGAGTGGTGCTGCACCTGGGAGGGCTGAGCAGGCGCGGGGGGAGGCCCTGAGAGCCCCTGACTCTAATCACTGAGCCACCCCTACCTCCTGCAGAAGAGGGGCACAATCCTCCTTTCAGGACTGGGTCTTTGTGAACAACTGATCTGAGGTGTCTGGGGAGGGAGCAGAGCAGCTGAAGGGTGTAGCCCACGAGAGACGACTGAAGAAGGCAGTCTGGAGAGAGGAGAGGGCTCTTCCCACCCGGGAAGCAAACACCCCAACCCTTAAGCAAGAGGAATAGTAACTGTTATGGATCGGGTTCTTCCTCTGTGCCAGGCGATGCTGAGCACATGGAACCCAGCCTCGCAGCAATTCAGTGAGCCTGGCAATATCGTCCTCATCTTACAAACGAGGAGACCAAGGCACCGAGAGGAGAGAGAATTCAGAGGTCTCAGCTAGTGAGTAGTAGAGCAGATCTGAAGCCGAGCCATCAGGCTCTGGATCCACACTCCAGGAGCTATGGTGCTACCACTGGGTGCCATGCCCAGGGCCATGTGCACTTGGACCCTGCTGGAGGGAAGCCAACATGCCTGTCTTCTGAGAGCTGCAGTCCCACCCAAGTGGGTGTCCCCCAGAGACCTGCACCTCCTCCCAGGAGCTTAGCAGGTGGCCCAGGCCTAGGAGGGGGCATTTTCCCTGTTGGCACCAGGAACCTGGCAGTGCTGAGTGGGGTCCAGCTACACACCCTGAGAGACCAGGCTGAGTCCTTTGTACTCAGAATTCTTGTCTGGCCAAAGCCCACTCCATTTCACCCATCTGAGGGGAGGGGCAGACAGCAGGGCAGCTAGAGAGTCTCCCAGGCAGTGGCCCTTCTGCCCGGGCCCCAGGGATCAAGCAGGAGCATTGTCCTTATACCCCCTCCCCACATGTTTTTAAATAGTCTCTCACCAGGAAGAAGGGCATCCAATTCTATTTCTGATTCTGGAAAGTGAGGAGGGCCAACATGTTGCCATGGCAACCTGACAACCCCTCCCCCAGGCTGAGCCCATTCCCCAGGCTAAGGGCTGTCTGGGATTGAGGGGCGAGAAGGATCTGGAAGGAGCTCAGTCTGAGAGCAAGGCCATGCCGTCTCCTCTGTGAGGGCAGGTGTTGGCATAGCCTCCTCATGCCTCACCTGGCAGGTTTGGGGGGAAAGCCCCAACCGCAGTAGAGAGGGTGAGACTCTGGGAGATGGGGAGAGTCGGTCACTCTGAGAGGGCTTTCTTTCCTGTGGATCAGGCTGGCACCCCTCACCTAGAAGGCCCCGGGGATAGTGGGCAGAAGGGCATCAAGGGGGGGCACAGAACGCTGCATTCTGCTGGGCTCCCCAACCAGCCAAGTCTCCCACACCTGCGTCTCCAGTGCAGACGTGCTCTGGGCTCTGCTGTCCTCAGGAGACAGCTCTGCAGGTCCCTGACCCACGCTCTTCCAGGCTACCTGCCTGTTGCTCCTGTCCCCTGGGAAGGCTCTGGACATTGTCAAACATCTAGGATCAGAAGAAGCCTGGGGGTGGGGGGGGCAAAATAAAAAACAGACAGGAGCCTGAAAGGGCTCCCAGTGCAGCCAGCCACGTGATACAGGAGGGAAGAGCCTGTTTCCCAGAGGTTCATCCGGGTCTGCTGGCCGGGTCAGATGCCAGCCCTCCGGCCCAGAGGCTGCAGGTGGGTAGCGCTTAGATCTCTGGAAGGAGGGCATTCCAGGTCGGAGCACAGCTCAGGCAAAGGTCAGCTTCAGAAAAGACACAAATGGATCTTGTGCTGCAACCCTCTCTGGGTACTGATGGGAAACCGAGGCCCCAACGGGAGGATGCACTCTTGGTCTCCCAGCTCCACACCCAGTGCTGTGTTCCTCTCCTGAGACTCCATCCTGGAGCTCTCCAAGCGACCTGTGAGCCCTAACCCGCTTCCCTGAAGTCTCCTGGCCAGGGCGCACCCATTCCACGGAGGCAGCCCCGTGGCAAAGGAGCTGCACCTCCTCCTCCCTGGCCCCGCGCCTGATCTTAAAGGAAAGCAGCCAGGGTGCAGAGAACCCCCGTCCTAGGGGAACCTAAAGTGGGGTGAGGGGTGATAATCCACTCCAAATCTAGGCTGTAGAGGGCAGAACCCAAGAGTGCCAGGAGGACGTGGCTTTTAAGCTCGAAGGCATAGGGAAACGCAGATAACAGATGTTTAAACAACCTTCCCTGCAAGCCTCGTTGCAGTGACCCCTCTGCTGTGATGTGTTACAGCTTAAAAATAGCCCACAATGAACTGCTCTGAGCTCCAATTGACTCAAGCTTACGTAACTCTGCGTGAAAGATGGCCAGCCGCACCAGCCAGGAGGGAGGGCAGCAGCTCAGCCACCCTGCCTGCTGCCACAGCTGGTTCAGGCGCTGGGTGGGCTCTTCACCCTCCCTGGGAGCAGTCCCCAGCCAGGAGCCAGCAGAGGGGGGCCAAGCCTGCTGCCAGAAGTACACATCGCTTCATGGCTGCTCAGAAGACCCCCAACCACCCACGCAGAAGGGGTACGAGGAGAGCTACCCTCCCGCACGGTCCCCAAGGAACCCAGGCCCACCCAATGCAGGTGGGGCAACTTCAGAACAGGTGGCTCGGTCACAGACACCAAGGCAGGCACCCATGTGGGCAGGGTGACCGGGGCTACCCAAAGGATTCCTTTCCCTCTTTGAAGAGGAGGAGGACCCCCAGCTCGGAGGAACACTTCAACAGGACTTATGTCTGGCTGAAGCTGTCACTACCTTGGAGGCCAGGGGTGCGGCTGACTCCTTAGGTGACTGTAAGTGTCCATAGTCCAGGCTGCACAGGTGGAACTGTGGCATGAGGGAGGGTGCTGGCTTCAAAGCTGTTTGAATTCCGTGATCTTGGCCACCAGCTGCTTTGAGTCCCCTGCCTTCGCTGATGCATTCCTACATCTTAAGTGCCCAGTTCAAGGCTGATCACAAGTGTGCAGGGGGCTAAACCAAGGTGAAAGCCAGCAGAGAGGAGAGGCAGCAAAGATACCCTGGCACTGAGAACCTCTTGTGCCCTCTCTGCCTCTGCCCATGCTGAGCCCCAGGGATTCAGCGACTTCCCTCCGCTCCCACCACCTGAACTCAAGCTTGGCTCCTGAGCTCCTACAGAGCAACAGTGAGATTGGTGAGGGTCAAATACCAAGGCCACTTGCCATCTTCCCAGCAAAGGGCAGCCTGCTAGGGCTTTTAGTGCCTCTGCTTGCCTTCCAAGACAGGGCTTCCAGAAGGGCAAAGGGGCACGGGTAGCCATGGAGGGACAGAAGCTGGTCCTGGGCTCCTCATCCTACCAAGCAAGGGAGAATTGCTCTTGTCGCCTCCCCCTAGTCAGCTCAACAGCCACTGCTTGGCCTGGGGTGCACATCCTGGGACCAGGGACAGAGAGTGCTCAGGGCACCGAAGTAAGATGCAGAGTCTACGGGGAAGCGCAGCAGAGCCCTGTTCCTTACAGAGCCTGGGGTTGTGAGTCTCTGTCCGGGATAAACTGATAGGAATGGGGGTTCAGGACAGTCATTTCTGCGTCCGAGGGTCACAGTAGGTGGTGGCTGGGATTCAGGTGTCACACTTCTGGATTGAGCTGGGCCAGGCAAGCTCTGCCACCCGCTGGGCACCTGCTGCCCAGCTTTAGGCTAAGAACTCCCACCAAGAGAGGACCAAGTGTGAAGACCATGCTCCAGGTCACCATCTTTAGACATAAAGAACCTAGCCCACCAGTGGCCATCACAGCCAGAGGTGAACATAGCAGCTGCCCAGGCTCTCCTGGCATTGTGCTCATTGGGTTAAAAGCCCCACTGGAAAAACCCCAAAAGACTGAGACTCAGTTGGCCCTACTGTGCCGGATGGGGAATGCCAGGGGTGCTTCAACAAGTCATCCCCATTCCTCCATCTGGTGTAGCCCCACCTCTAGGCTGGTTGGACTGTCACACGAGCAGAGCAGAAGCTGTGGGTGAGGGGATGCTTGTTTCCGGAGGTCCTCACTGAAGGGAGTTCTCCAGCCCCACGTTTTCCATCGGGGCCTGGTGTGTGGAGGCTCGGTGCTTAGCTCCTGATTTCCAGGGCTGCTTGTCCCCAGGCAGAGGAGACACGTTCAAGAGTGCAGCCCAGGCCTCTATGAGCTCAGGCCCTTGCAACGGCGCCCACATCCCCCTGCCCCACCCCAGCCCCAGAGAGACCTGCTCTTTCCTACAGGAGAGAGGGACTTAGTTCATGGAATGGTTCCCAGGGGTAGACCTGGGACCTCATGAGCTGCATAAGGGAGTGATTGAAGCCGTCGTCCAGAAAGGTCCCTGGCTTTGATATAGGACCATATCTGGAGCCCTCCAGTGTGACCCACAAAGGTTTCAGATCCCTGGGAAAACTCTGAAAGACGGGCTGAGGCATACAGGGAATTTCAGACCAGGCTCCTGGTTCCCAGCAAAGTAGATCAGTCCGTTTCACGCGTGCCTCCAGGTGCCAGACGACAGGGACACCAGTGGGCACTGAGGAGGGAGAGTCCTCTGCCGCTTCCTTGGCCCCAGCTCCCATCGGGCCTCCGTCCGGCCTTTACCATACCTGCTTGCCCCCGGCCCCACTGGGCAGTGAGGAAGAGCTGGTAACTCTCCCCAGCTCATGGTGGGAAGGCTGGGCTCCCAAGTTTCTGCGAGAAACCTCTGCTCATGCCACCCACCCTGGTGGCAGGCTCAGGCCCACCATGGCCACCAGCCGTCTTCCCCTTGCACAGGCCACCCGTCATACCTGAGAGACACTCAGGTCATCCCCGAAAGAAAAGCAACCCCATTTTCACTAGCCCTGGAAGACGCTCAGAACCTCCTGGACCCCCAGCCCTTCCTCACCTCCCTAGTGGCCTAGTCAGGAATCTAAAACCCTGAAGAACTTCCGGCTCCTGACACACCAGATGGACTTGGAGGATTGCAGCCTGGGGAGGGGATACAACTATGCCGGTCCAGGAGCCCACGCACTGGCTTAACTAGGGGCTCTCCCTGGAGAGTCCTGGCCCTGGAGGCCCTTGGCCCGGAAACAGGCCCAAAGTGCCACATTGTGGCTGCACAGGAAACCTGACACCCCCAGAGCTCTTGTCCATCTCCCTCTTCTGGGACCCCTCCCCTTACCAAGCTCCCCCTTCCTCTCTGAGCTCCTCTCTTATGAACACATGAGCCAGTGGGCCATGAACTGCAGAGATTCACTGGGGAAGAAGCCTTAGTCCAGCTTCAGAGAAGCCCCTGGGCCTTCTCCTCACTCCCCACCCAGGGCTTGGTGCTCTGGGTGACCCTTAGATCCCCAGGGTGAGGTCAGGATATGAGGACTGCAAGTCAGAGGGATTGAGACAGTCCTTTCCAACTGGGATGGGGACCACAGCTGTGGGGGACACTCTGGGACATTCCACTCACCTCTCTCCCAGCCCCAGGGGCAACACTGTCTCCACACGCAGAGACTAGGGGTCTCTGGTGGACATGCAAGGCTACAGCCTGCTCTGCACGCCTGAGTGGCAAACAGGCAGAGCCTGCCTCTACCCCTCTCCAGCTCATGGGCCCCTGATCTTTGGACTCCTGCACTTGAGAAGAAGAGACCCCTTTTAAGCTTTACCTACATATCCTCAGAGTCGTTAGGCTCCCTTACTGGGCCTCCCACTGGCCTGAGGTGACCGAGTGGACAGCAGGATGGATAGAGAAGACTGGGCAGCTCGTCTCAGGAAGACCCTCACTCTGCAGACCAGCCCCAACCCAGGGTTCCATGTGAGACAGGGCAGAGCTGCGGACTCACAGCAGAGGGAGCTTGCTCCCCTTAGGGTAAACTGGGGCCCCCCAAACTGGCAGGATAGAGACAATGGGGGTCCTGAGCAAGAGGAACCACCATGATGTGTGTCTTGGGCCCAGTCACCTTGGCACCCAGTGTCCCCTCAACATGGAGAGTGCAGGAGGACTGGTCCGAGGAAGCTGCTCTCCCTGTCCGGTGCAGCCTCCCCCCTGGTGGCTACTGTGGAGTGGCCTTGAGGAGTATAAATAGCCTGGGCATTCAGCAACACCTCGAAGCTGGGGCCTGAAAAGTGTGGCGCTGAGGCCTTGTTGCTGGCTCATCTCTCTCAAGCCTGCAAGGACAAGCTGGCAGGGAGGGGAGCTAGTGTCCATGCCCTGACAGCGTGCAGATGGTAGAGGAGGCTGCTGGTGGAGCGGAGCCTGGAGCGGGGCGAGAGCCCGGGAAGGGCCAGGTGACGGAGGCTGGAGAACCCATGCTGGCTGCTGCAATCCTGGGTGCTCCACCACCCACCTGGTCCCATCGAGTCCCCGGGGCCCCGTAACCTGGATCTGAGTCTTGCCTACCTTCCTGTTCTCTGGAGATTTCTCGCTACCCAATTCCCTTCCAGCCTCAGGGTCTCTCTTCTAACTCTGCTTCTGACACAGATTCGACCTGACAGGGTCTAAGCAAAAATGTCACCTCCTGGGGACTTCCCTCACCTCTGTACTCACCTTTCCAATGCTGTCCTCCACTCCCCACAGCCGCCTTTTTCTTTTACCACATTTACCACAATGTGTGCTTAAACAGTTATTTGTTCATTTACTGGTTGATGGGCCAGTGTCTGGTGACAGTTGAGTCCCCTGCGCCCAGCAGGCCAGGCACACAGCAAGAGCTCCGTGCGTACTCACTGCATCAAGATCACCCTCGCTGGCACCCTCTGCGGAATGAGGGGCCAATGTGCCTTCTTCCCCTGCTGCAGCCTGAAGACTAAGGGTCAGGGACGGCACAGAGCAACTCGGGCCGCCCCTTGGCATGGCACAGGCCAGAGGCAGCCTGGGGTTAACTCCCCGGAGGGGTTATGCAAGTCCAGCCCCTCAGGGCCTGCCTAGGGCTGAGGTCACGTGGGCCGTGGTGGCTCTGAGAGAGGTCGAGGCCGGCTGGTGCTCCCGTGCACGGGTGGGGACAGTGACAGTTCTGGGGGCACGTTTGCTTCCCGGGAGGCGGCAAAGCCCACGTTCACATAGGCCGCGGACAGCTGCACGTAGTGGTCCCCATGCAGAGCGGCCGATACCTGCTGCACTTCTTCAGCCAGTATTCGAAAGGTGGGTCGCGCCGCAGGGTCCGCTGCCCAGCAGCGCTGCATCACTGCGTACCTGCGTGGGGGGGCGGTGTCAGGGGCAGGGCACACCCCACCCCAGAGTCTGCACTGCCCACCCTGTTAACCCCTTGGCAGGCCACACAGGGATGAGGACAGGTGGCAGGGCCTAACCCCTGGTGTGGCCTGTTCAGGGACAGCTCTTCTCATTACTGTGACTGCTGCTCCCACCCTGGCAGAGGTCGCAATGCCTCAGAGGTTAAGAGCTTGGGCTCCTGTGCCCTCATGCCCTGGGCTATGTGATTTGGGTCAAATTCCTTCACTTCCCTGTGCCTCTGGACCCTCCTCTGATCCCAGAGCTGTTGGGGCAGAAGGTGACGCTCAGCTCACAAGCTATCATGGTCATCATTACACATCTGGGAAGGAAGCCCAGGTCCGGTGAAATGGGGAATAAAAGCCCAGTGACAAGGACGTCTGAGGCAGTGACAGTGGCATCATCATTCCCAAACAGAGCTTCTCTGGTTTGCCTGGTGGGTCCTAATACTTGCCCCCTCTATCTTGGGAAAGTCGTCCCAACTTTACAGATGAGAAAACTGAGGCCCAGAGAGAAGGGCTTGCCCTGGGGTTGTGGTGTGCTGCCCAGATGCCCCTTTCATTCTCCCACGGCTGCTGACTGCTCAAGGCTGAGGTCCTCTCTAGGAGTTGCCCTAGCAGAGAGAACCGCCTTCCCCAAGCTCACGCCCCTCTTCAGGGACAGCTGTGACCAGTGACTGATCTGGTACCAAGACCTGGCCCCGTGATCTTAATTTTATAAAACTCCAAAGGGCCATCAGCTCCAGCTGTCCCCATGGGATGTGCTGTGGCCTCTGCCACATCTGCATTGATGTCTACTTCTCTGTCTGCCCAATCCTGCTTCCCGAGCCCCCAACCTCCCAATAAACCCCTGCACGTAAACCTGTCTCAGAGCCTTTCAGGGAGCCCGCCCGGAGGCAAATAGGCAGTGCAGTTAACTCCCCTCGTTCAACCAGATGCATCAGTGAAGTGAATGATGGGGATCAGACCCAAGGCAAGCAGGGCTGTGCAGAAGGGTTTCTCATCCCCCCAGAAAGCAACCTGAGTCAGGCCCTGGGGCCCGGTTCTTCCTGTCCTAACCACAAAGACCTGGGCATAGCTGAGGCAACTCACTGCTTAAGAAGATGAACCTCAGCACCAAACCCACCCCACAGGCACTGATGACAACACAGCTGTCACCATGCCTCCGAGCATGGGGAATCTGAAACTAGATCCCGTGAAAAAAACATCTGATCCGGAGATGTGGAGGGGGCTGCTGTGGGAGCTAATGGAACCTTTCCTTAAGATTAAGTGAGTGGAAAAGATGGAAAACATCCCCCCCCTTGGCAGGAGTGGGGGAGAAGAGTGCCGGGAAATCAAATCACTGGCCTCAACCCAGACACGAAAAAGATGGGAATGCTGTTACCATGGTAACAATGGTATCCTCCCAGAATCAGCCCTGAATGGGGGCAGAACCAGTCCACAGATGAGGAAACTAAGGCTTGGAGAGGGTCCCTCTCCAGGTCAACCAGAGCATCAGGGAGCGAGGCAAGAGCTGTTGCTTGCTCCCTCCTCGTCTCTGGGGCCAGCTCCCTTCCCATCATCGCCCCTGCATACTCACAGAGAATTGGGGCAATACTCAGGCTGGGGCAGGCGACGACCCTGGACCAGGAACTGAGTGAGGTCAAAAGGGTTGATGTGGGGGTACGGTGGAGCACCCCGTGTCAGCAGCTCCCATAGCAGCACACCAAATGACCACTGTGGGAGGGGAAAGGTGAGGTGACTCAACTCTCACCCCAAATTTGGGGGCATGTGGGCCTCCCAGGTCTTTTCCTTCCCAGAGCCCTCTCGCTGGAAATGGGGGCTCCACCCCCCAATCAGAGCCCGTTCCTCAATACTTCACAAGCATCTACCTGAACCAGTCCAGGGATGGAACTGGGCAGGGCCTGGAGTGTTGAGGAACCAGTGAGTTCACCGCCTCCTCCTGCCCAAGAGGTGGGCACATGGGCTGTGGGGGCTGCCCAGCTTAGAGACTCCCTGGACTTGGGTCATCATCTGGAGCTGGAGGGGCAAGGCCAAGTGTTCTCCAGGGACACTGAGGCCACGTGGACGCTGGGGCAGGTGGGGCCTCACCACATCAGACTTGCTGGTGAACCTGTAGGTCTGCAGGCTCTCCAGTGCCATCCATTTGACAGGGAGGCGAGCATGGCGGTGCTGTTGAACACTATAGTATTCCTTGTCCAGGACGTCGCGGGCCAGGCCAAAGTCAGCCACCTTGACCGTGAATGACTCATCCAGCCTGGGAGAGGGGAGTCATACTCAGAACTGGCCCCACCAGGCCCTGAACCACCTGTTCCAGGTCTTCACAGGGTTTCAGAGCCACAGAGTCCCATCTAAGCCTGAACTGGGCAGACGGAAAACGGAGGCCCAGAGAGGGGGACACGCCCAGGGCTGCACAGCAAGGACTGGAGTGTGGAACCTTCGCTGAGGTGCCTTTAGGGCAGCTGCAGACCCAGGCACCCTGCCCCCTCACTTCACCCCAACTGCTCTGGCCCCTCACATGCAGTTCCGAGCAGCCAGGTCCCTGTGCACAAACTTCTGCTCTGCCAAGTACTCCATGCCGCGGGCTACCTGCAGGCCGAAGCTGATGAGGTCCTTCACCGTGGGGTTCTAGGGGAACAGGTGGGTCAGCGGGCAAGGGCAGAACGGCGCCATCCCCAGCTGCTGCCCAAGCCTCCCGACCTAGTGCCAGCTGAGGACTGACTCGCTGGGGTGAGCGGATGAACTGGAGCAGGTCTCCGTGGCGCATATAGGGTAGCAGCACGCGGGGCAGCCCTTCGGGGGGCAGCATGATTCCGACGAGGGCCAGCACGTTTGGGTGGTGCAGACCGCGCATGAGCAGCCCCTCGCGCAGGAAGGCCTCCACCTCTTGCACCTCTGTGATGCCTGCGGATAGTGTGAGTGAGTCAGGACCGGGGAAGGGAGGCCCTTTACAAGGGCTAAATGGGGAGATGGAGGAGAGTCTCCTGCTCAGCTTCACTCAGCAAGATGGTGACAGCAGGGATGAGGACCCGCCCAGCCTCTGCCCCACTTACGATTCAATGACTTGATGGCACAGTGGATTCGATTCTGGTCCTTATCTATGTATTCTCCATGGTAGACAACCCCAAAGTGGCCTGGAAAAGGGAGGTGGTGAGAGGGGCCCCCTGCCAGTGCTCGCACCACATCCTCTCTTTGGTAACCAGACCCAGAGCACAGATGGCCATGCGACACTGCAAACAAGCAGCCGCCGCATGACGGCGGAGCCTGCAGCCCTCCCAGGCCCCCGTGATCTGCACCAGAACCCACTTCACTGATGAGCAGCTGCAGGCTCAGAGAGGTTACTTGGTATGCCCAAGGTCACACAGGTGGGTAAGAAGGCCAGAGTAGGACTGTTGGTGATAGTCCTGCCCAAATAGCCCTTGAGTTCATGTCATGTCAGGACTCCCTCTCTGCCCCAGCCCCACCTGGCCTGGTCCCTATACCTTTGCCAATGACTCGGTCGCTGTGGGTGACCACTCGTTCATGGGGAATCAGCACATCGTTGACCTCGGCCAGGAGCGCAGAGTCCAAGTCCCCAAGCTGGATGGACCGTGTCCGAAGCAGTGGCACACAGGCCCCATCCCTGCTGTCTGAGAGGGACGCTCTGTAGTCCTGAGTGGAGTCCAGACTGCTCATGGCAGGAGATGCTGTGGAGGAAAGGGAGTAAGGGGCTGGGGCAGGGGTCCCGGCTGGGCCTGACCTTCGAGCGCCTTGGCTCTCACCAGGGCGGGTTCTGGAGGCAGGGCCTGACTGGAGCAGAGGCAGAGGCATGGCTCCGGTGGTTTGGTCCAGCGATGCCAGGTCACCCAGGTCCGGAGACAAGCCTGTGGGAAGAGGGCCCTGCTAGACAGCCTCTCCAAGCTCCTAGAGGCTGCGCCTTACCCAGGAGGTGCAAGCAGACCTGGGCAGGGACTTGGCGATGCCGCTGTTTGGGAGCAGAGGCTGTCAGGATGGGAGTGGAGAGCTCACCTCGCTGCTTTCTCCACCGGTAGTTGAAGCCCAGTACAATGGCCAATACAGTCACAAGCAGGACCAGAGCCAGCAGGACACCAACAAGCGTTTTCTGTGAGACACCCTCTGAGCCTGGTCGCACCACTCTGCCCAGGATGCGACAGTCACCATCCACGCAGACCTGCAGGGAGGTGGCAGCTCAGGCTCAGCCTGCAGACCCCCACCCATGTCTCTTATGAAGGGCCGGCCGAGCTGCCTACCTGCAGTGGGGTGCCGTCCTTGCCCAGTTGCAGGAAGGGGGGCAGGGGACAAATGACCACATCCCCCCGGAACTCATGCTGGCAGCTTTGACCACCCACGGTCACGTTCACATCCACACAGTCAGCCACGGCTCCTAGCCCAATGTACTACAGAGACAGTCAAGAGGACTGGCCAGTGCCCCCATCTCTTCTGGGCAGACTTCAGCCCTAACCCTCCACCATCCCACCCTCCATCCCCCACATTTACCTCGAACTTAATGGCACGCTCCTCAGGCTTCAGTGGGGCCAGGTCAGTGCTGGGTGGATGGGGTGGGGGCAGGAAGCGAAAGCCAGGCAGGGTGAAGCCAACAGCTCCATCTCCCCGGGCACTCAGGCTCCCTGCCACCCACCCCTGGGGGCCTCGGACCATGTATTCAGGCAGGCGGCACCAATGCTTCTCCGGGAGTTGCCCCTTACACTGCTGGGCCCACGCGAGAGTGGTTAGCCAGATGTCCCACCTATGGCCCCCCCCAGTCTCCTCTGCCCAGCATGGGGTGGGGCTGGAATTCCAGGGACTGGGCTGGCCTTCCTCCCTCCTGGCCAGTGCCCCCTTGGCAGCTGCCAGCACCCACTCACCCTGTTTTCCACTGACATAAGCCCATCATGGAAAGACAGCATGAGGTGCCACACTGAGGTCAGATGCTGGCCACGGATGGTGACGTGGGAGCCACTATGGAGGAGAGCAGGGTGGTGGGCTTGGGGTACTCTCTGAGAGTGTCTTCCTCATTCCTAGGAGACCAGAGTGAGAAAGGAGGTAGTGCTTACGTGTAGCCACAGTTGGGGCTGATGCCTAGCACGACGGGGTCTTCCCGGTAGTCAAAGGTCCAGGAGCCAGGCACCTCGGCGCCCCCCACCTGCAGGCGAAGGGGAACACTGGCCGAAGCAGCACTGGGCGGCGTGGTACATAAAAGCTGCCCTTCGTTGACCCTGCAGAACAGAGGAACTGGGCTCAGGGTCACCATCCAGGTGATGCCTAGGCCCACTTCTCCAGGGGTCTGCCTCCCAGTTCCTCTATTAGCCATCTCCCCACCTGCCCATACTCCATGGGTCTGTCCAAGGACAGGGCAGTCCCAGCAAGAACTCCAAGACAGGGAGGGGGCATGTTCCTCACAGCCTTGGCTGGAGGCAATGGACTTTGTGACAGTCTCTCTTGCCATCTCCAAACCACCTCTGGACTAGATGGGGCAAGAGACCCTTCTTCCTGGACTTGACTATGTGACTGTGCTGTCCTCCCTCTGCCCTGACAGGGATCCAAGCCCCACCCAGGGGAGCCCATGGCTTCCCATCCCCTTGCCTGCCAATACGTACCGTTCCAGCAAGCACTCAGTCCCATTGACCAGCACAGCCCGACTGGTGCCTACGGACAGGCCCTGGCCTTTAAGGGTGAGGCGGGTGCCCCCTGCCCGTGGGCCAAAGAGGGGTTCTACTTCTTTCAGCACTGGCTCCTAAGAGGGTATGGAGGTGGCTTTGCTTGGTATAGGAGACCCTCCTCTCCAAGCCCACCCCTGCCCATATTGCCCAGCTGGCCAAGGGCACAGACAAGACATGGTGGCCTCACCACAAAAGAGAAGCCCTGCAGCATGGAAGTGCCGTCTACCCGGAAGGGCTTGCCCGCTGGCGTGTTGGTCACGATGAGGCTGATGTTGGCAGGCCCCACTGCCTGTGTGCCCAAGGGCTCCAGCTCACACTCAAGCTCCTCTACAAAGTCCTTCCAGGACACTGTTCTAGAGCACCAGGAACTCAAGGTCAGCCAGGGGTCACACAGGCCTGGTGCATGCCCACCATGTATCATAGGCTCCTCTGAGCGGGAGGTGGCCTTCCTCCATCCATGCCTCCCTCCAGGGCAGGCAGCATGTAGCAGGGCAGGGACTAACCTTGCCTGCTCCATGACTCAAGAGACAAGAAGGGCATATGTAGGCTCAAGAAGGAAGGAGATGTCTCCACAGACACAAGCATCCACAGCCACTGCAGCCTGCCTCATCCCGCCTTGCCCCCAGTAAGCAAAGATAGGGTCTCAAGGGGAGGGACTGCCTGGTTGCCCCATCAGGGATGGGAAGGGCAGGGAACAGTTCTACCTGAGTTTTGAGCTGTCCTTGGGCAGCAGTCGGCAGGGACTTTGGCCCACGGTGACCTTATGGGTGCCCAGAGGCACCAGACTGGCAAGGCGCGGGTAGAAGTTGGAGCCACACAGAGTCAGCCTCGTGCTGCCCCTGATGGGTCCACTGTGAGGATAGAACTGGAGGGGGAGGAGACAGCTTTTGTGGGCCAGGCATCTCAGCTCTGCCTGCTTCCCCCAAACTTTCCTGCCACACCCCTTGCCTATCCCACACTCCATTCATTCTAAGTCACTTGCTAGTCCTCAGTCAAACACTTTTCTGCCTCCAAATCTTTGCATGTATCTTTGCATGTTCTCTGTCAAGAACGCCTTCCTTGTAGACATCGCCGGCCCGAGGAAGATCATGTCAAGACCTGCCACTCCCCACCGCAGGCCCCGCTTGTCTCACCTTTCCCTGGGCCCAGCCAGGCAGCCATACCTCAGTAAGCTCAGGTGCACAGTGGTCCTGCTGCCAGGAGCCAGGACACTCCTTCTGCCGGCCACACGCGCTCCCACACCAGCCACAGCCCATGAAACGCTGTGCACGCAGACAACTCCTACAGGTGAGGAAGTGGCGGCAGCCGGGGCCCTGGACAGGTACCTGGAAGACCTTGGAGAGGCAGAAAGGTGGCTCAGGGTGACTGGAGGGAGTTGGGGGGCCTATGCCCCATAGACCCCCTCCCCCTAGTCCCATTGTAGATCCGGGTGGTGAGACATGTGAGCTAATACCTCCCTGGATGGGATGAGGAGCCTGTGCTCCCACAGTCCTGGCCCCAGGCCCTGCCCCTGCCCACCTTACCTGGTCCCCAGACACAAAGAGCAGGTGGTTCCCAAGGCGACTGACATCTCGCTGCACAGGCTGCTTACTGCTGCTCAGTGAGAAGTTGGACACATACAGCAAGTAGTTGAGAGACCTGGCCAGCTCCACCTGGGACAGGTCAGCTGTGAGCAAAATGAGGACGGGGATAGGGACCCAGGGTCAAGGGGCTGTGAAGGTGAGAGACCTACCTGCAGGATGCGCCCATCCTTTGTGCCCATGTGGGCCACTGTGACATTATCAAGGCACGTCACGTGCAGCGCAGTGACCTGCACTGGTCCTAACAGCCCGTTGAATAGGTCCACACGGGAGCTGCTGCTGCTGACCAGCAGAGGGAAGTGGTAGCAGCTGGTGTTGGAGCTGGAGGCCACCAGGCCAGGCTGGGGAAAATCAAAGGAGGAGTCAGAACTCATCCCATACAATGCCTCCGTCAGTGACCACAGCAGCCCAGACTCGCAGCCCTCACCTGGCCTGCCTAGGGAAGACCCAGGCCTGCCAGTTACTGCACCACTCCCCCCACCCAATGGGGCTCTCAGAAGTAACAAGGCCAGAGAAGGCCCAGGCTGGAAGGCCAGCTCCCCTATGCCTTGCCCTACCCTGTCATGTCCATTCTGATAACGAGTTACTGAGTCTTACAGACCCAACCCCGCTCTGTCCTCACATCCACTCACCACTCCCATTTTACATGTAAGGGGGCTCAGACAGGTTTGGTCACTTGTCAAAGGCCTTAAAGCCCCTCAGGAGAGGAGCCAAGCTGGAAGTCTGAGCTCTTGACTAGAGTCCTCTCCTGCCCCCTTCTGGCTCTTCCCTGCACTTCAGCAAACCCTGTCCCCTCTTAGAGCTTCAGTTTCTCCACCAGCATAAGGAGGCTGACCTCTGAGATTAATTTCTCAGCGCAGGGTTGGTAACATGGTCCTTCTCCCTGAGACTCCAAAGGTCTTCCAGCACTTTCAGCTGCTGCTGTACCTCCCTCATGGTACAAAAGAGATAAACCAAGGCCTGGAGGCCTGGGTGCCAAGCTAGACCCCAGGGACTGGAAGATGCTTAAGCTCTCTCCTGCTCTTAATGGAGGGTGTTCGGGGGCTGCACTTAGTGCTCCAGCACAGGGCTACGGAAGCTTCTTGGAAACAGAAAGCCAGGGTGTGAATGCAAGGTATTGGAGCTGAGTGCAAAAGTGCGGGCAGGAGTCCCACTCCTGGCACTCCAGCTCAGGGTTCCAGCGCCAGGAAGAGAATCCCCATCACTTCTGGCTGTAAAACCAGCAGGAACCGAGGCTCAGGGAGGCTGAGGCTGCTGGAGCCCTAGGCAGTTCTTCTTTTTTAAAAAATATTTTTTCTTTATTGATTTTAGAGAGAGAGGAAGGGAGAGGGAGAGGGAGACAGAAACATCGGTGAGAGAGAACACTGACTGGCTGGCTCCTGCATGCCCCGAACCAGGGATTTGGCCCACAACCTGGGCATGTGTCCTGACCGGGAATCGAACTGGTGACCTCCTAGTGCACATGTCAACGCTCAACCACTGAGCCACACCAGCCTGGCCAGGCAGTTCCTCTTAAAGGGCCCATGCATGGACTTGCTCAGACTTTCACCCTCCAGGCTCCAGTGTCAGGGAGGCAGCTTGAAAGGCACCAGAGACATATAGGAAAGAACTGAGCTGTTTGGCACTGGGGCAAGAGCTGTAGGGCAGCTTTCTCCCAGACAGATGTGCTGGCAGAGGTTCCTTTGGTGAGCCCTCCCCCCATGGGACAGGCTGACAGCAGCCATGTCTGGGGACTTCAGCAACCTGGCTCACACTGTTTGCCCCACCCTGGTGATTCCCTGAGGCCTATTTTATTTCTTTAATAAATAAAATATTACAAAAAAAATAAGTGCGGGCAGGGCTTGGTAATCCTAGTTGCTTGGGATGCTCCCTGCCTAGCTCTGAGGCCCAGCCTCTGAGGCACCCATCAGACGAAGTATGCGTAACCCAGTCATCAGACCTCAGCACTGATCAGGAGCCCTGGGGGCAAGAGCAGGTGGGAGCTGGGCCCAGAAACTCCACACACTCTGGGCCTGGTGGGTGGAGACTGGGACTCTGTCCTCTCTTGAAGAAGGAAATTTGAGGCCTGTTCCTAGCAGGAAGTCAGCCAGGTGTTCTCAGCATGACTCAGGGACAGATGGAGTGGAGAGGTGGAAAAGATGCCCTACTCCAGTCAGGGCCACACCCCTGCCTGCTTGCCCTGGGTTCCAGAGCCTTGGCTCTGGCTTCCCAGGCTTGTCTAGTGGCCCATGGCTCCTGGAAAACGCTTGAGTGTCCAATGCTATACAGAGGAGGGTGACTGCCCCAGACTCAGACCCTACCCGAACCCATGGAGGGCAGGTAGCAGCTCTAAGCCTCCCAGGCTTCCTGAGATCAGCCACAATGAGCACACAGTGGGTGGGTGTTGCCCTGGAGGGTGCATGCCCAATCACTGGGCAAACATGGTACAAGCTGGTTCACACACCTCCCAGGCACTGGACTGGCCTATGGGCAGGGCTTGAGATTAGTCTTCCTAGAGCCTGGCACTGCCAAGTCTTGCTGGGTGTTTTCTGACCCACTGAACACTAGCCAAGTTGGACAGATGATCTGACTCCTTAGAGCAGCGGTTCTCAACCTGTGGGTCATGACCTCTTCAAGGGTCGAATGACCCTTTCACAGGGATTGCCTAAGACATAACAGTAGCAAAATTACAGTTATGAAGTAGCAACGAAACTAATTTTATGGTTGGGGGTCACCACAACATGACGAACTGTATTAAACGGTTGTGGCATTAGGAAGGTTGAGAACTGCATCCTTAGAGGGAAGGAAAGAGGACAGGCAGGGCTGCCAAGCCCAGACAAGAGACCCCAGCCCTAGGGCCTTCTCAACCTAGATGAACTCAGTGGGAGGAAGGCTGAAGGCTTCCCCATCCTCATGTGTATAACTTCTCCTAACTCTGGGCCATCAACAGAAGCTAGAAATGAGTCAGTGGTGAATGTCACAGCAGGGCAGGGCCACAGGGCGGCCAAAGACTCTGAGAGCAGTGACTGTGGGTCAGCTTGCTGAAAGACCACTCATTCAATATCATTCACCCCATTTCCTTGGCTTAATTTCTTATAATCTAGGGTAGGACTGTTTCAATGGCTTCAAGGAGTCAGTTTGGGTTTTGTGCTCAGCATTTTAAAGAATGTCCTGTTTGTCCCTGCTCCAGCTCCCTGACACCATGGCTCTGGAGAACCTGGGTAGGGTCTGCTGGAAGGAGCCCACAGTTCAGCATGCACTGGGAGACCCCCTGCCTGGGGTGAGAAGGGGAACTCGGGTAGGGGCCCAACTATAGTGGAAAAATGTCTGAGACTCCTGTGTGGTGAATCAGTTCCAACCAGCCCCTCCTAAGCCTTTACTCATTATCAGATGTTTATAGTTGCTTGCATAAGACTGGGGTGAACGTCCTGGAATCTACTAGAGCCAGGCCGCCACCTTCCCACCATGTCCTGGGGCCTCCCACAATCACCCTATGGAGAACAATCAATCTAGAATGAGTGTGTCCGTGAAGCCCAAGCCATGCAGACTCCCTGACAAGCCCCCCAACTTCCCAGGCCCAGGAAGCTCCCTGGAACAGGAGGGGGGGCATTCTCCACAAATCCTGCCCCACCCTCTTTGGAAAGCAGAACTAAACAAGTGCTCCCATAGGGAAAGTGAAACTGTTGGTGAGCAGTTGTGCGTTTGTGAATCTGTGAACATCTGGGGGCCTGTTTTTCTGTGTCTGTCCTTGAGGGTATGTGTGATGGGCAGATAGAAGGGGACACCCGTAATTCTACCCAGAGTTTGGCAATGTGTCTGACAGTTATGATGCAACCCAGTTCTCGCATAACCAGGGAAACTGCCTAAAAAAATCAGAGGCCATGATAGGAGAGGGTGAGAGCGCAAAATGGGGTAGCAACGGCGGCTGGCCAGGCTGGGAGAGGAGCCTCCAGTGTGGCCTTTGTTTAGCTGATTCCCTGCCACCACCCCCAGCACTGAGGAATTGGGTGGAAGAGAAGCAGGCTGGAATCACCCACGTGCACACTGCTCACAGATGAGGGCCCTTTCTTTCTGCTCACCGGGTTGGGGCACAAGCTGGGAGACTGGAAGAAGTCGAGGCCTCGCCTGATGCCCGGGTGGACTGACGGCTCACAGCAGCGCTCCACACCCTGTTCGATGAGCTTGTCCATCAAGTCGATGGGGAAGGCACAGACCACAGAGTTGGGACCCACACGGGAGCTGCTTTCTCCACTGGCCACGAAGACCCCAAAGAGCACTTCCTGGCCCTCGGCGATGCTCAGCTCAGCGGCCAGCCGGCCGCCCACGGGAGCGGTGTGGGCTGCCTGGAGCCTCGGGTAGAGCCGCCCGCCTTCCAAAGCCCCGCGTCGCCGGCGCTTGGGCTCAAAGCGGCAGTTGAGGACCAGCTCGCGGTAGCTGCCCACGTCGGGGTCGGCCGCGCTCAGCCTGGCCAGGCGCGAGTGTACGGCGCCAGGAGCGGCGGTCACGCTGGCCGGCTGCACGGTCAGGAAATAGACGAAGGCTCCCACGCGGAAGCTGTGCACGTATTCGATGCGGTAGGAAGCAAGGTGCTTGGGCAGCACGGACAATGCCCCGAAGTTCGGGGCGAACCCCGAGAGGTCGGCCCTGAGGCGCCGGATAGACACCGAGCGCGGGCTGAAGCTCGCAGCCACCCCCGCGTCCAGGGAAGATGCCGCATAGAAGTACGCGGCGTGGCCCTGCTCGACCACGGTCACGAGGGTGCCCAGAGGGCTGGCCACACAGTCGGGGCAGTCTTCAGGCCGGTTGCGGGGGGCGGAGAACAGGCAGGCTGGCGGCGCCAGGTGCGGGGCGGTCTCGCCGGGCTCCAACTCCAGCAGGAAGCAGCGGCCATGCAGGCTTGAGCCACAGATGATCAGCGCCGGCAGGGCCGGGTCCAGCACCAGCACCTTTGCGTCTGTGTCCCCCGGCGGGCCGTGGGGGCCCGGGCCACAGGCCGCACAGGTCTGGCAGCCGGGGTCCCCAGCAGGGCCGGTGGCCAGGCTCTCGAGGGACTGCAGGTCCGGCCCGAGCATGTGCAGACGATTGCGCGTGGCCACGAACACGGCGCTTCCATCCCCGCTGCCCTCGTAGGTGGCCAGGGCCTGTACTGGTCCGCCAGCCGAGAACCTGGGCACCGCGTACTCCACGTCGAAATCGCGGGAGGCGGCGTAGGAGATCCGTGGGCACTGCCAGGAGCCGCCAGCTGCGGGCACCGCCGGCGGCGGCAGCAGCAGCAGCAGCAGCAGCAGCAGCAACAGCGAGGGCTGTGAGGGCGGCGGGAGCTCCATCGAGGCGGCGCTGGGGTCCAGCGGGGATTCCCGCAGGTCAAGGGTCTGGCTGGGAGCAGACTCGAGGGCTGGAACCAGCGTCCAGAGCCGGTCCTGGGAGCCCACGGGCAGCGGATCCCCGCCCGGGGCTCCTGTGATGCTTCCCCCTCTTCCCCTGCCCTCGGATTTGGGCACCTGGCGCAGGCGGACACATTCACCCGCCGGGAATAGGGAGACCGACTCACCTGGCGTCCCAGGAGCGGCTCCCTGCCGGAACTCAGACAAGCCTGCCGTAGGGTGGAGGGCGGGGCTGTGGGCGGGGTATGTTGTAAACTGGGTGCGGCCCGGGCCAACCACTCTTCCCGCCCAACCGACTCTCCCGCCCTGGGACGTCCTACTCCGTCTCCTTCCCCTTGGCGCCTCTCTCTCACCTGGGGGTGGGTGCCCAGGGAGTGGCCTGGAGACAGATAAGTAGGCCTGAACCGTCCCGTCCAGGCCCCCACGACGCACTGGGCCCCAGTGAGGAGGGGGCAGAGCCGCCCCAGTGCCAGTGAGGGTTCGAGGATCACCTGACTCATTTCTTCTCCTGATGTCATTTTACAGCTGGTTCCTGGGCAGGGCCAGGGGAACCCACTGTGTGGGAAAGAGACCAGGGATGTGTGAGGTATCAGAGGAGAGAGGTGAGGGAACCCCAGGAGTGACCCCATCCTCAGGGGACAGGGGCCATCCTTCTGTGGGTTTGCCCTGGACTGTCAGTGATAGGATGGTGTTAGAGGACGGTGTGTTGCACCTTGCCCACCTTTGAATGACAAAGATTATAAGATGGGGTCGGCCTGGCTGGCTGGACAGTTGGGTCAGAGGAGAGGCAACTTATGTGGAGGCCCAACCCTAGTTCTGGTCCTCCCATCACTGCCTCAGTTTGTGGAAGCTGTAGGATGGGGACAAGAAAACACAATCCTGGCCTTCCGTTCTGGCTCTGCTCCAGTGCCCCCTGATATGGGGGAAGCATAGGCACCTCTAACCTGCTCTGTAAGCCTTGCTGGGCCTCAGGTCTCTTCCTTTCTAAAGTGAGGATGTGGTTGTGACTAGGCCCAGACTCTCTCCAGGCTGAGATGTGTGTGGGATTGGGGGAGGTGAGGCAACTTAGGTTTGCTCTTGCCATCTCACACCTGGACCTCAGCAGCTTTACCCAGGTAACGGGCATGACAAGCTCAAGGCAAGCCAGCATGGTGGGCCCTACAAACTCAGAGACCAAAACTAACCCCAGAGGATGGTCTGAACATAAAAATTCTTAACTAGAAGCGGTCATGATGGGTAATCACAATCTAGGCCTGTACCTTCCTTGACAAAGGTCAATCTTTACCTTAAATGATCCTGTCTTTGTGCATCTAAGACCCCTCAGGGCACAGAGAGCATAGAACCCTTCATTGTTACCGAAATATCATCTCTATGTACTGTACATGCTCATTACTAAATGTCCATGTAAAAGAAATCTGGTCCTCCCTGGGTGGCCAGTTGGTTGGAGCATTGTTGCATGCACTAGGAAATTTTGGGTTCAATTCCTGGTCAGGGCACATTCCTAGGTTGTGGATTTGATTCCCAGTCAGGGTGCCTGTGGGAGGCAACTGATCAATGTTCCTCTCTCTCTCCCCTCCCTTCTCTCTATAAAAATTGGTAAAAACAGATACTTGGGTGAGGATTCTAAAAAGAAAAAAAAAGGTTTGTGTCTCTCCATTTTACTTTTTAACCAATCTCAGAGATTCCCCCCACCTTTCTTCCACCCCCTTAATCTACCACCAATGAATTTCATGTAAACCTCCCTACACTTCTTATTTGATTCTTGTAGATGAAAAAGGGGCCGCATACTAAACCTGACAAACTCAGGGGAGGTCTGCATGGCAGCCTTACAAACTCGAAGAACAAAAGTAACACAAAGGATGGTCTGAAATGAAAATTTCTTTTTTTTTTTTTTTTATCCTCACCCGAGGATATTTTTCCATTTTTTGTACAGATAGAGTAGGAGGGAGAGAGAGGAAGGGAGAGAGAGAGAGAAACATCGACGTGAAGGGACACATCGAGTGGCTGCCACCCGCATGACCAACCAGGGCCGGGGACAAACTGCAACCGAAGTACGTGCCCTTAGCGGGAACCGAACCCGGGTCTCTCCAGACCGCAGGCCGACGCTCTAACCGCTGAGCCAAACTGGCCAGGGCTGAAATGAAAATTTCTTAACTAAACTGTGAGTCATGGCAGTTTAGTCCTGTCCTAGACCAATATCTTCTTTGACAAAGGTCAATCTTTACCTTAACTGAGCCTGTCTATTGTCTTTTGGCATCTAAGATAACATACCTTTGGAATGTCTGAGTAATTCGTTTTTTTCCAGACCCCTCAGGGCACAATCTCCCACCAGAGTGCAAGACCACAGAACCCCTCATTGTTACCTTGTCCTTCCCATATCATCTCTATGTGTTATACATGTTAATTGTTAACTATCCTGTACCCACCAATGTAAAAGAAGTATTTGTCTCTTCATTTTTCTCTCTATCCAATTCCAGCTTTGCTTTCTCCTACCTCCCTAATCTATCACCAGTGAATTTCATGTAACCCTCCTTATGCCTCCTCCTCTTATTATAATGTATAAAATAAAGTGCAAAACTGCCATTCTCTGGAGCATTTTCTCAGTCTGTGGAGATTTGCTTCCCAGAAATTGTCATCAGGTTGGCTCAAATAAACCCATACAAATTCTTACAGGTTTGAACATTTCTTACATTGACACTGGTCCCCCCTAATACTAAAGAGTGGCCCTGGGGGACATCCTCAACCTGGCAGCCTCCCCAGCCAAGTGGGCCTGGACTCTGGAGGGAGGGGAAGTTTCACAGGGTGGCCTTGCTGTGAGGACCTGCGAATCGTGGGTTCCAGGGCTTTGAAGAGTAAGGGGAGTGGGAGAGGAGCCCTCAGCCCGACAGAAGTCAACCTGGCCCTAGGAGCTATAATCTCTACTCCCAATCCAGCCCATAATCCTTCCTTCTTCCAGGAGCACCCTTTCCCCTTCCTCCTCTTGCAGCTTAGGTGGCACCTCCTTCAAGAAGCCTTCCTGGTCCAGGCAGTACCATTTTTGGGGCCTCACAGATGCTGTGCTACATCCACCCCAGCATAGTTCATTCTGGGTACCTGACCTTCCCCCACCTCCCCTCCTTTCCTAGTGCTGGACTCCTCTCTGCCTCTAGGCTGAGCACCTGGTGACAGAGAGAGGAGAGAGCACCTTTGTGGCCACACCGAGTGCAGAGTGCCATATGATCCAGTGCCTGAGGTAACAACATACAAGGCACTCGCTCCGTTCTCTAACAGAATTAGGCCGGAAATGAATAAACAAGCACAGAAAATCATGGCATGGTCCCTGCGTTCCACAGTCAGCATGTCTAAAGATCGTCGTGCAAGGCAAACCTGAAATGAAACATTCTCTGCCTGGAACAGAGACATGGGTTCTTGCGATCTGTATCCTGCCTCTGGACACTCAGAGAGACATCAGGGACCCTCCTTAATCACCCAGTCCACCCCTGGGTGGGGTGCAGCAGTTAACACTTGCTTCTCTGCTGCCACCGTGTGGCCAAGATGTCGGCTGCATCCAGGCCAGCGTCAGTTTGCAGGCATCCTGGGGTCATAGGCAGCAAACATCCACAGGAGCACCCATTTCCCCTCCCATCTGCTTCCCCCGCAGAAGCAGGGGCAGGCAAGCCCTGGGAGAGAAGTCAGCTAATGGGGCCTTGCAGTGCTCCGTACAAGTCTCCCCCAAGATAAACTCACAAAGCCTGGCTTACATTTGGCTTATAACCTGTCCAACTGCTTTGGCATCTGTCACCTTGAAGGAGTGCTAGTCATTTTGCCTATTTTGGGCTCTCACTCCCCTCTGAACAATACTCCAGAGAATGTCCTGACCGGTTTGGCTCAGCGGTTAGAGCATTGGCCTGCGGTCCAGAGAGACCCGGGTTCGGTTCCCGCTAAGGGCGTGTACCTCGATTGCAGTTTGTCCCTGGCCCTGGTTGGTCGTGCAGGTGGCAGCCACTGGATGTGTCCCTTTCACATTGATGTTTCTCTCTTTCTCTCTCTTCCTCTCTCTCCCTCCCACTCTATCTGAACAAAAAATGGAAAAATGTCCTCAGGTGAGGATTAAAAAAAATACTCCAGAGAACTAATAGCAGCCCCTTTATCCAACTCAAAGAGATGATCTTAGTAGCAGCAGGGAGACCTCTTTTTCACAATAAAACCCCATTACTCTGCAGCTTGAACACATTCAATGGCTCCCCACTGCCAGACTTTTACCTGGAGTTTGAGAACCCTAGGCCTTGAAGACTCCTCCAGCTTCTCCGTAAACCAGTCATACGAGGTTCTTGACCGTCCTTCCCTTTGAATGTGCGGGTTCCTCCACTAGGAACACCTTCCCTGCTTGCCTGTTGTCCCTTCCTTGATCCCCAGATAAACCCCACACTCCTAGGTGCCTACTGTCCTAGATACACATATTCATCTAATGGTGACCACCCCTTCTCATACCCAACCAGAATAGGTGCTGAACTGCAGAGAAGCTGAGAGTCCTACAGAGATCATGACAACCAACAGGGATACCTCAGGGCTGACCGTTGACCAGAACACCAGTAGCAGTCAGGGACAGCTGGCCTGGCATCACCCCAGACCCAGAGGCAGTGGTTTGAAGGTTGAACAGGAGCAAGTGGAAGAACCAAAGCAGGAACAAGGCAGAAAAGAAGTCCAGGGCATGTGTGCAGGCTGATCCCAGGGACTTTGGGTGTCTAGGCAAATGGTCTGCTGCCATACCCATTCTAATGTGACCAGGGAGGGGCCAAGGGCAGGGGTTACAATGCCATTTCCTGGGACAATTAAGTAGAACCATTCCAGTGCACCCTTGGCCTACACGTTCTCCAACATGTGTTGGTTTTAATGGCAGAGTATCTTGGCCTAGCTCTCAGAGACTACATGAGAGTGATTCATTCTACAGTCTGAAGACCATATTCAGTGGACACTGTTCCCTGATAAACCCTTCCTAGGTCTTTCACTCCCCCCGCCAATGAGATGGTTAAGTTGTGGCAGTACGGGAAGAGCCCCCTTAGCAGCCAAGTAGAGGCTTTCTGCACTGTGCCTTGAGCTCTACCCAAAGAAGGTCTCATGGTAGAGTAAAGGAGGCTGGGCCTTCACTGCTGAGCCTCCTGGGCTCCCAGCTGTACCAGGGCTCAGACTCTCCCCACTTGACTACCCCCATCTCACTCAGCTC